TTGATTTATAAGTACTGCTTAGTCTAAATAGCAGTACTGCCTGCAGAATATTTTTTTCCAAGAGAAATTAATAGCATTGCCAAGTCTCTTTCATTTTTCAAGAGACTAGCTCTTATTTCCATCCAGAAATCTTTTTTCTGTAACTTTTTGGATGTCACCTTTGAAAAAAATGCTTTTTATTTATATCAAGACTGAATCAGTACAGTTGATATACCTCCTTGTTACTTTTGAAATTCCACTTATCATGAATCCTCAGTGTCAGCAGCTGAGCATTACTGCAAAAAAATGCCAGATTTCCATATAAGATTGATTAAATATTGAAAGATAGAATTTAATAAACATATGTACATTTTTAATATTTAAATCACATTTTGCATTACTGTGACTTATGATCTGCAGATTTGGAGCTGAGTAAGAATAATAATATTTACGTATATGCATACATACATTTCAAATTTGTGGTCTGAAATTGAGGACAAGACTATGTAGGAGTTGCATGTTATGGAATTTCCTCTTGCAGGAAGATGGAGCCCTATTACACTTTCATTTATTGAAACATTTAGATTTCACTTTGCAAAGGGAAAATTCAGTTCCAATTTCTTTGAAAAATCTCATCAGCAAACGAGCAGGTGCAGCAACAGGCAGCATAAAGAGTTTCAGATGTCTTGAGACCCCTGAGTGTTAGCAGAAATCATGGGGAAATTTGCCACCTATCAGAGTTGTAATAAAGACAGTTAGTTCTCCTTCATGTTTCCTGTTGGGGTATCTTCTAAACAAGGTTCATTTAACTTCAGATCTTTGCAGGTATAGACTTAATGTCTCCACTCTGAAGGCTCCCACCATGTTTTGCACCGCTGTGTTAATTTTTCTTTCAGAAGGGAGTAAAGTTCCTAGTAATGCTGACAGCATTTACTTCTTTCCAGCATTCAGATCCAATGTATTAGATTGTTCATCTAATAATGCTGAGGTATGAAATGGATTTTTGAGGTGTCATTAGTAATAATATACTTTTTGCTCTACTTGAGCCTGAAAGCGAGGTGGTCGAAATGAAATCACTTGTTTTCTTATATATTCCTTAATATTTGTTAAGCCATCCTTATGGGAGAGAGGTTCTGTAAAAAGTTCTTAGGAAAGGCAGATTTGCTTTATAAGGAAGTGAAAGACATTTATTAAGTATTAGGTCTTTAGTTGGCAGGGAATGGGAAGGTATATCTCAGACATCCTCCTTGACTCACTCCTTACGTGATTCATACTGATCAACAAGCTTAAAACTGTCAGTATTTTAGTTTTGGTAATAGACCTGTCAATATTCTAAATCGCTATGTCCTTACTCCCTTCTGTGGGCTGAATGCAAGAGACTGACATTGCACCACTGCTGGACTTCACACAATAACAATATTTTGGTATTGGGAGCCTTCAGTTGAATTTTCAGTCTGTGTTTTCCCATGAAAACAGACTCAAGTTTTTATGTTCTTCTGGATAACTTGCAGTGGACATTCCCACACATCTAGATGACTTTTTATTTTTCTTCATGTGTCACTTTTTCTCCTTTATGTTACCTGAGAAGAGGTTATTTTTTTATGAGCAGGAGTAGTAGTTAACACAGTATGAAGTTGTGGAGGCTAAGACTATGATGAAGTTCAGGTAGAAACTGAATCCTTATAATATGTACCAAAATTGTTTAATGTTTTGTTCTGAATGACAGCAAATGGTAGTTGAGGTGTTAAACATTATGTTTCAGGTTTTTAGCTGGTGGGTGTTAGACACAGAGGAAACTTAAATGGTGCAGACAGACTATCCCATGTCTACTTACAGCAGACTTCTTACACCTTCATCTGAATCATCTGCTTTTGGCCAGAGGTACAGGAAGAAAACCAAAGCAGATGGATACTAGACCAAAACCAAGACTAGAATTCTTAACATTGCTAATTCTTGTCTAAGGTTCCTGTCAGCTAGTCTTGTTTTAAATTACAGGTAGAATTAGAATAGACTTCCAATTTTAAAAAGGAATTAATGAAAAAGATCCTAAGACCTGTGATAGTTGGATATTCCCATTTGAGAATACAGAATACACGCTTCTATGAAAGGATAGAAATGTTGCAGATCAGCTAAATTTAGAAGTCTGGGATTTGTTTTTTCCTTGATGCCAAGGAAAAAGTACTTCTTACTAAATTTAATTTCAACAATTTGGATTGTTGATGACGATTGTCATTCTTCAAGTCATGGTGTATATTGAATATAATTTTCTGAAGCTAAAAAATATATGACGTGTGTGTGCTGAAAATCACTTTCTTTCACCAAAGCAGTTACCCTTTATAAGTAACAAATGATTTCTAACATATGTTCAACATATGTTCACTCTGGCAAAATTATTCCATCAGCAATGCTAGGAAAGGAGCAAACGAAGAAACACCTAACAATAAGACAAGAAAACCCATATGGAAAAAATGACTGATGCATAAACTGAGAGTTTTTAAGGTCAGATGAACCATTATAATAACATAATCTGACAGTACGAAACAGACCATAGAATGTTACATAGCAACTCCTGAATCAAATCCACAGCTTCATTTGAAACTACAGAGTATCTTCAGAATGGCATCGAGTTTTACTGTGTTTACTTCCCACAAGTAAAAATGTACTGTGTGACTACAGACCTTTGTGTAAACAGCTGTACTTTACTGTTTACCTTACCATACTTGCCTTCACTGTGTATTTTAAAATCTTGCATTTGTTTCTTAGGGTAGAAGAGCAGCCACTGATCAGTCTCTTTACCTTTGAGCTTCAGATTGGATAAACTGAACAAATAAAGACTTTGAAAATGGATACACTTTTTATGGATAATATTTTAAATTACAGTGATATTTCAAAATTTTGTTATAAGACATGTTTCAGAAATCTTAATTATTCTTTTGACTTTTTGCATAATTTTTGCAGTTTTCCAGCATCCTGTTTTAATTACAGTTGCCATAGCTGTGCAAAGAATCACTGCAAAGATTTATATATTCTCTGTTTATTAAGGCAAGGGTATGTATATGTGTATGTGTAGGTATAGGTTTCCAGAGCATATATTTTCTATTAATAGGATATATTAAGGAATAGGTGTATTGTATCACTCCTTCTTGTACTTAACTCTTTTATATTCTCTTGTACTTAACTCTTTCATATTCTCTTGTACAAACACCCTTTATAGTCTGGTTTTATTCTCTGACCCTTGTTTCAAACACACCTCTAAATTGAACTTTTCGTCACTAAGTTTGACAGAGCGTACACATCTTACATCTTATGGGAAGGTAATGGAACTCAAATACAATTTCCAACTATAGCTGGAATTCCAACTTTGATTTTGTCTGATTGAATCCCAGGCTTCTTAATGTGGAAGATCTTTGAATCCTACGGATGACCAGCTATTAAACAGAGAAATACATAGTTTGTATTTCTGCTCCTACTGTAATTGCTTCATGATATCAAAAGATTGGTCCTATAAAAAAGTGTACCTCACTATAAAATCTCTATATAAAATACATATACAATATTATATATATATATATATATATACACACACACATATAACACACCAATACGGAATCAATATATAAAAATACAACACTGTCCAGCAGAACTACTTATTTTCAGGATACGAATGGCAAGGTGAGCTGGGATGTGAAGATTATGAGTCCTGCTGAATGTAAGTTTTTAAAATTTTAAAGATGCATAATCACTATTTGATTTCATTATGGGGGGCATTCCCCCATGAAGAACGGGACTCCATGAGAGTGTGTGGAGCAGGGAATACATGAGCAGAAAATGCTGCAGATGAATAGGCACACTGAGTAGCCTTTGAGAAATAGATTCATGCTGATGCTGAATACAACTTCAGAATTATGAAAGGATTAGATAATCACATACAGATCTGTGTGGACTCAGAGATCACACACTACTGGAAATCTTACTTCATTCTGATAGTGATTATACTTCATAATGTGACTCTCAGTGTTACTAGAGGGTCATAAATGGTCTTTTTGCATTTACCTACACATATCTTCTTGGTTTTTTCAGCCTCATATTTTTGAACATCTTTTTCATGTGAAGTCTAAAATCAATCCCAAGTATAACTTTGAAGATTATTTTCTATTGAAAATCAAGAAATATTAAAATTCACAGGCCTAGCTGAGTATTTAAGATCTTTTAATCTCTGCAAAAGTCTTTCCTAGATTGATACCTGAGTGAACCTTACCAAGGGGTAGGGAACAGAGCATCTATTTCTGTTTGAACAAGCTTTTACTTAAGAACCAATAAAGCTTAGTATGACATCCCACTGGGAAGACCATTCTCTCCCTTTTCAAAGATGCCAAAGCTGATATTTCTTCAAGGTGAAAGTATCTAGTTCTAGAAAGCGTCAGTTGTCCCATTTCTAGCTTGGTTGTGAGACTAATTGCACAGTAATGAAGATGTGTGGAAGACAGTGTGTGACCAGTAGATAGCACTATTTTGCAACAAGCATTCCAGCAGGAACATTGATTCTTTGACAGTCTCTGGCATGGGTTTGATCAACGTGGAGTGAATAAATGTGTGGCTGCTGTGATCTGAAGCTCCCTCCCGTGAATCATCATGGAGTAGCTGAGAAAACCAATTTCCAATCCTTGTTTGCTTAATTTGATCTGCTCTATTATCTCTTTGTTGTTTGTCTGTAAAACTCTTGCTTATTGTGGATTTTACTGTATACATTGCCAATGCACAGAGTAGTTTAAGGTCTATCTGCCTTTCATTCACTTGTATCTATCAGAAAGAAATAAATTGAAAGGTAAAATAACTTTGTGAAAACCCTTCCCTTTAGTGGAAGATGTCATGCAACTTTTGTAACAGGAACATAGCTTAAATTTCCAGGTCCTCTTGGAATTTTCCTTATATAGGCATTTACTGGATTAAAAATCAAGTATTTCTATAGTTACTAGAACACCGTCTTGTATAATACAGTGAACTTTCCTTCTTTTTTCTAGATTACAGGACAGGCCCGTGCTTCACACAAGTCAACAAACAGATGTGCCAGGGCCAGCTGACTGGGGTTGTTTGCACAAAATCCCTCTGTTGTGCCACCATTGGGCGTGCGTGGGGTCACCCCTGTGAGATGTGCCCTGCTCAGCCTCAGCCTTGCCGCCGTGGCTTCATCCCAAATATCCGCACTGGGGCGTGTCAAGGTAAGCCCTCTGATCCAGATCATGCATGACTGTTGCGTTGTGTTGCTGATGCTCATCTTGAAAAATCTTGCAGTCCCTTTAAGGCAACATCACTGTTTTTCTTGTTTGTGTTCTGTGTCTTCCTGTTGAAAAAATTTGAATGTGCTTTGCTACTTCCAGATTTTAGCTATTATACGTTATAGAGCAAAACTCAAGTGCTAGAAAAAAATCACAACATTCAAGGAGACATAAGTACAGAGCACAGAAAGGTCAGAATATGCGTTTAGCAAAGCAATCAGATATTCCATGAGAGCATCAATCAGGCAACTGACTTATGTTTTAGACTTTAAATAGTACATGCTTAATTCATTTCTCTGTTTCTTGAGATGGAGTTGTTTTCTTTCTCAAATGGTTTGGAGTTATCATATAAGCCGCTTTTTTTAATCCCATCATTTAAATAAAGCACATAGTGAGCTGTCTCGATGCTTCATTTGGATTATTTGTACAGGGCTAGAAAAATGCATGAGTAGGGAAGGACTGAAGTCTTCTGTGCTAATTAAGAGACATAAAATGTTTGAGAAGTGGTAAAACCTTGTTTCTTATCAAGTCTCTCTTTCCATGATATTAAGATGCTGTTCCTCCTTCCAGCAGTTACCACATGGCCTGAAAGAACAGGACATGTGGTCCTGTTCTGGTGCAGCTGCTTTGTTAAATTTAATAAACTGCATGAAGAATGCTGTAACAAAGGATATCCGAACTCCCAAAGGAGAGTGTACTACTTTTCTGTTGCAGAATGGCACACATGGTCAGTTTGCAGGCTGTGTTATTTTAGAAGCTTCCAAAGAAGCAGTGGAAACCAAGTATGATTTTTGACAGTGGCTTGCAGTGGGTGTTCACTAATGTGAAGGCATCCTTTTCCTGAGGCAAGATAGAATGGTGCTTAGGGTGCAGGCAGCTGGCTGATGGACATTTTCCCAGGTTTCATTTTTCCACCCGATAATGCTGGGATAGGCAAATTCATCACTATACAGCCATACCAATACCTGAGGGTGTCTGTCTTCCCATGGAAGCATTCTTTTCCCCCACAAATAAATCTTGATGCACAGTATAACATCAGAGGACCCCCTTTTTTAAAGCACACACGAGTCTCACTCTTCCTTCCAAATTGATCACTTTATATCCCTAGGTACAAAATTATGAAAAAGTGTACAATAGCAGGATTTGTTTGTGTGTGTATACGTTAGCAAGAATATGTGTTAGCAGAGAAGGTATTTAACACTATCTCCCATAAGATGTTGATGGACAGGACGGATGAGCAGATGGTGAGGTGGATGGAAAACTGGCTGAATGTCGGTTAATGCTGCTTTTCCCTGCACTATATCATCGTTCAGTAGTTTAAAATCGCACAAATCTAACAGAGTCAATTGTTTGGCTGGATTCCTACTTCAGGTGTCCTCCATAAGCGTTTTTGTTAAGAGTCCTCTATGCACTTGAGTTAAAAAAAATGAGAGAAAACCAAGATGTTTTAAGATTTTTAATTCTTAATAATTAAAATTTGATGAAACATGTCTTTGGACTTTTCCACCAGTTTTCGTTTAACACAATGGTATGGTTGACCTGCAACTTTGACCTGTTAGCTCAAATTCCATTCTGAGGGACTCCTCATGGCATTATCTCAGCAAAGGCATCTATTTTATTTAAAATACTTGAATTAGTTTTAAGCAACAATGAATCCCTTCATTTTTATTCACTTTAAATATTTGCTTTCCTGTTTTTCTGTGCTTATATTGCTTAAAGTATCTAAATTATACTAAGGAAAAATATTTGATGCCACTTTTCCTTGTATGTCAGAGTTAGGCCTCTATCTGCACATAACAGCTTATGTTTTAGTGTTCATCTTGAGATGATTAGTATGTTTTAGACATTCTTTTCATAACAATGTTGTAAGCAGAAACAACGTACAGAAGGCATACACGTTACAGTCTCCAAGTCAAACTCCATTGTATAACTCAGTCAGATATAATGAGTCCTCAGAACTTCCCTACCAAACAGATCCTGGAATAGTTTCTGAGGCTTCATTTAAGTTATGGGAGAGATCAGTGGTGCTCTTTAGCACTCATCCCCACAATACTTTTGTTTTCTTTTTCTGAGAGTATATGTTGTGTGGCAAATATTTTTTAAGTTACGTAGTTGACAGCATTGCTAAAGTCCACAGGGTAGCATAGAAACAATGTGGTGGTTTACTTTGTGTGATAGATAAACAAAGTTTAAAGTTTAAGTTTAAACAGCCGTAATTTTGGCTACATTTTTGACATACACTCACTATATAGGAAGCTCTGATTGTATTTATGTCAGCTGGGCTTAGCGTGTGATGTTACAAGATGATGGTAAGGCACAAACGAAAAAAGGTTGACTATTCTGTGTGGGGAGACAGAATTCCTTTTTTTCACAAATCATTGCTTTGACTTCAGCAATATAGACAGTCCCTTTTAAGATTTAGTAAATCATAGTAATCAATAAAACTTTGTCGCATATCAGTTAGACTGGATTGACTCAGCCCATAGTTTAAATGCTTGGAATTTTTGAAGTGAATGTTTAGGTGAGTAGAAAGTCCAGTTTGGAAATTGGTATGAACAAGTGAAAATCAGTAAAACTTGCAGACCTTACTATTGGAAAATAGGTTATAATTTAAATATGTGTTATGTGTTAGATGTCAGACTGTGACAAGATTTAACTACTGAGTGACTACTGAAGTCGCTCCTACTCTTCACAGGATTTGCATGATGCAGTCTTAAATGGGTCTTTAGCTCCTTTTCAGGATTAATTATGCTTTCTGAGCAATATGTTTGTATAGAATATTGTAATACTATTGGTATTTCATTATTACCGTGAACAGCTTTAAAAAGATTAAGGAAGCAAACTCAATCAAAATTCAGATTGTGCAGTTTTGTTTCAGTTTTTTAACCCTAACAGTTTCTATTCAGTCATTGCTTAGAGACTAATTGTAACTGGTCAGCCATTTTTTATCCCAAGAATTCAGGCAGGGACTTAAATGTTCCACTTGAATGTACTTTATTGCCTTTGCTACATGGATTTAGGAGAAGCATAATGGCAGAAATCCTGTGTTGGATATTTCCTCAGTTCCCCCTGCATTCCTCAACAGTCCCATTTCTCAGCTACACCCTTTCCCTTCAGACAGTTAATGTTTTTGCTCTAAGGAGAGAAAAGTGGTTCAAATTCAAAATGAAGAGTGATAGATGATACTTTTAAGGTAATCTAGTGCTTGGAATTAATGTATCTGCTTACTGACTATATTAACAGTGTCATCCAGGATCCTGTCCTGCTGTTATTAAACCAGGGAAAAAATAGCTTAGTATTACTTCTGTTGCATGTAGTATTTCTTGTATCTAGAATGCACAGGGAAGACCACGAGTTTTCCACTGTATTCATAACCAGTATACTTTTTACTTCCCACATGCCAAATCAATTGCAAAGAAACTTCCCATACATATTCCAGGGAGATTTAAAGAGAATTTTTTTTATATATAATTGTTGTTACTATCAGAGTAAATATAAAGTGCGATCTCCAAAATTTGTGTCTAAAATCTGAGAGGATTTATTTTTCCAGAGCCTTTTAGTTTTTCAGAGTTTTTTTAAGAAACAACCCACAGATCAGAAGGGGAAGGTACTTTTGGCAGTGTTTTCAAAGGTGCAGATTTGAAGCTAGCTATGCAAATCCTATGGGCATTTTGCAGAGAAAACTCTGCAAAAGCACAAAACCATTTTTTTTTTCTTTTTACTTATCAGGTATTAGACTGTGAACACACAGAAGCATTCTACCTAATCTGTAGCATATTGAACCTTTTTATGCAGGACTGTATCTAAAACTTACTAATATAGTTTTTTATTTATGGCAAAAAGTTTATTCTGGTAAGGTGGTTGAGGTTTCAAAGTGTGAGGAAATAGATAATTAATAATCCCAAAACTCCTGTGTGATTTAGCCTGACTGTCAAAGATACAAAAAATTAAATAAGAATATGCTTCATTTCAAATTGGTTGTATTTTCAGAAAAAATATTCTTATACCTTAAAATGACATTTAGGAAGCAATTGATAAAACATGCCCTTTTAATAAAATACTTTTGTTCTTTTGGACTTTTCTCAATTCCAAAACACCTCTTGCAGTGTACATATATGTTTTTAAGCTAATATTAAAGCTGAATATGCTTACTTTCTTTACATTTAAATATGATGTATAATAATTAACATACAAGATTACATTAAGATTGCTATTAGCAGAAAAAATCAAGGGAGCACTTGTGATTCAAAGATTTCACCTTTCATAGTGGTACAACTTTCTTCACTGAACAGGCACTGCATAGCAATGCATAATTTGGATTGGCTTTTCAATTTTAGAAATATTAACATCCATTTGTCTTTTTTTAAATGAATTGAAAGAAACTAATGGAATCAATAGATCTTAAAATTTTGGTCACTCCAAGGCTTCAGTGATACTTTTTCTGTTTCTGGAAAGTATTCATTGCCTGCTGCTGCTGCTGCTGCTGCCATTAATTTACTATTCCTTGACATCTTCGACTTATAAAACTGTGTCAGATACACAGTGGGATTTTTTTTGACAGTGATCTACTGACACTGTAAACCTAATTTAAATAAGCATTAATAAGTGACATAGGTCACAGGCATCCTGTGTGTGATAAGTGCATTCTGAGGCCCAAGGGTCAAAAGACAAACACCATATGTTTTACTCAGAAAGGAGCTGCTGGGTGGGCTGTGTATCTATGAATGATGAAACCATCTTCTGTCTAGATGCTGTCAAGTCATGTCAAGATTCACGGAATCATAGAATAGTTAAGGTTGGAAGGAACCTCTGGAGATCATCTAGTCCAGCCCCCATTCCTTAAAATACTTCAGAGATGAAATGTTTGCTTTCTAAGTAAACAAGTAGCACCAAGCATTAGTTATTTAGAAGAAAAAAATATAGGAAGTTTATGCCTTTGGTGAAGTCCTTAATTCACTTACGGTCTAACTGTTGCATTTAGACATGGTAGTGTGCTGAGTCAGCACAGATTCAGGAACTAAGTGCAAACTTCTCCAACAAATGTACTTAAACCCAAATCCAGTGATTAAACAAAAATTGCAAAAAACCTTGCCTTCTTCCTTGACTGTGGGAGATTATACTTGCTTAAATGAAAAAGCAGATGAATGGACAAGGCATATATCATAGGTTTTATCTATAGCACAAACACCAGGAGGAATAAAAACTGAAGAAGGACTATAATCCACAAACTAAGGTGGAATTTCAGTGCCTTGTAAGGGCTTTGAGATAATGAACATCCTCCTGAAAAAGAGTACTGTATTCTAGCCATATGTCAACTGAGAGCATCAGACAGTATAAGAAATGAGGATGGGGAACAAAAAAACCCCAACACAATTTGAACTGGATGTAGCACTTAATAAAATACAGCAGGAAGTTACTGAAAGCAACTTATGTATCTTATACCAAGTAATCATTTGGTTTTTTGTCTTTGTAGATGTTGATGAATGCCAGGCTATCCCTGGAGTCTGCCAAGGAGGAAACTGCATTAATTCAGTAGGTTCGTATGAGTGCAAGTGTCCTGTTGGTCACAAACAGAACGAGGCAACTCAAAAATGTGATGGTAAGTGATGTTGTAAGGGAACATACCTAAAAAGTGGTCTTGTAAAAATCAGAGCACTTTAGTAATGAACATTACTGAATAGCTGAATAGTTGTAGTTGTTTGATTTGGGCAGACATAACATCATTGAGCTGTACTTTTTGTTTCTTCTTCACAGGGAGGGAGAAAGGGAGGGACAGAGGGAGGGAGGGAGGAAGGAATCACCAGTCCTGGCTCTTGCATTGGTGATGGGGTTTCCAGAATCCTGGGGGTACTGCCCGGCCTTTTTGGGGGACCATTTTTATAGATACGTTTTCCCCACCCTGGTGATAAAATTAGTTCATTTTTCTAGACATTCCTGGAGATGGCTCGAGTAACCCCAAATACCAGGCATCCCTTCTTGGTCTAGCCTTTGATTTTTACCCACAGCCTCTCAACCTGCTTATGGCTGTTTCCCAGAGGCAGCTCTCCACTGTCTATCCATTCCTATAATCTGCTCTAATCTATCCATAGTTACTTACCAAGAAGTGCACTTAAGTTTTTGATTCTCTTTTCCGTGGTGTATTTATTATTAGTCCATGAAACTTGGTACAGGAGGAGTTGGGTAAGAGTGCTTTTACCCAAACTGGTTGGAGGTGGAAGTCCCTGCCCCCTCAAAAAATACATTTTAATACAATATGTCATCAAAGCAGACAGCCTCTGGGTATCTGCTGTGATGGACAGTAGGAGTTCAATAAATGAAGTTCCTGTTCTGATGATGTCTGTAATCCGCCCCTGGCAGTGCTCATGGTTTTTCTGCTGTTAACCCTAGAGAGCTCTATGTGAAGGAGCTCCTCTCAGGCAAGGATGCAGTTAAAATATATTAAATAGATGTTCTCCTAGAGATCAAAAAAATTCAGGTCATTTTTTGTATGTTGTTTTTTTGCCTGGCACGTGCTCTCCATCTTTGATGACAAAAGGAGAACTTGCACAGTGATATGTTTCTTTTCTTCTGAAAACAGTAGTTAAAAGTTAATTCTTTGCATTCTACTTCCATAACCTATATAAAGCTCTGCTGTAATTTTTGAAAATGCTGTTCAGCATTTCTCCCTGATAATAACCACAAGAAAAAGTGAATGTATTTTTAAGACAGATCTGCTTAAAAATCTGTGGTGCTCTTGGGACCATGCATAGTAGAAGTGAAACATTACCTGCAGTCTGAAATATTTATTATTATTTATTTCATGGTTCAGTAATCAGTGGGTTTTAATTTCCTGTTTTGTTGGCAGTCTACTGTAGAACAGGTCATATGCTCTGGCTCTGTTTCTTCTAAGCCCCTACCACTTCTGTCTGTGGCAGAAATTAGTCCCTGGTCACCCTTCCCCATTAGCTTCCCTAGTCAGATAATTCCACACAGAGAATTATGCAAATACAACTTGTCCTACCCAGTTTGTACCAAATTTTCTGGGTAAAAAAGACATCATGAAACTGTTGCTTGTCCATTTCCCTACACATCACAACCAAATGGTAATGCCAGAATTACACAAGGGTAATACCATTATCCAACAACGGAGCAGAGAATGAAAACCAAGCCATAGTTTTATTCACGCTTGTTTGTTTGTTTGTTTGTTTGTTTGTTTAATTAAGTGTTCATAATCTCTCAGTGTTAAATTTATAGGATATAACTATAGCCAGTTCTTCAAACAATTCCACTTTTAGTGGGACTGGCCATTTGAGTGAAGTTATGTCATTTACATAATACATATATGGACAGGCAGGATGTTAAGAATTGGTATCCAAGGAGCTAGAACCTGTGTACAGAGAATTTATTTAATAGAAATTGCATTCTTTTTATGAAGTTTTTTATTTAAAACATTGTGTAGAAATGGTGTGGTATGAAGTATTCTGCTCACTCCTTTCGCTTCTTTACATATGGAAAATGAGGTCAAATGTTACTTACTGGTACAAGGACAAAATTCTAGTTGGAGTCAGTAACTAGTTAAGGCTCCAGTGTTCAGAGGCAAAGGCTGAAATCTTACACTAAATTCAAACTTCCTTATTATAACAGCAGTTCTCTTACTTAAGAATGAGAGATTTGAGATGCTCTGCCCTAAAGCATCTAGATATATTTTGTGGGTTAGAGTTTTTTCTTCTGTTGTTCCTCCTGGAAAAAAATTAGCTATTGTTAGAATAAGTAGGAATGTTCATGTTGTTCTTTTCGTACTATAATGGATTTTCATAGAGCTATGCTAAGCAATAAACATTGCTTTGCTGGACTATTTGCTTGCTTTATATTCCTATGTTTCTTTTTTTTTTTTTTTTCCAAAGCACATGGGCACAACTTGCATGTGTAACTCTGTGTGCCTGCCCTCATGTGTAGAGATGTAACTGGATAACTTAGGCCATTTGGGAAAATATGAACTTTAAAATTAATCCAGCTCTAGGCTCCACATTAGTAAGAACCCTTATTATAAATTAAGAAGGAGACACATTATAAATTTATCCCAATTTATAGACTTTCCACTGTAGTCAGGATGGCGCCTTCCACTACTGGGAAAGTCATGAGAGGATTCAAGGCTCATGAGCTCTAATGGGCACAGGGCTGAAAAACTTTGGAAAAGTCCATTACAGAAATTGTACTAAATCCAGTGCACTAGTGGGATGTTTTAACTAAACAAAAGAAAACCCCAAACCCTTCATTTTTTTGGCCTAAAAGTTTTGATTTACAATTTATTGAGGTTTCACTTTTAGGAATGAAATTATTTTCATTTTTAGAATGTTACTATCTTCCAGAGCTAATGCAACTTATGTCTTTGGGTTGTTCAGAGATGAATTGTACAAACTGAGAGGAGAAATAAACTTTCAGTTTGGCTTGCTGCTTTACAAAAGAGGTAGAATACTACTTATCGTATTTCAGGGATCTAGTAAATGTGCTCTACTTACTGTTCTCAAATAGAAAATACATCATACACATTGAATAACTGTAGTTAGTTATGACACCGTCTACAGTTAAAGTATTAAAGAATTCTAGGAGATAAGATGCCCTGATGCTTTTCTGAGAAGATATTTTGCTATACTTTTGACATCAAGGTGTTAGGACTACATGACACAGACTAAGTCCCTTTTTTGGTTTTTTGGGGGTTTTTTAGTGTTTTTTTTTTTTTTTTAGATGGGGCACCAAAAGAATCTTTTAAAATAAATAGTTCTATTTCCAAGTTTTTTCTAATTTTCCTACTTTAGTGTATCATTTCATTAGGCTGTGTACTATTCAGATTTGATGCTACCAGGTATTACTATAGACTAAAACTATTTTCATGGAACCCTTTTGCAGAACTCAGCATCTGGGAGCCCTGTTTCTGGTACTTTTAAATCAGTTATTTAAAAAATCCTGCTTACCATAGCAATAAAAATCATGAATTCGTAATCATGGGTAGCCAGGCTGGGTTTTTTTGGCAGAAACTCACCTATTAATACATCTGCAGAGTTTATATCATACATTTAAATTGGTTCTCATGCTGAGATGGGCTTTCTTATCCTGTATGCAGCATTGGAACTTTTGCTCTTCATGCCACCAGTCTTCTTTACCCTTAAGACAGCACCTCCTCTTTCTTATCATTGGAGCATTTTCCCTGAGACCATTAATTTATGTATTTTGGAGGAGGAAAGGCAGGAAATTGAATAACTTTTTCAATCAGCCATCCTAAAAATAGCCCTTCCAGAGGTAAAGTCTCAGAATTTCCAGTCAGAGGTAACAGAGATATTTTGAAATAATTGTAAGGACCAGGGATTTGGCTCAAAAACTAGTGAAACAAAAATCTAATTACTTGGTACTGCTCCAGTAAGTAAAATATTTTTCTTCCACAAAGGTTCTTCACGTTAATTGATAAAAGAAACGGTTTTATTGTCCACATGCAGAAGACAATGGAGTCTTCATTCCACTCTAGTCACTGCCCAGATTTCAGGAAGGTACTTGTTCCCTTCCCAGCATCCTGTCATTCTTGGACAAGAGCCCTAGACAGTGTTAAACTCCTGTGAATGTAGCCAATTGAGAAGGATGATCTACATCCACAGGTTTGCAGAGGTGGTTAACTACTTCCTTCCTATGTCTTTCACTTGCCAGCTACAAACTCCACCTTGTCATTGCCTCAACAGCTTTTTACTGTTTAAACACAAGTTTGGAATTTTGGTTTCCCTTGGTAGAAGGTCAGGTGTTGTGTTCTTGTAATTAAAATTACTGCCTCTAATTTTACCTGTGCCAAACAGAGTGAAAATGAAGATCAAGCTTTCAGTTTTCAAGGGCCTAGTGGTTTTTTTGTAGTAAGATTTTTATGGGTTAATTTTTTTTTCCTTTCTTATGCATAGTAGCTGCTGTTGTATGTACTTCAGAAGAACAAAAGAATAAAATGCTATGAAACCCACAAGATTTAAGACCCAGTGTCTAAAAGAGTGACTGAAGGAAAACCACATTTTTTGGAAATGCTACATTCCTGGCATAGGGATTCTTAAATTTAAGAATCTTAAATTTAACTAACTCATGTAGTACTGATGACTGTTGCATTGCTGGCAACAGTTTTGTGCCCTCCCTGTTGTGTGTGCAGATTTTGCATCTCCAGGCAGCATTTCCATGCTGGTAAATTGTGGCCATTACACTGGTTATACCTTGATCAAAGTTTGGGCACCTCTGACGTTTAGAATTAGTCTTGGGATTTATTTTTGGAACCACTACAGCAGTGATGAGAAAGGGTAGTGTAGTTTTTTCTCAAGACTGAAGGTATGCTGCAGGGGATAGTAAGCTCAGGGAAACTTTCTTGATGCACAACTTTACTTGCTCTGATTCTGCCCCACAGTGTAAAACAAAGGATGCTTATAGGTATGGACTAGTTAGAAAGTTCAAAGATTTGAATTTATCTTACCCATAAGATAAATTGTCTTTTTTTACATTGCAAATGATATGACAGTGGGAGAGGGAGTGTTTTGTTCATACCTTCACTTTTAAAAAGACCATTTTTCATGTTTTTAGGGGTCTTATGGCAAAACTTAATCTTCCTTTCAGTACTTGAATGTCCTCTGTAGATTCCTGTCCAAAGGGAGTTCTCACAGTGGGGAGTTTCCTCATTAATACCCTGTCCATGGCAGATCATTTTGTCACTTGTCCTTTCCTTTGAGTTTTCAATGTGGAGAATGTAGTGATACATTCTCCACATAAATAACTGCTAAAGTGTATTTCTCAAGTAGTTCATTCATCTCAAGAGAATTTCTAGAGTGACAGGCCCAAGGAAATGAAGGATTGATATGACCCATGGGTTCCCAAGGCTTTCCCACAAGGAAGGCAAATACCTTCAGTGTCATCATGAGATAATTTCTGTCATATGCTCTTTCTGATGCTTCTTCTGCATTATTTGATATGAGACAGTCTGAATTCAATGTCTGACTCTTCTGTTTTGAGGTTTGTTTCATAGTGTGAAAGCTAATTCTAGTTAATACTGGATCCAGATTTTTACAAACAAGTTAAGCCAAAATCTTGTACCTGTGACTAGCTTTGGTATCAAATCCTGCAAACCCTATGGTATCATCTCACTCCAAAAAGAGAACATAACTCAGCTCTAGTTAGAAACTTGGCACCAGTTTTTGCGTGTTTTCTCAAATACCTCTTAGGCCACAGTTCACATTCACAGCTACTAATGTGCAGCGGTCACTTGAAAGCAAAATTAGGTTACTAAGATGACCCTAAAAATACTCATGTGTCTAGAGATTGTCCCAGTTGTAGAATGAAGTGATTACTTAGAATGGCTTGCTTGTATAAATGGTCACGATGCAGTCTTTACTCTCATGCTTTTCTTCCCTTCCAGTTTGCTCTGCTATGCTTCACATCCCTAAGAATAAAACTATAGTCATTCTCATTACCTCTTCTTCTCATTTTGTTTTCAATTTGTTCTGGGAGAGCACACAGTGCTCTCAGATCTAATGTCAAGAGCCTTAGCAGCTCCTTGTTACATACAGCAACTCATTTATCAGCTTGATGACATCTCACTTTGTATGTATTTACATTCAAAATTGATTTAGTGTTCAGATGAGGCCACTGCTTAGTTAACAGAAATATTTGAATGGATCAATATTTTTTTGCATTTGAAGGGCTTGGCCAAAATTATTACTTACAGTTGGAGCATTAGAAGGCCAGGAAACAGTCAGATGTAATCAGCAGTATTTCTGTGATTGTGGAAGCCCAGGGCTGTTATGTTGTACCATACTTCTTCCTTCAGCTCCAAAGCATGGTATGTCTTTTGGTATTGCATTGTAGCTATTCCGTGTTCCTTAGAGGTGGCATTCAGTATGTGTCATTAACAGGAAATCTCAGCCTGCTCTCATGTATTTGTGACCTGAAGTGGTGCACCCTGTGTGTGTGTAAGGAAAATCTCCCGTAGATGGCAAACAAAGCTGTTTCCAATATGCAAGCACTAGGAATAACAACTTCAGTTCAGAAAAGCTCTCTTTCCCTTTTTTTTAAGCAATATGTACAAATGCTCTGCTAATTATCCCATGTCCTTTCCATTTTGGGTAGATATTGATGAATGCAGCATCACACCAGGGATTTGTGAGGATGGTGTGTGCTCTAACACAGTGGGAAGTTACTTCTGCATCTGCCCTAGGGGTTATGTCACATCCATGGATGGATCCTGCGCTCTTGGTAGGTACTCCAGCTCTCTGGCACTTCCCCCCATGCTCATTCAGTGCTAACTTACTTGTATCTCTGATCCAGCTGCTTAAATTTCATAGCATCCTCCTGTGATGGTGATTTCCAGTACAACCACCTTCACTTCAACAGCAGATCCCTTTGTGTTGGCTTATTGTAGCCTGAGATCTGGGGGAAAAAAAGCAATTGATGTCTCTTTGATATGTAGGCAAACATAGAAAATGTTAATTATATTTGTTTCTCAAACCTGCATCTGATTAAATCAAAAGTTATGCTCTCTTAGGTTTTAAAGGAGCAAACTTTTATCCTTGGTACTTCAAGTCCAATCTCACTTAAACTTTCTATTTAAACCTTTCATCATGGCTAGGCTTCGCGAACGGAGATTTGAGAAGGGCTCTACCCACACTTGCTACAAGCGCGCTGATGGCTAAATTTGAACCTTTAGAGACCAATATAAGGCACATATATAACCTCAAAAGGCTTTAAGTAGCATATACTGATGTGCCACTAATTTTGCGGAAACAGATAATAAATGAAGTGTTGAACTTCAATAGATTGCAGCTTTTACAAGACAATTTATTTAAAAGCTATCCCTGTATTATTAAAAATACAATGCATATTTCCACATGTGGCAATTTCTTTTATAGAGCTGCATGTGTCAAGTATGTGATATAAAAAAACCCCTTATGATGAATTAACTAAAAAATACTGCATATCATGTAAAAATTAGCAATTGCTAATAATAGTGTCTTTTCGAGATCTCATGTGGTTCCTCTTATTTCAGATAAGTCAAAGCACTTTGTTCTCATGTTGGGGAAGGGAAGGGAATTCTGAAGCTATTTTTAAATTGCAGATAAATGATGTAAACCAGTAGCAGCACAAGACCAAGAAGTGATTTCAAATGAATAATTTTTTAAACAATGTAGCCAGCTTCTGTTGTCCATAATAGGGTTTATATATATATCTGTGTAGTTTTTATTTCTTTGTATCTTTCATATAATCCGTATTTCCTGTTAGGTTGAGCAGACTTCAAGATTGCTTGCTGGATTAATGCAAGACTGGTGTCACTGCAACTGTGTGATCCTGCAATAAATCCAGTGTGGAATGTGTGGGTGCTGATCACCTCAGATAATTATTGGGTGTCTTTTGGGTGCTTTATGGTTTTGCTTTGGTTTTTTTTCAATACAACTTGTAAAACAATGTAGTCCTCACATCCAGTGAACAAAAGAAAGTAATTACAACAGTTCCATGTTACTATTTTTAGTTTTCTTTTAAATTAACTACCAGATGAGAGGACAAGTACATGTTTCTCCAGCACTATGAGTGGCCACTGTGCACAGGAGCTGCCTGGAAGGTTCACCAGAAGGCAGTGCTGCTGTCAGTCTGGGAGGTGCTGGGCCACTGGGTCTGCTCCAGAGATGTGTCCTGTCAGAGGATCTGGTGAGTGGCTTTTTTAGTGGGTTTATTTTGGTTGGTTTATTTTCTCCTTCTTGCTGTCCATTCTAGTTTGGAGGGAGGTCACAGGAATATTGTAAAATGGAAAAAGAAAGGCAGGAATTGCATTATTATTCATTCCCTTGGTTTTAATACTGATATTACCATCTCTGAACCATTTTTTTCAGGTCCGTGATTGTTTGGCACTTTTTTTTTTTTTTTACCTTCTTCTGTTGACTTTGGAAATAATTCTTGAGAAATGAGAAAGATTTTGTGGTCAAACTCAAAGATGAAACAATTATGAGGGCCCATATTTAACTTTGATTTAAAGGAACAGCTGCTCTCTTGCTCCATTACAATTTGGGTTACTTCGAACGAGAACTGTATCAGTATTTCAGTTATTCTTTCAACTCTGCTCAGAGAACAATAGTCCTAGTCCTTGGTGAAAGGTATTTTCTGTGTCAATGTCTCTGAGTAGCAAAGGAGTTACAGTGTTGTTGGCAACGTATCATCTAAAAGTTTTCAAAAAATAGTTGAAATTACAGTATTTATGTTTTTATTATTTTTAGTGTCCTTCCTTAAGCAACACCTCTCACAATATCATGGGATCTGCCTGAGATCAAGAGTGGGAAAGGAAACACTTAACATCAGGGAAACAAGGAGTTGGTGTTCTGTTTTTTATGGGAGACAAAAAAAAAAATCTGTCTTTTGAAGGCTGGACTCACTTTATGCTTCCCTATGCATTCCCGTTTAACAGATGAACACCGCAGACTTTGTGTGGATGGTTCTCCTGCCAGAGGTGGTTCCAGACGTGCTGGATCAGGAGGAAATGGGTTCCTTCCTGGTGGCAACAGCAATGGCTATGGCCCAAGAGGAGCAGGATTCATTCCCATCCCTGGAAGCAATGGTTTCTCCCCACGTGGAGGTGGGACAGGGGGTCAGAGTTCCACTGGAAGTGTTCCAGTAATTACAGGGCTGAGTAAGTGCTTGCATTGTTACTTGTTCCTCTCTTTTTTTACTTCCTTCTATTTTTCCTTTTTCTTTTTTTCTGCTTAGTTTTTAGTCTGGATATGATACAGTGTTCTTAACACTTAAAAATGACTTTGTCATTTAAAAATACATAGATACCTTGCTTATAATGTGTAAACACATCTCTGGGATCACAGCCATAAAGACAATAAAATACAAAGAGCATTATTAAGGCAGCAAACACGTAGGAAGTGGTTGCTTCAACTTTCACATAAATTATGGTTTATTCATGAGGCCACTGACAGGCTCATCAGGCTGCACACAGAAATGGTAAATCATATTTAAGAATGTTTGTCTAATGTGTTTTTTATTTCAAAGAGCTGTTTGTTGTTGCTAGTTTACTGTCATGTCAACAGATAGTGCTTGGAAAAAACATTTTTGGGATATATTTATGCACCTAGTAACATACTTTCTGAAACCAAGCATAATATTCATACTTACTTCCATTGGAAAGTATAAGAATTTGTCTCATGCTCTGTTTTTTTATATTAGCAATACTCAATCAGACAGTAGACAACTGTAAGCACCATCCCAACCTTTGTTTAAATGGACGTTGTATACCAACCCTTTCTAGTTACCGGTGTGAGTGCAACATGGGATATAAGCAGGATGCAAATGGGGATTGTATTGGTAAGTGCACATTTCTAAACTCCACTATTCACTTAAAAGGCTAATATTTTTCTGCTTTAAGTCTGATGTGATTTTTTAATAAAAAAGTATATTAATTTTAATGATACTGCTCTTTTGAAAGAGAGTACAATGACCATGGTGTTAGTTACACTATGATCATTTCAGTTCTATATGAGAGTTATCTGTTTTCTTACAAAAAAAAATCTTTAATTGAAAATATTGGTATTAAGTATTCCTATTCCTGTACTTGATGACTTGTCACATTCAATTAAGTAAGTTCTATTTCATGTTGTCTTTTGTTATGCTCTCAGAGCTCCATTTTTGCTATGGAATTTGGTGTTGAGCTGTGTTCAAGGTGATGACAGGTAGAATTTATGCTTTACCTCCTTGTAAGGATTAATGACAGTTTGAAATATATCAAATAATTTAAAAGTTGGCATTAATTAACTTCTGGTTATGTTTGTGTTTCATATGAAAATACAGGATGCTAACTTTATGTAAAAAGAGCTGAATTTAGGATTCTGCACTTCTGTTCAGTTACTGTGGACTTCACACTTGGAGTTACAGACCTTCCCCGGGTATTTCAGGGAAAATACAAGATTTGGGGGTTCTTAAGGCGTAGTTGTGTGGAGAAAAATCCTCTGTGCAGGATATAGCTTAATGGTTTTATAGGATCCTAAATAAAAAGTTCTGGTTGTGTTTTTGATTGAACATTTTCTTACTGAGTCTTTATAAAGAGGTTTGAGATCTGTGAACGAAAAATATTGCACAAGAGCTTGCTAGCCTGTTAGTCTTTTCTCACTGAAATTGTGGCTTTAGAATCAATTTCTAGTGTGTCCGTGGACTGGGGGAAAATATAGAAACAAAGAAACACAGAAAATTGAAGATATATGAATCCTTAAAAAAATATTCTAATGCAAGAAGATTCTACATAGTGGAATTCAAGTGGGGATATTATGGGCAGATTTTGCCATGGATGCAGCAGAGAGAGTGTCAACCAGATGCTGGGCAGGGAGGTTTTTATATTATAATTAACTTATCTGTTTTTCTTTCTCAAACTGAGTTGATAATCTGCGTCTGAAACTTGCACCAGAGAGGTTATTTATAGCTCTGTATGTACATCATTCCTGACCACTGTACCCCCTCCTGTTAAGAAAACTCAGTTGACAGGGATTCCACCAATTTCCCAAGCAGGTGCACTGCTCCAATAGTCAAACATCCAGAAAGTTTTCAGAACATCTAATCTAATTTAAACACTATTTTGAAGAAAAAAAAAATCAGTTAATTATTTCTTGTATTATACATACTATATAAGGAAAGAAGTTCAGTACCTTTCTCATTGCACTTTTTAGTATGTGAAGACTGTTACAGTTCTTCTTCCAAGTTGTCCTCTATGATATAGCAAGCTGAACTCTTTCAGCTTTTTTGTTTGGTTGAGAGTTTTCCGTACCTCTGATCTCTGGGAAATTTAAGAGGCTTAATCTCTTGCTGCATCCTTGGGCTTCAGGAGCTATAAGTGCATTTTAAGTACAGCAGTAAGAGTTTTATAAATCTGTCTTGCATGGCTATTCTTTTATAGTATATAGGGAACCCTGGCACATCTGTTGCAGCACTAAATTTTGCATCACTGAAATCAGTGTTTTTAACTATGGTGGACCTTGACTCTTGAGGACTGTCTTGAGTTGTGCTGAGCATTTTCTGAAAGCTGGCATGTTGGACAAATTGTCTTATTGAAATCTAGTTCACATCTTGTATCCATATTTTTTGTTACTTGGGGGTCAAGTTGAAAATAACATCTGAAGCACACAGATGTTTCTATCTATTTGATAACATAATATAGTTATTAAATTTTTATTAATTTTGCTTCCTTCAAAAGAAGAAACAAAGACTAATCATAAAAATCTGAATACATGGTTATTACAAAGCTAGCAAGTGAAAACTACTGAAAGATACTTTGTGCTTCATATCAGCCAATAGCATAGAGATGGCACGTGATTAATTATCAGTCCATTGTGATACATAATTTTGAATGCTATTAAACTCACCTTTTTTTAATTTGTAGAGCATGAAAAACAAGAGGCAGTGCTGAGGTAAAAATTAGTACAGTCTGACACTGTACCAAACATTTGAGTATTAATGAAGTGCATATATTGATATTCTAGCATATGCAGTTAAGATTCTAGAAAAAAATGAATCGTGGAAAATAAAGTCAAAATCAAAGTAAATCTTGATGCAGGTGGTAAGGTTAACACCTGAATAAGAGATGACCCCAGATGAAACACTGGAACCTAAAAATACTAGGACATTATAGGTAGGTAGAGAATCAAAGGCCTCATCTGTGCTTGGGCAACCTTTTAGACTTTTAGTGAATATCAGTTTCAATAACCAGTGACACAAAAGAAATGGTTCAATGTCTTTGGCTCCTTTTTGACTTCTCAGCCTAAATGGTCTGGCATTAATGTACTAATTTCATCTAAGAGTGACTTTTGGGATTAATCCAGAACAGAATAAACTCTGGTTGAGTCTATTGTGAATGCTTCATTTATTATTTTTTTTTTTTCATTTTTGTGCTGCTTTGTACTTAGGTTGCATCAAGTAGAGGTATATGGACTTAATTTAAACTCTTTTCTTTTTCAGTTGTCATTGGAGTAGGACAACCAGCTATGGTTAAAAAAGGCCATTAGATTTACATGTCTGGGTGCTGAAATTGATTGACAGAAAAATATAATGTGTTCTTAAGAATTGGCTGGCATTCTGTTTCTTTCTTCTCTGTGGGATCACCCTGTAGGTCACCAGTCTTACTGTTTGTCTTCTGTTCCAGGCTTGAGATAATAGTGAAGTTGTATCTGATTTTTGTTTTGAGGTTGAAGTGCCTGCAAACTGTGAGGCTGGATTGATAGGTGCATGGAAAAAAAAATATTTTTTACCTGTTTAATTCTCTAACACACAGTTGTGTGCCCAGGACAAAGATGTATTCACTTCAGGAACTTAATCTTGACTTTGCAATGCATACCTGAGCACAGAACAGTAGTCTGAAAACTGAGGCAGCTTTGGATGTGCTGGGATCAAAACAAAAATTTCAGTTGGTTTAACAAAAGCAGAAGATGCGGTCCCAGATACAGTGATATCTAAGGTTGAAAGCAGGGGAAAATACCCCAGAGATGACTTCCAGCAGGTTTAAGTATAATTCTTCCTGTTTTTTTCTGCATGAAATAAGTCAGTCATTACTAATTTCAACTCTTGGGTGGTTTGCCTCTTGAGTAGTTGCTTGTATTCAGAAGACTTTTTATAAGAGGGTGCACTATATGAATTATAAATAAGTCTATGAACTCTGTATAAATAATATGTTTGTTTAACTTTCGTTTTCTATTTGTATTATAAAGAAGTAGCCAGGGTATCTCAATTGATACATCTCATCTCCACTGAATTGAGTATTATATTATATAAATCACACAGAAAATTTTCTTGAAAATAGAGGCAGAAACCTAACTGCATGGATATTCTGTGTGTACTAATACATACTAAATTCATTTAAAGGCTTGCTTGAATCTGATTTGGGTACCCCTCTAATTACCGAACAAACAGTCTTGGGGCATTGGGAACAGTTACTTTTCACTATATGGAGTTAGTTTAATGCAATATAAATGAAAAACACTGTTCCTGTACTTCTCTGGCTGCCTATTCCCCAAGCAATAAATTGAGAAGCCATATAGATATTTTTGTATAGAATTAAAGTCTTGTTTCAAAATTAATCCTGCTAAACAAACAAAAAAAAACAAATAATGGTGTTACTGCTCTCTGACCTAAACTTGCATTGTGCTCCTCTCACAATAGAACATGCCTGGTAGGTCAAGGACCACCAGTGTCCTAAGTGATCTGACATTGAATGGTCAGTCTCTTTCCCCAAACCAGTAGATGGCTCTAAATTTATTACCTTCCCTTATTTCATTCTACTTATAAAATCTGTGGATAAAACTGTAGAGATTTTAAAAGTGATGGCAAACCTGTAGCTGTGCCCTGTTGAATTTAGTTGTTTTGTGGCTAAAAATGTTTTAACTTTTATAATGTATCTTCAGACTCATTGCAGTAAGTCTTTTAAGGGGATTTTGGAAGTTCATACTGTGCCTAGTAAAGTTCTGGCAGTTGTTACAGATTAAAAACTGAAACGTGGAGATAAGTGTGATACAAGTGCTGAAAGAGAAATATTTGACCTTGAAGAGGATTATGCTGGGAGATAGAATAAATGAATTGAATATCTTTGTCTCAGATGTTTCCTGTTTATCCTGCTGGAATATGCATGCATAAATGCAAAGCCAACAACGCCTTTATATTAACATATATTTGCCATTTCCCTCAGTTATCAAGAGCTTATAAAAATAAGAGCATCTAAAGATGCGTATTTTATGTGGAAATCATGTGATGCACATGGCTTTGGAAGGATTTTCTAAGCTTAAATCAGCTGTTTCATAGGGAAACTCTGCATTCCTGCTGTGCAATTTATAAACTAATTTATGGGGAAATCCATTTCTAGCATGAACGTATTCGACTTTTTTTTTTGTAATCAGATTGAAGCAAGTCGAATCCTATAATACAGAAAGTCATAAATGTCACTCTCTCATATAAAGATGCAGTTACTGGTTTCTTCATTGTATTTAACACCTCAGATTTTTCTTTTCTTTATTGTGTTTCATTCTTGTGGTTTTACTGCTGTGGTAAACAGCTGCCATGCAAATGTGAGTGAGTAAAATATGTGGGAGAGGAGGCATTTCATTCTTCCATTTCCTTTGCCTTTATTCATTTAACTATTTACACAGACTTTCTACACACTAAGAGTGCTGTAAACCAGTTCATTATATCAGTGATCTGGGTAAAAACACAGATCTCTTTGATGTGTGTATTGATGCTTTTTCTTTCAACTGTGTATGCATTAACACAGTAAACCCTGTTAAATGTATGGTCTTATTTATGATTAGATTTGAACAAAAGAAACCTTTTGACATCTTTTAAACTGAAGTAATTAACGGAACATGAATATTTATGAATATTTATTATGCATTTTTATGTTGTATTTAATGTAAATATTCTTATAAGTTTAATTCCTCATTCCACTCCACTATTTTCAAGTTGTATTGAACTAAGTTTTCCAGTCAGATTTTCCAAAGAGTGAGTGCAAATGATCCTGAAAATTGCCCTGGGCTTTTCGTTTTATTTCCGGAAGTATGCACTGCAAAATGCATAGGAAAATCATTATGATTAAGAACTGATCAGCAGTGGCTTTTCTTAGCCAGTACTTCCTATGGCAGCCTACACTCAGATACTGAAAATCCATTGCAAATCACCACTGACTTTGTGTTGTTAAAGCCTGTGTACATGAAGAGAGAACCAATTCCAGACTGTAAATGAAGTGGAGGGCATATGGACAAAAAAAAGTCAAATAAGCATAAGTAATTGATAAAGAAAGGGGTATTTCATCAAGGCATCTTCAGTTTGTAACCTGTAAACTGAGATGTAGCAGAGACTGGCTGCTTAGGTCATCCATCTAGTTGCTGCAGGAGAGACTGAGCCAAACCAGTGGGATGCATTCCCTCTGCTCCCTGGATCTCAGTGGACAAGGATCCTGGGAGGTTTAGAGGACTGTAATGGGGGGAGAAGTCAATGTTATTTTAGATCTGGGAATAGGTATCTCGAGCCAAAGACATGGCTGACTCATTGGTAACCACTGGGGATGAAATTTGGAAGGGTCCTGGAAAGGAACTCCTAAAGTTTTCAGAGCCCTGTGTCAAATAGTAGTTATTTCTGAGCAGTTATCCAACACTTAAGGTGGTTAAAATGTGGTTTTTCATGTGTTTTAAATACCAAAAACCTCAGGAAAGGAGAGTAAGGTACACTTCAGAAAAGGGTTAGATTAAGTATGGCATTACTCAAATGCAAAGACTGGGGTTGAAGATGCAGTAAGTCATAAATAATTGAGATGTGGTGCAGACTGTGGTCTCATTAGGAATCCCTCCTGCTGGTGTGTGGCCCGCCCTCACAGTTTTACGACAAACTTGTAATAAAATGGGGTAGTTTCTGCATGCCATGGTTTGCTCTCATTTCAAAGTGCCAGTTTTGATTTGTATTGGTTTTATTCCAAAGAAGAATAAGTAGTCTTTGAGTTAAGTAAAATTGTGCTTTACTGTGTTGTTCACTTTCACCAGGCAACCATGAGATCCCATGTCTCAAAATCCTTATGCAGATTTTTTTCTTTTGTCTCTCAAGGTGCTTATAAATTATGTCATACCATTTCTCTTTAAAATGTCTACCTAGTTCAACTAAGAACAGCCCTGTGTTTTTAGGAAAGTAATGATTTTCCACCATGAACAAGTTTTTGTATTTAGTGTTTGACTGTTAGTTACCACCTTTTTCACTAAGAAACTTCTAAACTTGGGAAAAAAATAAATGTTGTAGACATTGTGAAGGCTCTAATTCTCCTCTGTGCTGCCAGCAGATGTTGATGAATGCACGTCAAACCCCTGCTCCAATGGAGATTGTGTCAACACACCTGGTTCCTATTACTGCAAGTGCCACGCAGGTTTCCAGAGAACTCCTACCAAGCAAGCTTGCATTGGTAAGAAAATTCCTTCAACTCTGCTGGCATTGCAGATTTTCTGACCCCTTTGTTCCACTGGAGCTCCACTGCAGTTCAAAAAATATCAAAAACCCACACTAAAATAGTAGTTAAATTCATTGGGCTGCTATCCCATTTGTTCTGTTGTTGTCTTTTAATATTTAAACATTATTCTGGAATACCCATCACCTGGCCAGAGAATTTCCCAGGCAGGAGTTCTAAAAAAAGAAAAAAAGTGACAGATGCATATTTATGTATGCAGGTGAATCTGTGAGTAGATTTTTAAAGGTATTCGTGAAGTAATTGCTGAACATCATAAAATGTAGCATTTGTTGTACACTTCTGTAAAATAATATTTTTCTCTGCTGCAATGAAAGTAAATTCTTAACTGAATTTTTTTGTAGTAGTATTTAAACAACATGGCAGTATTTTTGAAAGCAATAATTATCACTATGTATATTTTTTTCTTACAGTAGTTCTCTGATTGTGTTGGATTCTGTTGTTGATTGTTTTTTTCTCTTCTTAGATATAGATGAGTGCATTCAGAATGGTGTTCTATGTAAGAATGGCAGGTGTGTCAACACTGATGGAAGCTTCCAGTGTATTTGCAATGCTGGGTTTGAACTGACTACAAACAGAAAAAACTGTGTGGGTAAGAACTCTTCTAAGGAGTTGGGGCAGGCATTAGCTTGGTGATTCTATAAATTATACTTCATACTACAGGTAAGGATCATTAAGGATTACTTTTTTTGTGATAAGGTACGGCCTGAGCTGAACTTTGAGGCCCTTTATTCAAATACTTATTGTACAGAACTGTATGAGTTCAAAGAAAATTTGAGATAATTTTAGTTTTCAAAGCTACATCTCTCCTCAAGAGTGCCAGGAATAACATTTTTCCCTAAACCTTCATAGCAAATGCCCATATATTAGCACTGCTGAAGAAGTACCTGGTTTTAGTTTTGGCTACTCTGTGTAAAAGAAACTTTCTAGGTAATCAACTAGCTCAGTCTCAGGTGATTGAAGCTTTTTATCCTTTCATGTGTGAAAGAAAGACATGCCCTGTTCTTTCATACACAGTCTACTGAAATAAGCAACTGCTTACATGAAAAAAAATTGCGGCTTTGTCTGTGGAGTGGAGACTTTACAGACCTTTATCGCAGTTGTTGTTAGAAATGAATCTTCAAGTGAAGAAATATGCCATGTCATTCCCAATTGTTTGTTTTTACTCGGTTATCTTCTGGAAGGGGAGAAACTATTCGCAGCTTACTCTGCAATATTTTGTAGACCATGATGAGTGTACCACTGCAAACATGTGTTTAAATGGGATGTGCATAAATGAAGATGGGAGTTTTAAGTGCATCTGTAAACCGGGATTTGTTCTGGCTCCAAATGGACGTTACTGTACTGGTATGTAAAACTTGGGGGGTAATGCATTGAGGCAATGTTGACTGTAAATGGCTTTTCCTGTCCATTCATTCGTGGAAGAATGGAAATCTGATCACATGGACTCAACATTGTACTAGTATCTTACTGACTCATTACAGTAGATTTCTTAAACTGCCTGGAATAGAAATAGATCTTTAACTTACAGAAAGAAATAACTATTTAATAGTATTGTGAAAGCTACAACAAATGATAAATTAGCTTTTGGAAAGCCTTGGAGCATTGTACATGCAGCAAAATATGCTGGCCATTCATGAAATGGTAAAGTGAGCAACAGAATGGGCAGTTTAAAAGATTTTATACTAGTGAACACATACATGTGTATGTGAGCACACACAAGCACATTTTCCTCATCATTATTCTGGAAATTCAGAGTGCATAACACCTGAGACGTTGTACTTGCCACACAGCATTAGAAACTTTTTAAAGCAAGGTCTCTAAAATAATAAACATTTTAAGAATAGAGTCTGATTTAGTTCAGTTTAACCAAACTAATTGAAGATACCTGTTGCTGCCTGTAGAAGTAGGTTTGGGCTTGAGTTGTCTCTAGTAAGTGCAAAATCATCTAAATTGTTAGTTTTCTGATTTGAAGTTGAACCATTTCTGTTAGTTGTCCTTAATTACATGCATTTGTGCTGTTGACTTAGAAATTGATGACTACTGAAAAGTTCTTTGAAATTGAAATTAAACATCTTAAGTATATTCTGTGATTATTGCTCCTTAACCACACTTTAAAGCAAAGTTATAGTATCCTGAGATGGACGAAACAGAAAATTTCTCATTAATTTTGCTAAATGTAGAAACTAAAGTCCCTGTAATCCTACAGTTTTTCTGTGTGTTTTGGTTTGGTTTTGTAGTTTCTTTTTTTGTTTTGTTGTTATTCCAAGGACAAAACAGAGATATTATGATAATTCGTCTGCTATCATAAGGTCATTTGATATTGTTCTAGAAATATTAATTGTAATCTTGCTTTAAAACAGCAATTGTTTTGTTTCCTCTTAGATGTTGATGAATGCCAGACATCAGGAATTTGCATGAATGGTCATTGCATAAATACTGAAGGATCATTTCGGTGTGATTGTCCACCTGGTTTGGTTGTTGGAGTTGATGGTCGTGTGTGTGGAGGTGAGATTTATTTTTTTTCTTCATAGAAAAGCAAGTGGAATTACCAGGTTTATTAATTATGAAATCAAACACATGAAATTACAACCTTCCAAATCGTGTTGATATCAAACCACGGAGTATCTGTTCTGGCATAAATCTGACCCAAAAGGATCACTGAGTCCAGCTCCTGGCCCTGCACAGGACACCCCAAAAATCCCACCATGTGCCTGAGAGCATTGTCCAAACACTCCTTGAACTCTGGCAGATTTGGGGCTGTGACCAATTACTAAGAAATTCTTCCCTGAGAGGGTGGTGAGGCCCTGAGAAGCTGTGGCTGCCCCATCCCTGCAATTGTCCAAGGCCAGGTTGGATGGGGCTCTGAGCAACCTGGTCTAGTGGAAAGTGTCCCTGCCCATGGCAGGGAGTGGAACGAGATGCAATCTGAGGTCTCTTCCAACCCAAATCATTCTGTGGTTCTACAATTCTATTCTGCCTGTACCGTAAAAAAGAAAAAACCCTAGTTAGAGAAATAGTGAAAACTAGATAGATTTGTTTCTGTGAATTGAAATATAATTAGTAAGAATTAGTAGGAAATCTTGCAATCCTGTAGGGATTATGAAGGAAATTAGTAGGAAATTATGCAATCTCATAAACCTAGTGTTTAAGACAGTTCCAGCATAGCTTCAGGGAGTTCACAGGAGAAAAACTGAAGATTTTCAAGCTGATGAAGAATTAAAAACTGTGGAGGGCAAGACATACTAAATCCCTTGTTTTCTGTTGGTTAGATCAGGTCAGCTGCTTATGTCATGATGTTTCACAGAATCATGAAGCAGAAAAAGCAGAGGGGAAACCATTAGCTTAGCTCTGCAATAGATGTATTAATTAATGCTGTGACTGATCTTGCTCATATATGTATGTGTGTTGTATCTGCCTTTGTCTTACCTACATTCTTCCAGATGAACTAAAAACAGCCTACATCACAGTCTTTGAAGTTTATCTCGCACCAAAGAGATGTAACATACTATGTCCTTGTCTTACTATTACCAGTTAATTCAAAATAACATTTTAAATTGTGCAAAAGTCAAAATTCTTTAAAATAAAATCTAGGGCAAATGTTTCTACCAAGTGCTAGCACAAACTAGCCCCTTCTGCTATCACTTCAGTTTGAAAAACACGTGGTAAAAACTGAGAATGGCTTTAAAAGGATAGGCTCTTAAAAGCTAAAATATATTCTCAGTCTCTTAGTTGAAACACAAATATTTCTTGTTTAAAATAAATTAGATATTTTACTAAGCATAACTATACTAAAGATTGGACCAACAAAAGGAAGTTGTGTTCCCTCCTATGTAGTAGTCAAGTTGTTTTCTTCTTGTTTATTAAAAGTTGAACAATGAAAAAAGGCTTGGTGTACTGTTTTAAATATAGAATTTCTCTGCTTAGTGGCACACCAACAAAACCAGATTTGAGTACAAGCTGTTCAGTACCTTTTTGTACTCCAAGTTGGCCTCATCTTCACCCCTGTCAGTGATACAGCTGCAAAGAATCAATGCAGTGCTCAGTTTTCTGTGCTTCATTTACCGAATACTGCCACAGTTCTAGCAGCTAACGACTTCACAAGTTGGCCATCAGCTGTGAACAACATTTATTTGAAAATGTTCAACTCCACATGTTACACAACTTTAAGGTTTACCATATATGCTTACGTTTTCAACAGGAAATATCCTTAATAGGATAGAAAACCATAAGGCAGAATCACAATCTAGTTGGAAAATTGATTTTAAAAAGATGATGTAGTTATTCCAGGTATAAAGTAAAAACCACAACATATAGGAAATTTCAAATACTGCATAACAAAAATATCCTCATACGTGACCTGTAGAATGGAATTTCTGAGCCAATCCACTGTTCAGTTTTTATGTGTGTGCTCGTATATATGTGTGTTTATATATAATCCACATGCTGCGTTAACCACAAGAATTCTCTGTCTGGCTATTCTATCCCATATATTGCATGACCTAAATAATACTTCTCAGACATTCTGGCTGCTAGAAGAGCTTCTAGTACATCCAGGCATTTCAGGTTTGGCTATACATCCAACTGCAGCTCCATGCTTGGATACCTCAGCTGGCTCTGTGTGTGTATCACCTCAGAACTTGTACTGAGCTGTGGCCATGCCTTCACTCGAGAGTGGTTTGTTCTCTTCTGAGACACTTTCAGTTGTCTCTGCCTGGAGCTGTAGTCATCCAAGAGAAAGTAACTAAACTTTGTTTTACCCTGCTAGTTTTGGAGAACCTCAAAGTGCCTGCTGTAAGCATGGCATGATTCGACCTTCTAAGGCTCCTGGATGGGTGCAGTGACTTACCCTGAGTGTAGGACAGCCACTGGTCTACTCAATGTTGACCTCAAATGTGGTGATGATAACTTTTGTGGATGTTGGAGTGCTACACCACAAAATTTAAGAGTCTGGGAATGATATACCTCGAGAAATGGTGGAGCGTTTCTCGCTGCAGGTACATGGTTTCAGCAACACCAATGCTGTTTTGTTTAGTTCCAGAGCTGTTCTGTTAGATTCAAGCCATAAAATAAGTTCTGAGTGGTCTGAAATCAGTAGCCAGAGGCTTCTCACACTAACCGTGGGGAGTGTCACAGGTTCATCAGTGAGGGGCACACTCACAGCTGTAGTGGCATGGGGAACCTTGGTAAGGTGCCTGCAGCAATTAATTCATGGACAAAGCAGTGCCTGTCCTTCTCATTCCTGCTGTCACTTTGGGTAGCACAGCCCAAGGAGGACGTTCTTCCTGTTATATGACTGCTTTTTTGCTTCTGGGGAAGCCAGCTTGGTTCTTGACCGTCCAAAAGCTTAGTGAATCACCTACTTTGTAGATCAGACTGTTTTCCTGTAACTACTTATTCAGTCTTCCTCTTCTTCTCTGTGCCATTTCTATAAAAACATTGAAGTATGTTGAAAAGCACTTGCTCTCTTATGCAGAAAAGTTGCTCTGTACATCTGTGGCTTCCTCCAACTGCTTCCTACACTTCACATCTCTGAAGACCTTCCTACAGTATTTCTTTCACACTTTACAGTCTTTTATCCCCCTGCAGTTTTCCTTGGTGCAGTTTCCTTCCCTTGATTTGCTTCTCCATTCCCTCTCAGAAACTTAACCAGAAGGAGGTCTTCCCTTCTGTGGTAGCCCCTTTCTCCATGGCAGAGCTTGTCAGAGTGGCATCTGGACTTGTTTGAGGTGGAGGGAAAGGATGTGAAGAAACTGATTATTTTACAGAGTACATGAACATACATTTCTTGTGCCAAAGTCCTTGACTGTTGTCAGGCATCATAATCTTTTCCTGATGTCAAGTGCAAGCAAATTGTACTGGCTTCACCTAGACTCTTGGCAAGGAGTAAATTCTAAAATCTAGGACATATTTAGCTGTGCTCCAGAACTGTCTGTTCCATGGGATACCCAAAGCAAGAGAAAACATTTATGTGCAGGCAATGCTATTTTATAGGGGCCAGTTCACGATACTCAAAGAGCAGACAGAATACATAAGGAATTGCCAGTTCTTATTTGGATTGGGCCTGGATATTCAACATTTACTGTAAATTTTTTCATGCAACTTTTCTTTATTGTTTTGGGGTCATAATTTAAGTAGGTAACTGTCTGGATTCCCTCAAACCCTGTTCAATTTCTGAGTCCACGCAGGCTCATGTCCAGGCTACAATGCTTAGTAGTTTTACTGGGGGAGATTGACAAGGAGCAGGAATTCTATCCTGGTCCATAAAGATAGCTGAAACAAAGACTTTTTCTGTAGCTTCAGCAGTATCTGTAGAATTATAGCAGACAAAAGTAAAGGCTGTTTACTTCATCTGTGCCTTGCATTTCTCAATGGCACATTTAAATGGACTGTCTAATCACACACTTGTTAAAAGATCTCTGATAGCATCCTATGAGCAAAAGTAAAAAAGGCATTGAAACTTGGTTACCTGTAGAGGTAGGTCTGGAGGCCTGCCTCTGAAGATGCTTCTTACTGCATCTTACTGGTCAAGCCTATCAAATTGATTTATATGACTGAATCAACTGTAAGATTGGCAGTATGCACATGTTAAGTCCTACAGCTGTATGGCAGGCCTGTATAATTTTTCTACTGTCTCTTTTTGTCATAATTTTGGAGGTTAAAGACTGTCCACATATTATGTGTTTTCTTTGTACAGTGCGTGGTTTGTCCTGGCCATCATTTCCAACCCTCTCCCAGAGATGGCACTGTAACTTCCATAGTGGGTTTTCAATCACAAACCTGAATTTTTTACACTCTAGGCAGTAGTGCTGCTTTCCACATCACTCATTTGTGTGTAAGAAATGCTAAATTGCTCTTGCTAACTGGGTTTTGGGATCTCTTTGGTGTCCTAATCAGCACTGGTGCCAGTTTACATATAGACCTAAGATAATCATGTCATCTAAATGCTGGTGTAAACAATCTGCTGAAATTGCATTTCTGTTCATAATTTATAAATGTAATAGGAGACTATGCTTCTTTTTTTTGGAAACAGGTGTTCACCCATGTTACCAGCCCTGGGCTGCTACTGAATTATCCTACCTGAGAAACCCTTTTGGAAGGAAATAAGAGATCTACATGTCCAATTTATAGAGGTGGTACTTCTCAAAGGGAAAAATTGACCACCACATGCTGCTTGAAGCCATTCTGTGTTTGTAGCAAGGCAGTGCAGACGTAGCTACTCTAACCATTTTGTTGACCAAAAAAAATATAAAAAATAAAGCTTTTGTTGAGATAGTAAGAATACATTTCACTCTCAGCCTAAGGAAATAAATTATGTCTTCCTTTATCCTTTTTTAGATACTCATATGCGTAGCACATGCTATGGAGGCATCAGAAAAGGGCTGTGTGTCCGTCCTTTCCCTGGTGCTGTGACAAAGTCTGAATGCTGCTGTGCCAATTCTGACTATGGTTTTGGAGAGCCATGTCATCCATGCCCTGCTGAAAACTCAGGTAAAATTTTGCATTTCTTTGAATAGTGCAGTGAACATACAGACTTAAAATATATTTTGTTCAGTTTTGAACAGATTGTTCAAGCCTTAAAGAAAAATGAATAGGGGACACATGGATGAAGTTCAGTCCCTGAATTAAGTGTTGTCTATAAGTAAAAATGCTTGAAAGGGAATAGGCGGAGTTCTCCAATGAATCTGTAAATTTCCTGGTCAATCAATCCAGTTTAAAAGAGCAACCCATTATTATTTCTAGAAATCTGTATTTCGTTTTAAGAGAATCAGTTCTTCAAGTAAACCTGGGGATTGATTAAAAAAATCTCTTGAATACAGGCTGAGATGATGTATCTTGGACAGAATTTTCATTCAGTGTCATTCTCTGAAGCAGCAGAAAGCTATTATAATGTAACAAGTAAAACAGGCATTATGGTTGAAAGCAGTAACTTGACGAGACAGTCATGTCAACACTTTAGTGAAATTACCTAGGTGTTTAACTGTTGTCATCTCATCTTGGATTTATATGGATGTGAAAGTTCAGAATGGAAAGCTACTTGACAGATTTAGCTATATTATCTGTACACAGTTATTCCATTTGAACATTGGCATTTCATTACTTACACTGTAGAAAAATTATTTTAAAAAAGTCAGGTGGATTTAGTTTAGAATGAAAGAAGGTGAAACACTGGAAAAATAACATTTTCTTTTCCCCAACATCTCTGCCTCAACTGAGTAGCTGAGTTCCATGGCCTGTGTAGCAGTGGAATAGGTATTACTGTCGATGGACGAGGTATGTGCACATTTTCTTCCATATATATGATTCAAGGTTAAAAAAAATACATAGTCAGAATTATATTTTTCTATAACATACTAGAGTAGAGTTTTTTGCCTCAAGATGAATGTGTTGATTTTAGTATTTGTATTCTAAAAGTACAATATTTAAATATTGTCTAAAGAAAAGGCTGGCAATAATTCTCTGCAACAGTGGGTTTTGCATGACTCTGATAAGGAAAAAAAAAGTAAACCATTTAAAAGTTTTGACTATATTTCTTTTTTTTTTTCTGGTTTTTTTTTTGGGGGGGGGTTGGTTTTTGTTTGTTTGTTTGTTTGTTTGTTTTTGAAAAGGCAAAAGAAAGCTCTCCCTTATTTGGGGAATGATAGGAGCCACTTGGATTATTTGCAGTTGATTTTCAGTCAACTAGGATAGTAGTAGAGCAGTTTTTCACTCCAGATCCAGTGTTCAATCACGGACCATTTCCACGGACAGATTGTTTCCCTGGCGAGTTAAGAGTTGGAAGGGAACTAACTAAAAGAAACAAATCCATATGAAAAACAGGCCTGAAAGTGACCACTTGCATTTTGTACTGGGAACTGTAAAGCTCCAGCTCCTTTTTCAAGTATCACAGAGACAGGGATTTTAAAAAACAGTAGCTGAGCCAGACCTGAAGTAGTGGCAACACTGCAACTACCTGCTAAAGTAGAGTGGATTGAAGAAGGAATAGGGGAACACAGTTTTATGATTTATTGCTAGGTGTTTATCTAATGAGTTAATAAATTTCAGCCAAATTAAAGCAGATACTGTACATTTAATATTTCCAGACATTTAACTTGTATAACTTTTGTCCTTCTTAGCATTAAAGCTCCTATTACATTCATCAGGAACAGAATGAGGCTGTCTTATCATTATATTTATTAACATCCTATATAACTTTTATAAATAGTACTATAATAAATTCTCTTTCTGTTCAGTACAGCAAGTATCTGCATAGTTTTCTGTTTTTTGCTTAACATGCTGGAGACTTACAAGTAAATTGATATCCATAGAATTTATAAATTCCCTCAGTTTACTTTTCAGTGAATTACACAAAAGAATCTCTGAAATAGAAGATTCACTGAATCTCATGGAGAAATAATGTAAGTGTTCCATAATCTTGCAGAAGCAGCATCCTACCGTGAGAATTTGAATTCACCTCATTCAGCTTGTGACTAACAAGCACAAGTCTCCATGTGAGAGAAATCTGGACATAGATAAGGACAGAGATTTTGCAGTTTCTTTCCGTGTAAAATGTAATAGGAAGGGCTGAACCTTCTGAAATCATTAATTTGGTAAGGAGAGAGAGAGAGTCATAAACTTACGTGGCTTGTCCCCAAGATTCAAACATGTTTAGGAAGCTACAGAATGCACTTTGCTCAAAAGAAAATATAAATGTGAAGTATTATGGTAAATCATATTTTCATATGAAATTTTTATATGTCTCATAGCCTTGAGTTTTGTCCAATGATAGCATGATTTTTCCTAATGTGTATCTCAGTATATGTAAATCAGTATCTGCACTATGATTAAAGAGGAAATGTCCTTTGTAAAAAGCTGAGAACTACAAGTATACAACAAACCTTTTTATGAAGTCACAGCTAGACCAGCACCCTAACTGTTCTTTCCAGGGTTTGGAAAGGGAACTATTTAAAGTAGTTGACTTACTGTATGGAAAGAAAGAATTTAATATTGAAAAACCCTCTTTTCCTGAGAGGCAAAAAATATTTAAATGAGTCTCTTCCTGTTCTTACATTTCCTATGAATATTGTGGAATTTTCCAACCACAGCAGAAATTTTATATGGGACTGTAAATTCAGGGAATATATCTCATTCATCATCCTGTTCTATCTGAGAAAAATTTAAAATTTCCAACAAGTTTTTGTAAGACTGAATATGCTATGGTATTGACCTATGCGTTACTTCTGTATTACGGCAAGTATTTGTGTCAGCTAATAATGTGAAACTAAAGATTCCTAAACCACAAGCACTGAGTCCACAGGCTGCATATTATACATCAAATTATTCTTACATAGTTTCCAGTTAGTTTAGGTTGGAAAGGATATCTGGAGGTCATCCAACCTAACCTTCTGTTCAGAGCAGGGGTAACATCAAAGCTGAATCATTTCTCAAGGCCTTGCCCAGTGGAGTTTGGAAAATCTTCAAGGATGGAGTTGCAGGGCAGCTTGCTCTAGTGCTTAACTACACTTGTGGTGAAGAATTACTTTCATGGTATTTAGTTTAAATTTCCCACAGTGCATCTTGTGACTGTTGTCTCTTGCCCTGTTACTGTGTGCCTCGAAGAAGAGTCTGGCTCCATCTTCTCTGTAACCATCTGTTAAGGTCAGAAGCTGCTGTTGGACATCCCTCTCATATTTCCTCTCACAATCTGAACAAGTCCAGTTCCCCCAGCCTCTTGTTACACATCAGGCAGTGATCCTGCTGGGGGACTTCCATTACACTGACATCTGCTGGGAAAGCAGCACATCAGGCTGGATGTAGTCCAGGGTACTCTTGGAGCTAGGTGATAGATAGTTAAACCAGAGGAGAAGCATTACTGGACCTGATGCTTCCCAACACAGATGAACTAATTAGTGATATCCAGACTGATGGTAGCCTGGGCTGCAGTTATCATGCCCTGGTGAATCCTTAGGCATATGGACCAGATGAAGAGCAAAGCTAGCACCCTGAATTTTGGGAGAATTTATGAGCTTTCAGTTGTTTAAGGCATTAGTAGATGGGACCCCTTGGGAAACTGCCCTCAGGGGTAAGGGAGCAGAACAGACCTGGCAGTTCTTCAAGGACTGTCTCATGAGATCACAAGGCCTTTTGATTACCACATGTACGAAATCAGGCTAGGAAGGCAGAAGACCAGCATATCTGAGTAAGGACATCCTGATTAAACTGAAATGTGAGAAGGAACAGCACAGTCAGTGGAACAGGTAGAATCCTGCAAGAATGCGGGAAAGCTGCCCATATATGTAGGCATGGGATCAGGAAAGTTAAGGCACATTGGAGCTTGAACATGACAGGCTTCTCTAGGTACATGAGGAGGCTTGAAGAGTGGGCCCATGTGAACCTCATGAAGTGGCCCAAGACTGGACACAGAATTCCAAGTTTGCCTCACTGGTGTCAAATAAGGGGAAGAATCACTTCTTTCAACTTTTAGCCACACCCTTGCTCTGAATGACAGCCTCAACATCCACTGAGTCAGATGTTGTCCACATCTGTCACAGGATCAGATTCCTTGTATCTTTCAGTGTCTAATAATCTTCTGTGTTGTGTTAATACAGATATTAATGAGTGTGCTTTGGATCCTGATATTTGTACCAATGGAATTTGTAAAAACCTGCATGGCAGCTATCGCTGTAACTGTAATAGTGGTTATGAGCCTGATCCTTCTGGAATGAATTGTGTGGGTAAGTTGTTAGATGTTTTATGAGTATTGAATTATTTATCACTATATTCTTGCTAATTTGACTTTACAAAATTCAGGTTGCAAGACATCTACTTCCTAAAGCTGCAATGAAAATGCAAAAAGCCTAATGAAACTGCTTTTCTAAATTACTGCATAGTTGTTATTCTTACTAGTTTATTTTCCTGTAATTTGATGGGCATATATTACTGTTTGAGAAGTGTAAGCTAGAGATACTGCAGGTTAGAAATCAATTTTCTCAAGAACATGGATCAGTTTGTGTTGTGTTTTAATGTATAATATATGTCAAAATCACCTAAAATGTGTCTTTTCAAAGCTGGAAGATGGTTTTTCAAGAGCTGAAGGTCATCATTTTGCATAGTAATGTAATAAAAATGTAACAAATGGCTCTCATTATCATCATGAATGATAACTGGTGGCCTGTGTATACAATCTCTACAATGTACAGTAGTTCATTATGTCCCTGAGCTACACAAGTACAGCAGAAGGGATTGCTGCACATTTAGTCCCCTGGGTCTGACAGCTTAAGCTCATGAAGGAGGCAGTGATCCCCTCTTAGCTTTCCATAAATTATCACTGAACACTGGGCTCAAGTGTAACAACCGTCGTTTTATTTTTCAGAATTTCAGGTCACCAGTGTACAGGAATGATTCACTTCAGAAACTTGTAATTGTAGTTTGGTTCAACTGTTGGTGAAGTATCTAGGTACACTTTCTGTAAGTGTTTAGGAATACCTGTGAGAAAATACCTATGATATGGTTCATACTGTCTAATTAATTTTATTATTTATAATCATACATGAAACCCAATTTTTTTTTCTTTTGGGAATTTTTACATCCAGAAAAGGTATATTATACCACAAGAGCATCGTACAATAATATTGCTTATAACTTGGTAATTTTAAGTAGAAAACTGAAGTTTGTTTAAATTAAAAGGTAATGGAAATCTCTCTGAAACCATTAGAAAATTTAAAGTCTTGCCTTTAAGTAGTGTTTTTTTTATTTTGGGCATTTACTCCTCTCTCAACTTAAAGATTACTGACCTATCATTGTTATTTGTGGTCAACAAAAGTCCACCATTTTTGGTAGGGAAAACCTGGACCATATAGCTGTGGTATAATTTTCAAATCAGACATTCCTACCTGGTGATGCAAAGCAAACACAAAGTAAGAAAAGTGTTTCTTTTCATCTGCTTGACTTAAGGAATTTTACATCTAATTGCTTCGTTTCTGCAGGAAAGGCACTGCTGCAGAAAACTATTGATGTGTTTTAAAAATACTTCACATAATATTTATCTTCCAAGTAGATTTTGTGTCAAGGGATTTTGTTTATCTAGTTACACTTGAGATTATGTAAGTGCTAATGTAGGTATATGTTTGTTTAATTACTTAAATAGAAACATACCATGCTGACTGTGAAGTTGCGTTTATTCTTAGGTAGAATTTTTGCATAAAAGAATTTAAATACAAACACTCAGATTAAAGGTTGAAATATTTTAATTAATGATACAGACTGTGAGCTGCCATGAAATGAAAATGGTCATGAGTCAGAATGCAGACAGTATTTTAGAGCACGAGTTATATTGTTCTGTGATTTTACAGTGCGTATCACCAGAGATTACAGTCCAAATCTGAAGTTATTGCATGAGATTCAAAGGAAATAATATATTCACCACGGTTTGGGTTAAAGGACTGTATGACAACAAGCTCATAATTGCTCTTGAAAATGTCAAATTGCAAATCCATCCTCCTTTCCTTAACTGAAATCAGATGAAGTTGGATTACTGGTAGGTTAGTTTAGAAGAGCTTTTTTTTTTTTTTTTGTGGCTGCCAAACTTAAACTTGGATTCATCATTTTGGGGAAATTTAGACTTTATTGTCTGACTCCTAAAGGAATTCATAAGCATAGTTTAGGAAATCTAAAATAGTGGATATGTGATGGGCATTGAAGGAGAGTGGTTTAAAATTATATTTTTTTTTCTTTTAAAGAATAAAAAAGAGGGCAATGAGGAAGATTCATTACTTTTTATTTTAATTATTGGTGGTTAGTTTAAGGGGAGCTCAGGAAATTGTATTAATTTATGGGATTTTCCTTGCTTGATGTCTTGGTCTTAATCATACGGGTTTTTTAAATACACTGTACCTCTGGAGGGGAGATACAAAAATTTTTTGTAGCATTAATTAGAATTAGAATTTTGTAGAATTAATTAGAGTTTTGAAACTAAGAACGAGTTGTGGAGATGAAGGCATCTCAGGGTCTTTTTTTCTCATTATGTAACTCATCCTTTTGCAGACGTTGATGAGTGTTCCATGAACGGACTGCTGTGTGACAACGGGCTCTGTAGAAACACCCCTGGGAGTTACAGCTGCACTTGCCCCAAGGGTTTCATGTTCAGCAGGGAGACAGACACATGTGAAGGTAAAAAGTCTGCAAATTTTGTAAATTCTCTTGTTGCATAAATCTTCACATTCCTCTTTGCCATATTTTTTAATGTGTTGGGTATTTGCTGTTGATTTTCGTTCAAAGTAATCAGTTCATTTTTATACAAAAGTACTTTCCCTAGATAAAACATTTTTAAACTACAATAAAGCAGAATATATCAATGCTTGCCTTTGATCATATAGCAGGAACACCTCTAAACAGGGAAATGCATCTGTTTTGATCACAAAGTCTCTTTCTTTTCTCCCTTCATCTGTTGTAATAGGATCAAATTCAGTCATCTGTGATGCATTCCAGGTCTGAGTATTACTACCTAGTACTACTAATATTGTTCTTTATTTTTACAGTATAATCAAAATTGCTTTCTTACATTACATTACATTACATTACATTACATTAACAGATGTTAAAGCAACAAAACCGTTACATGCAAAAGCTAATGCTAACCCTTAATTATTAAAAAACAATTAAGCAAGACTGTACAAAAAAAAACACCTTCAAAATGAAAGCATTAGCTTAAGGGGTGCCTTTTAGTTAGTATTCAGAGTAGTAAAATTTTACTGGTGTTTTCCATTATTTTTATTTGGTTCCACAATCTGTAAATCTCAATATTTGTTATGATTAGAAAGTTTTACAGTAAAGCGTCTCACATAATCTTACACAGGGAAGCTACAATCCTTTGTTATGGAATACCTGTTATGTGAACCAATGTAATCATACAGATTTTTCTGAAGTGGTGGTGGTCATTGTTGTCCTCAACTGTTTGTTATTACTGATCAGATGTTACTGCTATACAGCTAAACAAACATCTCAAAAGTGGAAGTGGTTTTGATTCTGACAGTATCAAATCATTCACATCTTCACCTCATCTACACAAAGGAAATTATATTCCTTTATATTTTAATATGGGTAAGTTTACAAGGTCACCTTTAAAAGTTAAAATCTCCACTCCTTCTGTATGAAGCAAATCAGTAGCACTTGTTCAGGGCAGGGAGTTTCTTACATCATCTGGATTCATAGTGCTTTCTGTGCTCTGTTGTCTCAATGCCTTGTATATATCCACAGTATTTGGGAATTAATTCTGTATGATTATTTTCTGTGCACTGAAAAATTTCTATCTGTGAAAATAGTGTAGTATGTGCTTTTAATGTACCTGTTTCTTAAGGAATCTTCTAGACAGAAAAAATTAAATAGGGTGGAAGATACAGGTGGTCACTAGCAAAATGAAAAGGCCATCAACATCAGAGTGTAACACTGACCAAAAGATAGATAAATGAAATACCAGAATGCAAACAACCTAGGTAATATTATTGATAAAAAATATATCTAGATTTTGAAACATAAAATGTAGATTTATTTTTTAATGGACATAATACTAATACAAAGGCTCAAAATAAGGATTTGACAACAAAAACAGAAAGAAAAAAAATGGTTTCATGGTTGCATGAGTAACCATAGACACCACAGCCCTAGGAAAAAAGCAAACTTTTCCATCTACTAGACATCCTTACCATCACTACAGTGTGTTTTCTCTTGTGCACGAAGTTTGGGGGTAATGATACAGTCAATGTGGAAGTCTCTTATCTTAGGGGTGTTTTTTGTGAGAGGAATGTAAGGGAGAGTTATTATGGAGTGGAAATGAATTTACTAGTTCATTTGAATTAATGGTCTGTTGAGAAGAGGATGACTTCTTTAGATAGCTCTGCCAGCTGATATTGACTGCAAAGCCATAGTATATAGTTACAGTTAAAATAAAATAGAATTTACCAGAACAAGAGGAAACCAGCAGAAATCCAGATGGTAGGAGTGTCCCTTCTTAATGGCATCTCAGAGCATATGTGCAAGGAATGTGACTACTTCTAGGCTTTGTCTAAGAGATTAAGGTACATTTCCCAAATTATCCATTTATAAATCAATTTGAAAAACATGAATAAAGAAGTAGTATAATTTGCTCAAACTAACACACTAATAGTGCCTGTGACAGTCTTCTAGTAAGTAATGTGTTTCTTAACATGAGCCAACCAGCGTACGATGTAGAAAATGCAAGCCTTGTTTATACAGCTGGTTATTTAAATTGAAATATATACTACAGTGAAGGAACAATTGCAGAGGTGATCATTCAGGCTCATTATATAAGACTGTTTGTGTTTGTGTTTCGTGGGTTTGGTGAGATTTTAAGTAATGCATTTACTTTTTGTAAGAATTTTTTATGTACTCCTAAAAGAACATACATCTTTACCTGCGTGCAGTATTTTTACTGTGGCTCCTGCAAAGACTAATGAAAAAGTAGTATCGGATATATTCCAAAAGACAATAAAAGAGGATAGATCTGACCCTGTCTTATCTCTCTTTTCTGGTAATCATCAGATTTAGCTTGTTACTAAAAAGGAGAATATTTTACTGTCTTCAAAGAGTAACAGTGACTGTACCTCTCTTGGCTGTATTTCATAATCCTGTATAACTGCTGAACTCTGAGCAATGAACTTGTGATTGGGCATGGATGCAGAAGTAATATTTAAACTAATTAACCTTTTTTTTAATAGAAGAAAAAAATCCTCTTTTCTCATTTGAGAAGGAAAGAAAACCTGGCAAACAACTGTTCATTAACTGAAACTTCAGATTTGTGAGATGTTTTCTTCCTGAACATATCTTATTTTAGTCACCTTCAAATACTTCTCATTTTTTATTGTCTGTACAGCAGAATCTGAAGAATTTTCAGTATCTTCCAATAGTCTTATCTACATTTAGCTTACGTACACTGGTCATGAAGATTCTGTCATCTTCATCTTGACTCTCATAGTTGGATTGATGTTTAAATTGAGGTGACGAGTTTAAAATGAAGGTCAGGAGGTGTTTTGTGTAAAACTGTCTGCAAAACCTATTAAAAGTATTGTGTTTTTACAAATGTTGAGTAGGCAGTAGTATGTTCGGAGGAAAAAATTATTCTCTTTCTGCCCAAACTCTGTTTTTAAGGAAACACTACATAATTTGTTTTGAAGTTACAAGTTCACTAGTTGTAAAAACCTTCTGTAGTCAGGAGCTCTGTATTGTGCACTTAAAATACTCTGATGCTGATTACTCACCAGTATATTTTTAATATAACTCTCATCAGCAACTGTGAAGAAATTATAAAACCCTTTACTGTTTTACTTTATAGTTCAATTCAAATTTTTTATGAATTTCTTGTGAGGAGTAGGAGACTTGTTTGAGGCTCTAGATCCTGTGAAAGTTGAGATTTTTTACAACAAGCTTCATGTTTTAATTTGTGTTTCCAATGACATAACTAGTAAAATGTAAACCAGATGTGCTTTGAAGTTCATTTCCAGGAATGTACAGTGGACTGTTTCAATTTTTGTTTCTCTGACATTTACAATGTACACTTACTTCACTTAACAGAAAAAAAAAAAATTAAAAACCCTCAATAAATGTTTTCGTACATAATGGGTTTTATTTTAAAATACAAAATTGTATTAAAAGCAATTTGGTTTTTTGCTTACTCTTTTTAAGATTACCATGTAATATTATTATAAGAAAGTGTAGGGAAACAATTTTCGGAGTTTTTGTACATTATGCATGTGATACTTTTTTCGCCTGATTCATCAGTGTGGTAATGCTGAAGTACATTTATCTTTTTCTTTTATTTCACAGATGTTAATTTTGGGGAGTAGTCAATCCACTATTGTAAACCTGTCACTATCCAAAATCATGGAATATGGGTTTTATTTCTTTTTTTCTTCTTCTTAGCTTAGTGCTGAAGCATGTCAAATGCAGAAAGTAACTAAATGAGCTTTCTGGGCGTTAGAGGCCTAGAGCATAGTCACAAGGTAGCTGTAGAAGCAACCAGAAGTTAATGCTGCCAATTATGAATAAATTAATTCTCATGGAAAGCTGTTCTCCCTCTTTCTGCTCCATAGAGAGAAAATGGAATGACTATTCCTTCACCTACATCAGGACAGAGGGAGATGAGGAGATACGACGGCTGATTTGGAGGGGGGCATCTTCAGGTCTTGGGTGTCAAACCATTCTCTGGAGATGTAATGTTCTCCCAAACTGCCCCTCGAGCATGTGGCTCTATGCACACAAACCACGGCTGAGGGACGGACGAAAGAGGAAGTTTATTGGGGATGGGGGTTTCTATGGCTTTCAGGGGGATTGAAAAGGGACCAGGTACTACAGAAAAACCCAATCAGGTAAAGAGTTAATAGCCAATAGAAAGAGGTGAACAAAGGCCAATGAGAAGACCTAAGGATATCTTCCCAGGACATTCCTGCATAAGGGTCCTTTACAGGGGGGTATTGGGAAGGAGACAGAGTGACTTTGCAAAATACAGAAAAGCCATCTTAAGATCTGTTTAAACAACATAAAAAACTTCTGTTTCTATAACATTTGAGCTGTTTTCTTCTTTTCCTTCACCAGTCCATCTCTGACAGGACTTTTTCCATCCCATAGAGCAAATCCATTGCTACAAGGAGGAGTCTGTACATCTTCCCTCACTCCTGATATTGATGACCAACTTCAGCCATTCCCACTCCAGAAGGTGGAAATTATCTGTCTCTCTGTAGGATCAGTGAGGGGCCAGTTCTGGCCCTTGAGAAGGGCAGAAACAGACTGGGAGAAGGAGCAAGGGTGAAAGGGGAATGCCCCTTGGGGACAGCAGCAACTGGCAGATTGAGTCAGCTGGTTTGTGAAGGAATATGTTTGATGTAAACTTGAGTGAGGATTTAGTCTAGACTACCTGATTTAGACTTAAAAGGGACAGGCAGTTCTTCCTGTCAGGTTATTTCTGACAAGATTGTATTACCCTTATGTTGTTTGCCTTTTTGCTCACCCATCTGTGTTCAGTTTGAGTCTTTTTCTCAGCTCTTTCACTATCTTTGGGCAGGGAATTAAGAACATGGACCATGAAGCCAAGAGAGCTGCCTCTGCTCTTCAGAACGTGTGGAACTTTATTTGCTTTGACCCCTCCATCTCAATTTATTCCCTCCTTTGCTTGTAGTTTTGGGGACATTGACTTCCAGCTGTGGTCCTTTATTATTTATCAGGTTTGTGTTTATTGTGAACTCTGAAAACCTGAAATACGAGATGTCTTTACTTAGAAGAAAATTGATTTTAAACCTAACTTGCTAAGCATCAGGGAGATTTAAAGATGGGCATGATAACCTGGTACTACACCTATAAATGTGAAGCAATTTAAGTTTCATGCATTTTCTTAATATTCTGAATACTGGTTGAAGTGGTGTTTTGGATAGTGGCAACTGTCTGCTTATTACAGGGTTTCGTCCTGCACATTGGTTGTGTATGTGCAAACCTGTTGCGCGTGTGCAAACAGGCTTCCAGCTGTTAAAACCATGTGACACTTTAAGTGAAAATCACCTATTTTCAGCCTTAAATATCTTCAGTAGACTTCACAGGTTATGCCTGGTCTGTCATGGGAACTTCTCTAAGGTTGCAACTTAGTGACAGCACAGAGGAGCAATTGAAACTTACTGGACAGAGAATAATATCTGTATAAAAGCAAAGACATAAATCCAGAGCCTCATCAGAGATGTCTGACTCACAACAGCAAACATACAAAACTCTTTGAATTCCCAACACTTGGGGGTTGGGGGCTTCTGACATAGAGGATCTTTACCTCATACAGACCTTGATGAATTTATCTTCCAGGAGCTTGTCCAGATCGCTGCTGATTAATGCTAGCTTCCATCATCCCAGGGCAAGAGTTTCCAATTTCTCTACCTGTTCTGGAAAAAAATGTTTCTTTACTTATTTTGACACCAGGCATCTTCACTGGATGTCCCCTTGTTCTTGGACTTTAGGACTCAGACAGTGACTTGATGCCTTTCAGAGGGAGAAACTATACATCACTTCAATTTTGTTAATTTGTCTTGTCGTTTCAATTTTTTGCTCACTTTCCCAGAGCTAGCCAAACTTCTGAAGGCAATATGGCAGATAAGAAGAAACAAAAGTGTGTCTTTATCCAAGAGCATTTCTATTCAGATAATTATTTGTGTATTTAAATGACTTCTTTGTGTAAGTGTAATTTGTTTCTGATTGCAAGAACCACTTGGGTTTCTCTGCAGAAGCAGAGAACTACCAGGTGTTGCTGTCTGGGAAGGTAATGGGAAGCAAGAGAGGCAGGGAGCATATCCTGGGTAATAGAAACTGACATAACAAAGTATGAAATATATTTACGGGGAGGAGAAGGGATGCAGAGCAGATGATTGTTGATGAGGCCTCCAGATTGCCAGCTTGGACAAAAAGGGAATTAGAGTTACTCTGTCAGAACCAACTGCTTTTGAAAATACATATTCCCTCCTGTGACTCAAGAAGATCTTGAAAGAATACATCTCTTGTGAAATGAAGGCTTGATGCATCATCATGTGTCAAATAGCAAATAGTACCTCTTACAGGACTTCTAGAAAACTAAGATATTTAGGCTTGCCTTGAAAATGATCTCTTGATGCTCTTAATGTTTCCAGTGCTTGTCTAGATACTGCTTTAGTTTATAATTCATTCAAACCAGCCTGTTTTACTTTATGGATATTCATTATTCCTCAAGTACTGCTAGCAAATATAAGCAAGCACTATACATTTTTGTTTCTGGTCTACCAAGGGAACTGTCTGGTTGGATTAGAATGTAATTAGAATGTATGGCTTAATTCAAAATCTAAATCAGAAAATTAAATTGGTTGAGTTCAGGAAGAAGTGATGGAAATGCATCAGCAATTGTTCTTCAAAAGAACTTACTAGTATTATTTTAATCTTAAAACTGATTTCACCTTTTAAAAAAATCAGCAAATAACACTGTCTGCAGGGGTCCAATTCTTACATGTGAACAGACTTTAAAAACCACCAGGGGTAATAAACAGAAGGAGTTAGGTGCTAGAGAGAAGTATCATTTACAGTATTCTGATTACAATTCCTATTTCTCTAACATTTTCCATAACTAGAGAGTAACAGCCAGCATTGTGATATTTTGCCTCTGATAGGGTTTAATTCTTCCAAAGTCTCATGGAGCTCTGAATGACAGAAACAATAAGGGCTTTTTTTGTGCACTGCATGATGTGGTTAGGAATGCACTGCATTCTGTGAAAAAAAGACTTTTTGTTTTCATACAGGACAGTTGTAACTGATGCCATTTAATTAACACTTTCAAAATAACGTGCTCCTGTACATGTGCAGACACAGGCTACCTGTCTGTTCCTATATCTTTTGAATGTCATGCTGAGAGGAGCAGAGATATAGCAGGTACTATATACCAGATATACTGGGCAGTCCTGGCAACTCATGGTCCACAACAGCATTTATATTGTGTAATACTTTCCAGAAGCACATTGTAGTTCTAACAATGTCTTTTGCATCTGGATCATAGATATAAATGAATGTGAAAGCAGTCCATGTGTCAATGGTGCCTGTAGGAACAATCTTGGTTCTTTCCATTGTGAATGCTCATCTGGCAGCAAGTTGGACTCTACAGGATTGATTTGTATTGGTGGGTATTTCCGGCTGTTATTTTCACTTTTTCTTATTAACTTGAAAAACATTGTTCATATTGATTAATTTAGCAAGAAAATAATGTATTTGGGTGATTTCCCTTTGATAACAGACAGTATGTTTGGCTCTGTAGGTAGGACCAAACAAACACATACTAATTTGATTGCTTCCACGGGAGCAGGAACAAACTGAGAGAAACACGATTCATGAGAAAGTCCAAACCATGGTGAGAGTGGTGAAATGTACATGTCAATTGGTGGGAGATTACAAAATTACACCGGTGGAAGGTTTTGTTTTAAAAGAGAGCCTGTACTCTGACTGCTGTTATCATGGACATCATGCCAGCCCTTTCTGCTGTGGCAATTCCATATTGTTTTCCGTTCTCCTGCAGATAGCCTGAAGGGGACTTGTTGGCTCAATATCCAGGACAATCGCTGTGAAGTCAACATCAATGGTGCTACACTGAAATCTGAGTGCTGTGCTACCTTAGGAGCAGCTTGGGGCAGCCCATGCGAACGGTGTGAATTAGGTATGGTCTTATATTGTGCATCTTTTGGGAAAGGGGAATAAGTATCACTAGATAGATTTTCATCGTTCTTTATCTAGAAAACAAACAGAAAACACAAAAAAACCTGTGAAAGGAAGTTATCTTATTTAGCATTACCTGTAATCTCCCCCATCAGATATAATTCTAATAGTTTTGAAGATACCACAAAATAACACGTGAATAAATCTATCAGTGTATGTCTCCACAGGGACTATGTGTTGTATGGGGTAGGGAGGCAAGGACTACAACAGTAAAGTGAAATATCTGGTAAAATTCTGGAGGCCTTTTTGTGTTGCAGGCTGTTAACCCTTTTTCCGTTTCTTTTCAAACACGTGGCTTAAGTACAATTACTGGTTGCAGGATAGTGCTACTATTAGCTTACAGGACTAGGTCTAGAAGTTGGAAGCAGGAATGCTGGCTGTGCTCTAGTTTGTGGTAAAAATACTGAGCCACATTCTTCCCAGAAGTTTTGAATAATACCACTTGCGACTGAACTAGTGTCAAGATGTTTTAGCCTCTCATTTTTAACTGGAGCAGTAACTATGGACACATGTCCCGCCTAACAGTGCAAACAGCATCCAAGAGATCTGTTAACTGTGCAGTGCTTCAGAGATACTACTTTGGACTCCAGGAACCAGCATGGGCAGGTTACATTGGTAAAACTGATCAAAACCTTGTCATTCTAGACAGTTCATTACCTCAGACTGGGTACATTTGGCCATTTCATTTTCTATTCCATAGTTAGTTAAATTTCAGTAAGCTTTTTGTATCACTATGATGCTACATTTTATATACATATCCTAAAATAATGGCATTGTTCAGATCCTTCATTAAGCTTCAATGAAAAAAAGAATGTCAGTAGTAATAACTGACGTCACCAAAGCTTTAAACCTTCAGGCAGCTTTACAGGAATTTTGCCTTTTAGCTACATCTGAGTGCAGAGATTGATATGATTAGATGCTGATCATTCTGGTCTCCATTAAGGACAGCACATGATAAAGTAACTTTCTAAGATTTCATTTTCTCAACTGTTCACTTACTTTAAGTTACATGCATGAGTCAGTCCTTTTCTTGAGGTTAGAGCACTCATCACCTTACACAGTCAAATTATTAGAGAATTCTGAAAAAAATTTTTTTTTTTTTTTTAATTTTCTGTCCCTACATTTCTGTCATTCTGAAGCAGTAATACATCTTTCTGGCTTGATTCCAGACACAGCTTGCTCAAGAGGATTTGCCAGAGTGAAGGGTGTTACCTGTGAAGGTGAAGTTTTTGCTTCTTACTCAAGATGTCACTTTTTTTCCACTTGAGAATGAGATAAAAGGGGATATTATGTTGTTAGTTTTGTGGGATATAATCATCTTGACGTTAGATGAATGCCTTTGTAAACAATTACTGACTGTTAATAAGTGTTACGCTGTTGAAGACTATGATGCAAAGACAGTGGAATTGCTCCTTCAAAATATGTTTAATCTGTTTAGTCCATTTAATTCATCTTGTTTTAGAGAATGGGGCATCTCAGTGCCCTATGACTTGAAAATCTTTCAAGAGACCCTTCAGACTGAGCCAGGTGTTTGTTCAGAGCAGTGTTCAGACCCTAATGCAGCATAGATGAAAGCCTCTTGCTTTCTTTCATGTCACCTAAATTCTCAATAAAGCTGTAGCTGTCTCCTTCCAGTTAGCACATAACTCAGCTCTTTGTGTCCCCCACAGATGTAAATGAATGTGATGTTTTCCCTGGAGTTTGTCCTAATGGGCGATGCATCAACAGCAGAGGCTCCTTTCGCTGCGAGTGCCCTGAGGGGCTGACACTGGATGGGACAGGGCGAGTGTGTTTAGGTAAGAGCACACTCAACTCTCCCAGCTTTCTAACTGTGGCCAGCAGTTCTCCAAAATTACTCTCAAAGGGGCGTGAAAAGAAGTTTGTGTCAGAATTATTCCTAAAGCAGTTTGTTAACTGTACATTTTAGTTTATGCCTGCTTAGCTATCAAATATCTGTGCCAGTTTGGAGAAGAGTTGTTAATTCCTTAGAGGAATGTGTTTGTGTTGAGGCTTGTTTTGCTCACAGTGCAGGCAACAGGTTTTGCTAAAGTTCTGTCCCTGCTGATTCCTATCCACAAGCAGCAATGTCTGATTCCCTGAGTGATAGAGGATGAGTACAAATATGCTGGTGCAAATTTGTCTTTTTTTGCAGTGCACACACCAGTATGTGGTTCTTCCTGACATTTGGGTGCACAGATACAGATTTTGCCTGCAAAATCGTGGTTGGTCTATTTTTTGATTGGCCTGCTCTGGTGCAAATGGGACCCTTGCATGTAAACATAATTAACTTTTCTGAAAACCCTGTTGTTTTCTCGTGCTAACTGGTGCTAAAGTAAGCAACAGTCAGCAATGTTGTTTGGTTTTTTTTTAATCTGTATTCACTACACTATTAATAATAATGCATAAATGCATAATGAAATCTTATGAGGATTTTTTTTTACCACAAATACCATGAAAAAGTCATTTGGTCAATGACAATACCTGATACAGTAAGGAAATACATGTACCTGTTCTGTCAAATACACATACAGGCCACAAAAGCACAGCCATGTCAAGATAATGGTATACCTCGATAATGGGAGACAACAAAAGAAATTCTTGTACTTTTATGTGATACAAGAAAGGTCCAGAAATTTAACTGTAGTACAGTATTAACAGTGTCAAATGGTTGAAGTGTAGTGTTGAGTGTTGAGCAGAAATTTGTTGCACACAAACTGAGTCACATTCATCAGAAATAGGTGCTTCTGAAAAAAAAGCAAGAAAAAGTTAGCAAGGAGTTAAACACCTGTTTGCTGTTGGAAATTATCAGATATCCGAATGGAGCAGTGCTACCTGAGGTGGGATGAAGATGAGTGTGTCCAACCTGTGCCTGGCAGGTTCCGTATGGATGCCTGTTGCTGTGCTGTGGGGGCTGCCTGGGGCTCCGACTGTGAGCAGTGCCCCAAGCCTGGCATGAAGGAATTCGAAGCTCTGTGCCCCAGAGGGCCTGGCTTTTCTAACCGGGGAGATGTTCTAACTGGCAGGCCATTTTATAAAGGTAAGGGTTCATCCTTGGATCTGAAAATTAATTATAGGTACGTCTGAGAGAGCATTCCATGGTTTGAGTCAGTTTTTTATGTGCTTGAGAGACGTTATGAAGCTATTTTGCCTGGAAGAGCTGACTTTACAGGTGGGGAAATTCTTTGCTTGCATGGTGCTCAACTGTGTTACAGGAGCCCTAGAGGAAAAGGTGCAAAGTTTGAAGTTCATAAAGAGAAAAAGGAAATCACTGTGGACAGGAGTGTAGGAGTGGAGCTCTGAATGGTGAAAATAACAGAAAATGTGCACCTTTTTTAAGGTAGTGCTTTGCAAAGAGTAAACTGAGGGTCAGATGAAGCTCTATAAAGTCAGGAATTTCAGATGCAAACATAAAATATTACTAAAATTTGACCAGGGTTCTTTGAAAAAATACTGAAGAAGGATAGGTTCTTCTTTTGGTTTGAAGAATTACTAAGTGAATAAAAGGAGAAGGCATCTGTTGCATTGTGATTATGAGGGCAATAATAACAAGGAGCGATAAAAGAGTAAATGAAGGTGTTTTGTCCATTTTTTGCTATCTTTACCTCCTGTAGAGCAACAACAAAATGAAAGAGGCTGGAAAATGTTAGAAAAAAAATTTTAAGAAACTAGACCTGAAGTACTATAGGTGACTAAATTCTGAACAGAAAAACTGTAGATTTTTGTGTGCAGAAGCTGAGGATATCTAGGCCTGTTTTAGTATTCTTTTTTAAAGGATGTATTCTGAAGCATTTGTCTTGAGAAGACGTCAAACATTGCCCTTGATAGTTTTCAAAAATAAAATCAACAGTTTCAAAACTGAGCTCCAAATGCAATCTCAATTTAAAAACAAAATCCAGTCAACCAGATAATAGATACAGGAAAATTTATAGGAGGAGGCCATCCTTCTGCTCCACTGTAACCCAAACCCTGCCTTTTATGTTCAAAACAATTAGTAAGAAGGAACAGGAAATTCCCACTCTATACACACATATATATGTGTGCTTAAGAATGCCCTTTTCTTTGTTCACAGATATCAATGAATGTAAAGTATTCCCTGGTATGTGCATGAATGGCAAATGTAGAAATACAATTGGAAGTTTCAAATGTAGATGTAACAGTGGATTTACTTTAGATATGGAGGAAAGAAACTGTACAGGTAAGTCAGTCTTGAATTTTCCTCAGTTTCCTCTAGAATCATATAATAGTCCTGGTTGAAAGGGCCCTCCAAAGATCATCTCCCTCAACCTTTTGTGGGGAAACAGAGCCCCACTGAGATTCTACAGCACCTATCCATCTTGAAAATAACCAGTGATGGGGACTCCACCACATCCCTGGAGCTTTTTAAAGGAACTTACTCTTATGGCATAGGTTTGTGGTCTGGAAACTTAATGTCATTCATTTCCTTCAGTTTCTAAGAGCTTAATCTTTGTACCAAATGGCCAACTCTCAAGTTTTCCTTGAAGAAATTGATTATGTGTGTAAGATGCTCAGGTCATGCTCTATCAGCACAACCTGAAAAATCAATAAGGTTCAACAGCAGAACCAAGTGTAATGTTTTAACATGGAGATTAGCTTAATTTACGTTCCTTACTCCCAGGTCATTTTATTACCAAAGGAACTTAGAGACACAATTGCAAGTTAATTTTCATACAGATTGGATAGTCAAGGACACACAAAGGCACCTCTGCAGTTCTGACACCAGTGCATTGTTAACTCAAGATACATGCATTTTATTTAAAAGTTTAATACTTTGTTCTTTACTGCCTGGAAAAACTGAAGCTTGATAGTTTTGTGGTTATGAGAACTTGGATGCCTGCACTGTGCATGGCTCTGTGCTGAAAATGGAAGAGGTTTTGTTATACCATACAGTCATCTGGGAGTGTGTCTGAGTGTTATGAAGTGTGGATGGTAAGGCATGTTAACTGAGGTTGATCTGGATGTTAATGCTGCCCTAACTGATTTCCTTGTTTTTATGGTGATTGCACTGATGAAAAATGCACTTACCAAACTTTATTTATAAATGAATAAGTATAGGTCAGACAACTTCTCCCTGCAAAAGCTTTTTTTTTTTTTTTTTTGGTTCTGTTTTCCATTTGTGGTGATGAAAATATTCCACTGAGAAACAGGTGGTCTTAAATAGATGACTTTTTTGTTTGCTTGTTTTAAATTTGCAACAAAATGTTTTATAAGGTTTATTGGAGGCCAGATACTTGGTAACATCCCAGACCTGCCAGTGGGTCTGACACTTCCACACATCTGTGTGTGGGAACTAACTGAACTATCATCACTCAGCAGAAATCTGGCTCCATGGGGAGTGACACAGAGGCGTAAGAGACTCTTGCATGTGCTGGAAAAAGAAGTTGTCTAAATCTTTAGCATTTTCTCTAGTTAAGCTAATACTTGCCTAGTTTTCCTCAGCCACTTACACAAATGAGTCTGCTGCTCAGCTCACCAATTTACTGCAATCATCATGATGCTCTTCTGTGATTCCTTGCTCCCTGGACTTCTGGGTTGACAGTCGCAATCCCATGACTTACCCTGAACTAACACCTTAATTGTTTCAAATATTCTGGGTTTTTTATTTTCTGTAAAGACTTCATGATTTCCTAATACGTAAATATTTATGATACGATAGTGAATTAAGCTGAGGGTAGAGGGTATAGGAGAGAACAGGAAACAAAGGCATTGAACCCTAGTTCGCCTCAAAAATGCTGGATGGGCAGGAGAGTAAGAAAGAGAAGTTTGGAACAAGGTGAGAAGATGGTAAATAACAGACTATCCAGTTCTTCTTTCCAGTCTTCTCCTTCGACACTGACCTGTTTCACTGGATCATATCCACAATACAAATTCCTCTTTAGACTTTTGCCTCACTACCAGTGTGCTTTAAAAAAAAAAGCTTTTCCTTCTTTTCTAGCTCTCCTACTTTCCTGCTATAGTTTTCCACAGTAAGTTTCATTCAAACTTAACTAAAAAGATAACCAGTGAACTGCAAATATAGCTGTCAAAGGAGCTACTTAATTCCTAATGGAAAGGGTATAGGTAAGCTTATAATGCTATTACTGGATAAATGTCTCTGTAATAAGCAATTTAATATCAATGGCACTGTAGTAATGGAGTCAGTTGATACTTCTGTAACAATGACAACTCAGAGTTTCTTACATTTGGTTATTTCCTTAAAAATCTAATGTTAAATTACACTTAATGGAAACCTACTTGTTACATAGTTTAATGTGACCCGAGAACTCTGAAGGCATTGCTTTATGAGTCTTTCACAAACTTTCATCTAATCAGATGTTTCTTTAAATAATAATTTAATTTTTCTCTGTTGATTTATATACTGTGTTTGATTTCTGTAGAGTTAATTTATCATGGTGAAGTGTTCACTTCTGTGAAAAGCAGGATAATCTTAAACTCTGATTTTTCTACCTCTGCATTGCTATAAAACAGACATTGACGAGTGCCGCATCTCCCCAGACTTATGTGGAAGTGGTACTTGTGTCAACACTCCTGGAAGCTTTGAGTGTGAGTGCTTTGATGGTTATCAAAGTGGATTTATGATGATGAAGAACTGTATGGGTAAGTGTTGACAGTAGGGCCTGGAGTCTCCATTTACTGTACAAAGCCTGACTGTATTCTGTGCTATTCTAGTTCTGCCATGCTGAACACTTCATATGTATAATTATTGTGACTTCATGAACAAATGAGTCAGATATGCAGTTTATACGAGAGATAACTGAATTAAGTATATAGCCTTCCTTGCTCTTTTTGCTAATTACTTTTATACATCTCTGTATAGGTATTTTAGAATGGCAGCAACTATTCATACAAGTAGTTTAAAAATGGCTAATGAGGTATCCAAATATCTGGTGAAGTTAGGAATAGAAGGCTGGAGTTCCAAAAGTAGTGTCATGCACTTTTTCACTGATTTTTCTATGACTCAAGAAATTCTGAGAGCGTATCCTGAAAAAAATCACATCTCTTTAATCTGTTCAAAATTGTAAGAATAGGCACCAAAATTAAAAGCATCTTTAAAAAACTTGAGTTACTATTGTGGAATTCTTCATTTAGGTACATAATTCAAATAAAAAGTTTGAGATTTCCATCTTGATGAGGCTGAATGAGTCGTCTTCTTTACCCTTCTTGGAGACTGGATTTATATTTCCTCTCCTCCCACCCTAAAGATCCTTGCCTAGTTTCCATGACCTCTCAAGGGTGGTCAGGACTGGCTTCAAAATTACATTAGCCAAATTGGATTTCAGTACTTATGGTTCTTTTCCATGTCCTGCTGCTTTTAACTCCTCACATTCCTTGTCAGGGTCAAGGGAATTGACCTCTTCTGATGGCTTTGGCTTTCCTAACCCCGTCTCTTCACACTCAGAGAGTTCCTCTGTATTTTTCCTGCATCTCATGTGCTTGTTTTTGCCTATTTTGTGCTTTCTTTTTATGTTTGAGTTTTGTTTGGTTGGGTTTTTTTAAAATTCTTTACATTAATAAAGTGTTCCAAAGGGCAGCCATCCAAACAGTTGCTGTCTTTGCTTGTGTCTCATAGAATCCTTAATTTTGAATCATGAATTTCTGGTTTTCCTGAGAGGGAAGAATACCCGTTTTTAGAGTTAACGATGATTTATACTTTTTTGGTTTTCCCTGTTACGCAGTATGAGGAAGGGAGCAACACCACTTCAATGAAACAATCCTTTTATTTTGTCACTTACAGGCACAAGAGAATTGCATTTCTCTTTGTTACTCCTTAGTAATGATTTTATATTTGTACATCATGATATCTTTGCAGATATAGATGAATGTGAACACAACCCTCTGCTGTGTAGAGGTGGCGCATGTGTAAACACTGAAGGGAGTTTCCAGTGTGACTGTCCCATGGGGCATGAGCTGTCACCATCAGAGGAGGAATGCTTAGGTGAGTTTCAGCTCAGGAAAGTAGTTTTCAGCTTGAATTGCTGCTACGAAAACATTTAGTCTCTGCCAAGGATGAGGTTTCAGGAAACTCTTACACAAATTCATGCTCCTCCTTTTTACAAGCATCTTCAAATTAAGACCTTAGAGACTGTAAAGCCTTCAGTGCCTTCAGCGACTTAATGCTGTTGACCTCAAAGAGTGTTTTACCAAGCCTCATAGGGATTATTTAGCAACTCAGAGGACTGTACCACAGCAGCTTCAGGTTAAGACACGTAAAAACACAAAGTGAGCTTCATTCCTACAGTCACAAAAAGATATTGTTCTGTATTTAAATATAGCTCTCTTTCTTTGCACTTAATTCACCAAAATAATGAAAGAAAATCAAAATAAAATAAAAAAAAGGACATATTACCTCTTTGATTTTTGTGCTTGATGGAAAATAGCAGACTCTGTAATTAATGCCTATAGCAGACTCTGTAATTTATACTCATAGACCAGAAGAGAAGAGAAACCTTTGAACACTGGCTCAAATATGCCATTCAGAACTCCATTCCTTGAAGTGGAACAAAGATAGAATTTTGAAAAAACCTGGAAGCCCCCAGTGTACAATATTACCTCACACTCTCCCTGTGAGAGTCTGTATTCTGAATTGAAACTGCTCTGAATGATTCCTTTCCAGATGTGAATGAATGCTCATTAAGTGATGGTCTCTGCAGAAATGGCAAGTGTTTGAACATGGTTGGGACATACCAATGTTCCTGTAACTCTGGCTACCAGCCCACTCCTGACAGACATGGCTGCACAGGCAAGTCTGGGGCACCTTCACATAGGAGACTGTGCTTCGGCGTGTATTGTTCCATCTGTGTTTTTATTTAATTTCAATACCTTCTTTTTCATACATTTTCTCCTTATCGTATACATCTCTTAAATCCTTCACTATAATAGTACTGAATTATATAGCTGCCATTACATCCTCTTTTGAAAAACAGAAGGGCTGAGAGTCTTTTATATTTGCTGGTTAGGTGCTACATTTCAAGCTTTAAGGAAACCTAAGTTGCTCAGGGCTTTTCTTCCTCTCCTTTCCACGTGTTGTGTTTTGCACTTTCTTTGTTTTTTTACATCCCTAGCAATACATGTGAACAAAAGCAACAGTTGAATTAACCACTTGCTCTCACAGATGAAAGTGCAGTTAAAAGACAGAAAAATGAACCAAATATAGATCAGAGACAGGATAGTGAGAGTAAAAGTTTAGATTAAAATCACTGATAAACTATTTCATATACCAATTAAAATATCAAGAGAAGGTGATTTTTCCTTATAAAAGTAGACTTACTGCTACTGTTGTTTCTCCCCCAGATATTGATGAATGTATGATAATGAATGGAGGCTGTGACACCCACTGCACTAACTCAGAAGGCAGCTATGAATGCAGCTGCAGCGATGGCTACGCTCTAATGCCAGATGTCAGGACATGTGCAGGTAGGTTTTAGGTTCCAGCATCCTGTCTTTCAGCCAGTATCAAGGTGATATTCTACCCATCTGTGCCAGAGTGACATAATTATCTTCTTTTTTCCCCCCAGATATTGATGAATGTGAAAGCAATCCAGATATCTGTGATGGTGGGCAATGTACTAATATTCCAGGGGAATATCGCTGTCTGTGTTACGATGGATTTATGACTTCTCTAGACATGAAAACTTGTGTTGGTAAGTAGCTGTATGCACCAAATTTAATGCAAGTCTAAAAGTTCTTCAGCTTATATTTTAAGATGTTCTGCTGAATCCTTGGAAGTGTATATAGAAACTGTGTATATTATAAGAAAAAAATCTCTGTATCTTTCTTGCCTATTGCTATATATGTCAGGAAGGGTAGAAAAAAATTCTAAAGTCCTTAAAGATGAATCAAATCATACAGTTCCAAAAACATGGCAGTAATTGTATTATAATGTTATGATTCCTCTAGAAAGTCTCTGTTGAGAAGGGACTACTTGAGTGCCCCAGGAGGGCAGTCAGTTTAATTCATTAATTCTTCTTTGGAGGAAAATTATAATGATCAAGACATGTTTAAAGATAATGCTTTTGAGTGATTCTTGAATTTTACTTTATAATCTTTTCATTAACATTCTAAACAAATTTGAAAATACTGTGGTATTTGGACTACACATTTATCCTTAGTAGTTTTTAGGGAATTTAAGGAATACAGAATGGAATAGCTGAAATATATTATGATTAAGATAAATAAATGCCACATGTAGTAGAAGTGCTACTGATATTTTCACCTGAATTAGAAGTATTCCTAAAAGACAAAGTGCGCTGCTATATTACAGTAATGTTCAAATAATAATTAATTTATGTGCACTTACAGATGTAAATGAATGTGATTTGAATTCCAACATCTGTATGTTTGGGGAGTGTGAAAACACTAAAGGTTCCTTAATTTGTCACTGTCAAGTCGGATACTCAGTCAAGAAAGGAAGCACAGGATGCACAGGTAAAGAGATTTCCTTTGTATGTGTCATCGTGTTGCACCTATCTTGGTTGGCTTTCAGATAAAATAAATGCCCAAGTGTTCACACACAAGTGAGAGGTTAGTGTCTGTATGTAACTGTGTATCTAAGTGTTTAAATCCAGTAGCATTTATCTAGAGTTTTAAAGGGAGTGTTCCTCGACCAGTGTCAGTACAAGAGACCCCTCACAATTTTACTTTAAAGGCAAAGCTTTTGTGAGAGATTGTGTGAGCATATGTGTTAGAAAACATAGCTTGCATAGGCACAGCTGCACTGTGTTAGAAGTGTTTTATCAGTACTTATCTGTCACATGTACTTTATGTATGTCAGCTCAAGCTCCACGAAATGACCATGTTAAGTCTAAAAAGAGGACAAAAGGGAAAAATAAAATAAACAAAAAGGTAAAAAAAAAAAAGTGATGTCAAAGGGAAAGTGTATGCCAACCTTCAACCCATACCAGCAAATTTTAAAGAATGGTAGTCACTCATAGTCACTCCAGAAGTTCCTGTGGTAGTTAAGAAGTACCTTATCTTTTGCAAGCTTGGTCCACTGTGTTTTACCCAAAATCAACCTTGTGGGAAAGTTGACAAACTCCTCTTATAATTTGATGTCTAAAAATTTGTTCAATATTTGTTAAAATCTCGGACTAATCATTTTTATACCTGAAACATGCCTGTGCACCCAAAGGTCTCATCCCATTCTTTGGCATATAAAGATCAACATATTTAATATTTCTGGAAAAGAGCTTTAATTTCAAACTGAAAAGCAGTTACAGGAAAGCAAAGTAAATGTCATGTTTACTTACAAGGACAGAAATAAAAAACAGTTGTCACTATTTTTTATTAATATTGAATGCAAACTAACTTGCTTGAATTATTCTGTGCTCTTGAACATTTGTTTCTGAAAGGACTGTAAACCTACACAGTGGAAATAAGCAACATTGTAAAAGGAACAGAATTCGTAATACTCTGATGCTCATGATGCAAATACTAAATACTATTTTGTGTTTGTAGATGTGAACGAGTGTGAAATTGGTGCTCACAACTGTGATATGCATGCTTCATGTGTAAATGTACCAGGAAGTTTTAAATGTAGTTGCAGAGAAGGATGGGTTGGAAATGGCATTAAATGTATTGGTAAGTACTCAGGGAATAAAACTCTTCTCTATCTTTTATTTAGTGGGGTTGTTTTGTTTTGTTTTGTTTTTCCCCTGAAAGCATCTAATCTGACTGTATGATTACTCCATTAGAAACAATGAATGATTCTTCTGTCTGCTATATTCTGTGGATAGATGGGTATGAAAGATTCTTATGTTTCAGGGCATTGTTTTTCTGAGGAAAAAACCCTTATTTTGTTCCAGAAGCTTGATTTTGTAACTATGCATTTTACAAAGTTTACCTACTACTACTAGAATATAGGAAAAAAAAAAAAAAAGAAAACAATCAAAAATTAAATGGACTGTGTTTTGTGATTTCTTCTCAGTAAGATGTTACTTCTGTCACTTAAAATTATTTTCTGGAAAAGTGCTGTAGTATATGTAATTTGTAGGCTCTGATATAAAATATATTGGAACTTTTGGGAACTTCGAGGAGCTTCATTCTACTTTTGCTGGACTGCAAGAGTTGCATATGTACCCTTAGCTTCATATTTTGGTTTGTAAGGCTGTAATAATTACTTATTTTTCAGAACATTTTGATGTCTATGGAAGAGGAGTTTTATTTAAGAATTAGGCTTTATTAATGTACTATGTGAAAGGAAAAGTACCATATTATGAGATTTTAATGCAGGACAGATTTTCTAAGCTTCTCAAGTCTTATCTGAGAAAAGGGGAAGGCCCCCCTGGTCTTTATTATTATCAATTAATTAAAAATGTGTGAGGTTCTATTTTTTTAATACATATTTTTACTTTAAAAGTCCCAAGTGAAGAGGGAAATGTTAAAGAGTTTTTCTGGCAGCATCCTCATAGATAGAACAGCTACTGTGTATAGAGTGTTATTCCAGAAGACCTCTGGAAGACAGGTGGAAAGGGACTGTGATACCCCATAGCACTGGCTAGTGTGACTCAGTCATGGACCCATTATGCCATTCCCATCAAACATGTCCTTGATGGAAAGCAAAGTCTCTTCTTTTTTCTTTCTTTCTTTTTTTTTTTAATTTTTTCTTCTGTCTTTCTTTTTTCTTCTTTTTTTCTTTTTTTTCTTTTTTAATTTTTCTTCTTCTTTCTTCTCTTTTTCTTTTTTCTTTTATTTTTTCCCCCATCCAAGTTAACATCCCAGTGGATTCTCATGGGGTCCCACTGATTTTGCTTTCTTCAATTCCTTGAGGAGACTTTCCAAGTATGTGGCAGATTTTTTCCTCGCTGTATTTCTTTGGTTTATTGGTTTGGTTTTTTTTACTAATTTTGATTCAGGTTGTCTAACAGGACATTAACATTTGCGTAACAAGTTAGATGAATTCCATGTGTTGTTGGAAACTATTTTTCCCAATCCCATGCATTTTAATTTAAAGGAAGAAATATTAAAAGTAAATTGCTATAGATTAACTGTGTATCATCTAGTGAGAACTTTGTGTGTTTACGGAGACAACAACTGTGTTTGTAGTTGGGCTGGTTAGCTTGATAGTTAATTGTAAGCCAGTTAAATATAGTAATTACTCTGTTGCTGCATTTTGACCCTGATGTGCAGACCTCAATGAATGTGCCAATGGGACCCAACAGTGCAGTGTAGATGCTGAGTGTGTGAATACCCCAGGCTCCTACCACTGTGCCTGCGCACAGGGATTCACCGGGGATGGATTTACTTGTTCTGGTAAGAAGCTGTGTGAAAGCTGACTTATCACTGATTGTTTTTGTCTTCTGTGGAACTGCAGGACAGTAAATGTAAAAGTATCTTTTAAGATTAGGATTCTTCCCATCTGCATAAGAAATGCTAACAAAGGCATCTGATTTTCTTTTGATTTCCATGCCAACTGGACACAAAATAGATGCTCACTATTAGAATGAATGTTATTTATCACACAGCGAGTGACTCAAAATTAACTGACATGTTAAAGGATTTTATATTAAATATTAATGACCATGTGTTGGGTTACTGTGGTTTTTAGTGGAGATGAAACACTATCTCTGCTCTCAACTTCTAACATATGCTGTACGTGGTCAGCAAATTTGAAGGTTTGAAGGAATGTGTCCTAATGATAGTAAAGCACCTAGAAACTAATGTGAATTAGCTAGCTATTTCAAAATAAAAATTAATTTACACCTTAAAAAGAAATTCTTCTGATTAGTATTATAAGGGTTTTAGTTTGAGAATAATAATACTAATAAATAATAAGATTTTGTATTTCAAATTTGCACCCATATTTAATTCAGATCTTCTGGTTTGTTTTTTTTTAAATCAGATGTAATCCTAATGGTGACTAATAAAATGAAGAAAACCTTTTTAAATTTTTTGGCATAATCATAAGCATATCTGACAAAATTATGAGTCCTTATGGTAACTGCAATGGTCAATACCCTCCTTTGTTATTCTGCTCTTTTATAGCTCTTTTGAGGCATACTAGAAGAATCTCTGGTAGTGTGCAAGCAGCACTTGTAATGTTCATAATCCTCAAAGACAATTTTCTAAATTGAATATGAAAATAATTTGCTATGTGTGATTCACTTTGCAAAATTTACCTTTAAATATTTTTTATGTCAAAATAACAAAGTTTTGACTTTGCCCGAAGTATTCAACTGATTTGTCAAAGCTAGTAGTACTCAATCTGACAGGCTAGTATTATTAAAAAAAAAATATCTGTTAATGAAAAACAAAGAGTTTTTTGTGGCAAGGTGAAAGGGATAATTTGGAAATTACATGTTTGCTTTTATGCATTCTTTGTATTTATTTCAACAAGTAAATGTTTTGTTTTATAACTCTAATGCTCAACATCACTATTATTTTGATCAGGATATTTTTATGTTTATTCCTGCTGGTGAAACATACCGTTTCAGGGAATTTTTCTGTCTTCCACAGATGTTGATGAGTGTGCAGAAAATGTTGGTCTGTGTGAAAATGGGCAGTGTTTGAATGCCCCTGGTGCCTACAGCTGTGAGTGTGAGATGGGATTCACTCCTGCCTCAGACAGCAAGTCCTGCCAAGGTGAGCTACTGGTAATTCAGGTTTGTTGTCTGAGTTTGGATTGCTGCTCCAAAGCAAAGAACAAGCAGTGCTGGAAGGACCTCAATCTGGAAGCAGAAAAATCAGCATATGCCTCACATAAAAGTAATTTCTTCAAGCAATATGAATTATGCTGAAGGTGGCTTTCATCTTTTTATGAAGTTTTCCTGGTCTTTTTCCAAAAATCCCAGAGTAGGGGTTTGCGTCAGTAATTTTTTATTTCTTTTTAAATTCATTCTCCTCTTTTTGTTACTATTGAATAGTGTGTGGAAAGTCTTGTGTTCATCACTTGTGGTGGGTTTTTTTAGTATGCTTACATAGGAGAGACAAATTGCACTGAGTGTCCTCATTTCAAAATAAATGTTTCCAGGAAAAATAAAGCAGACAAATCACTATATATGACTAATTTATAACAATCCTTAAAATGCACACTGGAGAATTTTTATCATCACCCCTGCACCCTCAATATTGTACCAGGTCATCTGAAAGATGTGAAAGAAATTACTGTTATTCTAGTCCAGTTCAGCTTCTATTCCCTATTGTGTTCTTACACCTTTTTTTGGTTGTTGTTTAATATAAGAAGACTGTATAGTCAATGAAAACTTTTTAGCTGGTGCTTTAAAACTTTGTTTCATATTTAATGGTGGAAACCACATAATATCTTGGGAAATTAAAATTCTTGAAGAGACATGAAAAAACAGATTCCATAATGTAGTCTCTAAGATTCAGTCCATAACACGACACATGTTCTAGCTTTCAGGTGTAGGTGTGTGAATCAGACTTTAGAATAATTTCAGATACTTCTGAAAGATTACCTGCAGCACTGTGTAATCAGATCTGTTAATTGTTACCAAGTGTTGTCAATCTTCTTTACTGAATTTCTTGGTGCAGCTCAGTCATATTAAAGTCATGCCACTGTTATAATAAAAATCTCCTCATAGATCCAAGCTATTCCAGCCAACCAGTGCTTTGAAAAACTTACAATTCTAATTTTTGAGACATTGTGTCACCGAAAACTGAAGAATTTTGGAGACGTGCTTAGTGTATTATTGTGATTCCAATATAAATCAGAAGGTGTTCTGCTGATTCAATTGTGCTGTTGGAGAGCTAAAAGATCTGGGAGCTGATTAATTAAAAGTTACCTTTTTCTTTCTATCATATTTAAGTTGATGTATTAACTTGTCCTACAGTAAGGAGAGTCCTGGGCTGATTTTTATGTTCAAGGGACAAAATCCAAAGCACAAATTTAGGGCAATAATTCTAATACAAAGAATTAATCCACTTTCTTCAGAAGATCCTTGAGAAGTCAGTACATTCACTTCTCAGTCACCTTATTTGGAGGGCATTCCATGGCTGTACTCCAAGGTACTTGTACTCAGTTAATTTCCAGATTAAGTTTACTCAGGACTTTTGGATATTAACTACTCATTCCCCCGTAAAAATGTACCTGTCAAATTCCCCTCAAGAGTTAACCCTTCTCATGTATTCCTGCAAGGAAGCATTATATCAATTCTCAACCTTTGTCTAAGGCAAACCAGCCAAGTTCAACATAGGTATTTTATTCTCTAATCATTTTAATACTCTTTTTGTATATCTTGTGCAATTTTAATTCATCATTCTTGAAAAGAACACTCAGAATTTCAAATGAAGATTTAGCTGTAAAAGGGTATTAATGCTTCCCACTTCCCTGTCTGTGCTAAAAATAAGCCACTAGTACATGCTAGAATTGTATTTGCCTTTTCCACAGCTGCTTTATTCTGGCAACTTTAAAAGTCTTGCAATCAGACTGTACATGCAGGTTTTTTCCCTCTTGTCTTAATTACCTTCAACTCAGAAGTCTTTTATAGTTTGTGCCTAAAACCAGTTGTTGATGACTGAATTCTCTCTTTCTTCTTACTACACTTTCTTTTCCAAAAAGTGGTATTTTAAAAATCTTAGACTGTGAGCTAGGAAATGACTGATGCCTTTGTACGGTGTTACACTTCATTCTGTCTAAGCACATCCTGAAAGGAACTTTACCAGATTTTTGGCTCAGCTTTTGAGTCCCAAGAACTCATTTTTGCTGTATTTACTTCACCCTGGGTAAAATAGAAATAAATAACAAGCAGCTTAATGGAGAATGCACAACAAAGAAAGATTTTGTGTAGTATTCTACCCAAAGCAAAAAATGTCTCTTTTTAAATATTTTACATGTGTCTCCATAACCTTTTAGTAGTATGACACACTGTAATTGTTATTGTTGTTATTATTATTACTAATAGTAATATTAAACTAATAATAATAATAATAATGATAATAATATGGTAATGATATGCACCTTTCTGTTCTTAATATATTCTTTCAGATACTGATGAATGCTCCTTCCAGAATATATGTGTATTTGGTACCTGTAATAATCTGCCAGGAATGTTTCATTGTATCTGTGATGACGGCTATGAACTAGATCGAACAGGGGGAAACTGCACAGGTGTGTTGCTTCTTTTCATAAATATGCCCGCAAAAAGGATGTCTCCTTAAATATGCAGCAGTACAAGGATTATTCTTAAATGGTTGGTGAACTATTAGTGGTTCTTTCCTTCAATTTCAGCTGAAAGTCACTTGCATTTGAAATTTTCTTGCTCGTTTTGTCTTAGAAAGTAAAATTATTCTTCTTTCCTGTCCAGTGAGCAGATTTATGAATGCAACATTCCTATTTTAGATATTGATGAATGTGCTGATCCTATTAATTGTGTCAATGGTCTTTGTGTAAATACTCCTGGGAGGTATGAGTGTAACTGCCCTCCAGACTTCCAGCTGAATCCTACTGGAGTGGGTTGTGTGGGTAAGTAAAAGCTACTTGAAGTATTACTTTGGAAGTCACAACCAAGGTGGCTGGTTTGGTGGGAATAAGGGTAGCGAGATAGAAAAATAATACGTTCATGGTACATATCCTTTTATGTTAGTTGTTCGTCTTATGTTAATTTTTTAGTGATGGAGTTAAAATAATTAACTGATAATTGGTATTTGTAGTTTCTTTAAAATACACATTTTTAAAATTTTTTGAAGCATATATTAAAACCTAAAGTTCTTGGATTTGGTACCCATATTCTGCTAGAGAATCACATTCCAAGATCTGTTGTCTCCTATTGTTCTTAATGGTTTTGAGATCTTATGCTGTAACCTGTGCCTCAAGAAGCAGTCACAATCAGAGTCACCATAGCATAGTCCCAATCAGAATATGGCAATCAAATACTGACAGAAAACTCAAGAAAGATTTCTGATATTTTTCTGGAGTGAAAGACTGGAAAGAGAATACGGGTTATGTTAGAGTATGAATTTGGAAGACATGCAGAAGTTTTTAACTCATCTCTGGGTTCTGAAGAACCTGAAAATGAACCCATTTTCCTTGCTATCTCTAGACATCTGTAACTGTCAGTGTACAGGAGTGTTTTGAGCTTGCCAGTGACTTCAAAAGCACAATGTTATCTGAATTATTCCATCTAGATAGGAAATGTTGAATGCCTGCTGTTCTTTGTCCTGGCTCATTGTATGCAGCTGTTGTCACATATCTATGTTGTACATAGATAACCGTGTTGGCAGTTGTTACCTGAAGTATGGACCAAGAGGGGATGGGAGCCTATCCTGCAACACTGAAATTGGGGTTGGAGTCAGTCGTTCCTCATGCTGCTGCTCCCTGGGAAAGGCTTGGGGAAACCCTTGTGAGACCTGTCCCCCTGTAAACAGCAGTAAGGAAATATTCTCTTGTTCTCCCCCTGTCCTCTTAATTTCAAGGTAGTAACAAGGGATGGAAAAAGTATTTGAAATCTTGTACTGTGTAACTATACTTCTGTCATTGAAGCAACTAATTTGTTTCATAAGAGAGCATTCTGGCACAAAATGACAATCTCCCTGATGCTGTTAAAGGATGATGCTGAGGTGTGGACCTGAGAATCAGAAGACTTGACCTTTAATCTTCTGTGACTGACTTGGTGCCTCTTCTCCCAGTAATAAATCAGTGGTAGCTTTAGAAGGCACTTTCAATTGGACCAGGCTCATATATTTTGGGTAGTTTTGGGCACTTAATTTTTTTTTTACTTTTCTCCTGTAAAAAAAAAAAGATTAAGAAATTTGCAGAGGTGCTTGTGTATCGTAAGAATGCAATGGATTGCATACATCTACTGTGAATTTTTGCTCAGCAACTCCATGCTTGTAGGGAAATAAATTAAGAATGTTTAGGACTCAATGGCTTTAATTTGAAGGCCTGCAGTAGTTCTCAAAGGAGAGTGTTGATAACTTCTATATCTGTGTCTGAGTCAGTCTTGAGTACTTTCAAACTGTTACCCAGTGATAGTTATCAGCTTTGTAGAGCTTTGAAGTTCTTTGAATAAATAATGCAACAGAAATGTCAAGGATGTTGTTCTTAACAGCCTTATAATAGTGTGAATTCCAAGTTTAACACATATCTTTATCAATGGCATACTGACATTTCATATTAAAGAACTTGTCAAAAAAGAAAAGATTTGCCTTTGTAAAGACACAAGGTGGAGAAATCAACATTGTACCTCCTTAAGAGTATCTGAGGTTTGATAATAAAAGAGAGCAGAATCTTATGCTTAATCTCCTAATCTTACCTTGTTTCTCTGTTAAACTAATGCACTTACTTTATTTGCTGTAAATAGGTCAAATAGGAGAAAATCAATGAGTGTAGGAAGGAACTGTTTCTGGTGTTATAATTTTATTCTTTATAAGACTGACGTGTTCTTTGTTATACTTTACTTTAGCAGAATATAATACTCTCTGTCCAGGGGGAGAAGGATTCAGACCAAATCCCATCACTATCATTTTAGAAGGTGAGTTTCTCATAAATGACTGTGATGACTGGTAATTTAAAAAACAAAAAATGTGTCATCTTTGGAGAGATGTGTGCAGAAACTGCATTTTTCAGAAATCACTACATTTAATGCAAAGCAAAAGCCACTGCTAATATGAATTGGACAGCAACATGATAAAAAGTTATACTGTAAAAGAATGTTGAAGAAGTCCAACACCACTTCAGTAGGAAAATAACCTGGTGCATGCCTTTTGTGCTTCCTTACTTAAATTGGACATCAAAATTGGACCCTGAAGGATAGGTCATTTATGAAAATTGTAACTTATCAGTGGAAGGTATAAGTTTCAGGAAATACTCATCAGACAATGAAAACTCTGGTTCCAATAAATGGGCAGGAATGAGGAATTAGATGTCAAAATCAGAAGAAAAAAAATCCATGTGACAAAAATTACTATTTGGTAAAATTTCAGGGAGGTACTTAAATTCTCTTGTTTCTTTTCATTCTGGAATGAAAATATGGTGGGTTTTGTTCTCTGTTTTCAGACATTGATGAGTGTCAGGAGCTGCCAGGTCTTTGCCAAGGCGGAAATTGCATCAATACTTTTGGCAGCTTCCAGTGTGAATGTCCAAAAGGCTACTACCTCCGTGAAGAGACAAGAACCTGTGAAGGTGAAGTCCCTTGAAGCTTCTTTCTCTGTCACCGTGCAGTTATTATGAAAACCTCTAATTTTCAGCCTTAAATCCAGAAGTGGATTTGGTATATGGTAACCCACACCCTTACCTAGAATATTCCCTACAATCATTATCTTTGACACAATTCATATGATTGATACAAAACTTGAAATGCAACATTTGAATATACTAATGTTTCTCTCTGCATGATAGACCTCATCTATGTGTATTCAGTGTACTAAGGTGGTTATTAATGATTTATGGCTTCTCACTTCAACACCTGATATCTCCTCCTAGCTTCACTAGGATACACTCCATATATTTTGGATGTGACAAGGTGTCCTCTTCACATTATTTAAGAGTAGCATTTTAATTTACTCGATGTAAAATAAAGTTAATATTGGTTTTCCTCTCATATTTGAGATTTTTCATAAGTATTGGAGTCAAAAATTGTAAATAGAACCAAAGGTCTCAGGACTCTTTCATGGTTTCTCATGGTTTGGAGTGTTGTAAGTAATTTTCCACTTCTTCGTTCACTTTGTGAGGGAAAAAAAGGCCTTCTTTTTGTAAGTGAACCTGTGAATCCTGAGACTTTGCTAAATTTGGATGAAGAAAACGTACTAAAGTCAGTTTGAAATGGAAATTGTGTGGGCAAAAAAGGTTTACACCCCCATATCTTAAATAAGAAAATCCAAGAATAGAGCAGCAAGATTATGCAGCATTATAAGGAGTATTTAAAACATCTTTTCTCAATGGAGTAATGAACACATTAATAGAACCGAAAAGTGACTAACCCTCCTGTGTGAAGAAGGTGTGAATTTTTTTTTCTTTGTGAAGTCGATGGGCCACAAGGCACTTCAATTTGAGTGGTAAATTCGAGAACTTTGAATTAGAGATCTAAGGCTAGACTAGACATTAACAATGCTGCTCTTCAGCAGCTGATACAGTAGCTGCTTAACCCAAATCAGAGCTCTACTTGCCAAACTGGTCTTCAAATGAAATATTTTTGTTATCTTAGCACTGTTTATCATGGTCATATTTCTCAGAAACACTTACTATGACTCAGACCTCTTTTCTCTTGTTAATGGTAATGTTTTTGCTTGGTCTCTAGATATTGATGAGTGTGTTGCACATCCTGGTGTCTGTGGTCCTGGCACCTGCTACAATACCTTGGGGAACTACACCTGCATTTGCCCACCTGAATATATGCAGGTGAACAGAGGACATAACTGCATGGGTATGCACAATGTCATCTTTAGTAGAACTGTCTGAATATCAAGCTGTTTGGTGGCCAGACTGTGCTCAGATTTCCTTAGATGAGGCCGGTTCTGAAGCTCTTTAACTTTTTTAACTCTCAATTATGATCGGTTAGACAGGAAAGAGATCCCTGTGATTGGCATGCAGCATTCAAGTGCTCTTATTCTGTAAGAAGAACTCGCTGTTCACTAGGTTATTTTCACTAGTCATTTGCAAATGTTAGGGTTTTTCTATATATAAGGATCTCATTAGCATCTGCAGTGTGTTTGTGATTTCCTGGGAGTTTTCTTTTTTCCCCACTGTGTTTTGGTTTTAGACTTACCTGAAATTTGACATATTTTCAGTTTTCAGAAACCAGAGTGAATGAACCTTTCTCTGGTTTGGTGGGGGGTTGATATTTATTTAAGTCACACTGTTGGTTAGTTCACAAGTGATTATTTTCTCACATCTAGATTTGAGGAAAAGCTTTTGCTACAGGAGCTATAATGGAACGTCCTGTGAGAATGAACTGCCCTTCAATGTGACCAAAAGGATGTGTTGCTGCACATACAATATTGGCAAAGCCTGGAACAAACCTTGTGAGCTGTGTCCAACTCCAGGAACAGGTAAATCTAATCCTCCCATTTTGTTACTTTCTTGCTTATTTGCTTTACTAAACACTTACTAAAAGATATATTTGAAAAAATAGCAAAGATACCTAGATAAAACTAAAAAACTCAGGTACCTGTTTAACAGAAACACATGTTATGTCTTTTATTTGTGATGCTGGTGTAAAAAACATATTACTTTCCTTCCAAGTGGTTTATACTGATGACATAAGGGAAACAGCAGGTTACTTAAGAAAGATTTTCCCTCACAAACAGTAAACAGGACTGAAAAGAATAGAAAAGAACCTTCTCCTTTTCTTTCTTAAATAGGAGGAGGGAGAATGAAGGAATATTCCTAGCAGTCAGGAATGGGAGATGGAATTAAGTTAGAGGAAATATATGTTTGCTTTCAAAGAGAGCTCATAAAATTCTTTCCCATAGCTGTTTGTCTCATTCCATAAAATTGTCATCATGTGACAACACGATGAGAAAAATACAGCAGACTACTAGGAGGGATTCATGCAATTAATATTCTTGGGTAGAATAAAGAATTCTCCTTTGAATTGGTAAGACTGAAATTCTCAATTACTTCTGCAGCTTTTAATGATTTGTTAAAACAAAAACGGCTTGTTAATGTGCCAGCTATGGTGTTAACTTATTTCCCAAAATATTTCAATATTGCCTTGTTAGGACTTTTAAATGTCTTTACTGTATTTGCAGACATGGTTGAACCTTTATCACAATGAAAAGAGATGGTGTGAGGGATCAAACACAAATTCTATGTGTAAATGGTCAAATAACTGCACTTATGTTTTATAATGTTGTCATATAATCAGTTGTTCTGAAATCTGGATGGGGGTTACACATCACAGACAGAGGTTGTGATGTACTGACCTTAACCAGTTTGCCAGACTGAGCCCAGTAGCTCATTAAGAGCATTATTCTGCTCTGATGAAAATTCTGTTGTTCCTCTGAGTGAAATTCACATACATTGGCATGTCAGTATCTGTTTGGAGATTTTAGGTAGTAAAGATGGTTTTGGTATTATGCAGATCATAACTATTAACATACAGACTTTGAACAGAAATAATAATTGGGTTTTTTTTATTTTTTAAGCAAAGAACAGTAGAAAAATGCTTCAGTGTTAAGAGGTAACCAAGAATTTACAAAACTCTTTCATGATTTGATAATTTCAGGAGTGCCTGATCTCAGAGAGTCTTTTTCCCATTATGTTACAGATTTTTTTTGTCCAAAAAAATAATGTAGTGAATAGTATATGGGGTTTTGAAATGTTTTTCATTTTTCATCCTCTACCACAATGGTAGACATCTCTATGGCCTTGTAGTGTTAGAATTTCGATTTGCATTGATTTATTGGCAATCTGAATTTTCAACACAAATTGTACAAGAGGCAGTGGCTCTTCTGAAGAGATTTGACTTGAAAGAGCTCTTGAAAAGTTGAGAAGACTACAAGTAATTCTTGGGAGATTTATATATTTACTGAAAATGCATTGTCCTCTTTTTTTGCTCTAGCCGAGTTCAAGAACATATGTGGGAATATTCCTGGCTTCACCTTTGACATTCATACTGGAAAAGCTGTTGGTAAGTTTCACTAAACCAATTTTAAGCAGAAATTATTTTGTATAACACCTGTATAGTGGTAAAATCAACATTTCATATACTAAAATTTTATTTTTGTTGTGGGATTACAATGGTGACATAAATTGTAAGACCAATTTTTGTGTAAAATGTTTCTGGTTTTTTTTATTTCTTCATTTTGTTGTGATATTTTGTTCACCTGTCATCCTAGTTCATGATATCAAATGTAAGATAAAAGGTTTTGGCTTCAAAAATACTGTGGGACTTCCCTGCATATTTCTAACACTTACGCATTTTGGTCCAGTACTTAATGTTGCTCTGTTTTCATCACTTCCTGAACTTTACATAGTTTCTTTTCTCTCATAATGGGCATATGTTTTGTTTTATAACTTGTATACAATTCTTGTAGATTAAAAGGAACTACTTAGCTCAGTTCTAAATGCTAAAACTAACTCATCTGATTTTCAGACATTGATGAATGTAAGGAAATCCCAGGAATCTGTGCAAATGGTGTTTGCATCAATCAGATTGGCAGCTTCCGCTGTGAGTGCCCCACTGGATTCAGCTACAATGACCTGCTCTTGATCTGTGAAGGTGATTTGATGTTATTTTCTACTGAGTCCCCATAAGCAAGTTTATCTTAGGGGGAAGGGGTACATGTACTTCTCATGTTTTTCAAAATCAGAGAGACTGACTGGGAACGTTTTCTGTAGGGCTCAAGGCTATGAATCAGTTGACTGTTTCGTCTTTAATACATATGCTCATGCACTTAATAAATTTATAAAAACTTTCTGTCAGGCAATTCATTGACTCCTAAATAGGTAGTGGGGTGGCCGCGTGGAAGCTCCTGGTGGGAGGCCACGCAAATCATGGGTCATTTATCACCACCACTTGTGACTCGTAGAACGCTTCCATCAGCGCTGCCTCCGTACAATCCTAAACATCCACTGGACAGACTATGTGACCAACACGTCTGTCCTTGAACAGGCAGCAGTCACGAGCATTGAGGCCATGCTGCTGAGAACACAGCTGCGCTGGGCAGGGCACATCTCCAGGATGCAGGACTACCGCCTCCCTAAGATCGTGCTCTATGGGGAACTTGCCACTGGCTGCCACAAGAGAGGAGCCCCGAAGAGGAGATCCAAGGACTGCCTGAAACAATCCCTTAGCCTTGGCCATATTGATCACCACTATTGGTCTACCCTGGCCTCCAATCGGGAGGCCTGGAGGCACACCATCTATAACGCTGCTGCTGCTTTTGAGAACACACGCAGGATCACTCTCGAGGAGAAAAGACAACGCAGAAAGAATTGCGTCTCGTCGATATCACCTGGGGAGTCTTTCTGCTGTGCCTTCTGCAACCAGACTTGTCTATCTCACGTTGACCTTTTTAGCCATCAGCGCGCTTGTAGCAAGCGTGGGTAGAGCCTTTCTCAAATCTTTGTTCACAAAGCCTAGCCATGAATGAATGAATGAATGAAAATAGGTAGTAACTGAATTGATTTGATTTGGTTTGATAGAGAAAATTTAATTCTTGTTCTCAAAACTTCTCCAGGAAAAGTTTCCTTGTGTTTTTTTTCTTTCCATCTTCTCTTGTGCTACAGTTTTAGCGGTAGAGATAAGCTAATAGTAGAACTTTGTATGTCCTGAAGTCAGTAGGAGTTTTGTCATTAATATTCAAGGGTTCTGTGCTAATGTGTACCTTTAAAAAGTGAACAAACTTTTTCAGTTCAAAGGCAAAGAGGGTTTTGGGTTTTTTAATACTAAAACTAATTTCTTTAGGCAGATGTTTAACATTCCATAGCCACTTTCATCTGTACTAAATTGGATTTGTAGCATCCTTCTTCATCCAAAAATGGACGAAAGTGTATTGGTTTATTGTGGACTAAAGATTCATCCCACACAAGGCAGACAGTATAGTCTTCGAGGCAGAGAGTGGTTTCTGATGTCTGAACCTTGGTCTTTCAGATATTGATGAGTGCAGCAATGGAGACAATCTCTGCCAGAGAAATGCGGACTGTATCAACAGCCCTGGGAGTTACCGCTGTGAATGTGCTGCCGGTTTTAAACTTTCACCCAATGGTGCTTGTGTTGGTAAGAAATCAGCTGGATTTTCTCTTCTGTTGTTTGTACCTTGTGATTTCTGCTGTTTTTACTTTATAACCATGTTTCTCTGCAGAAGGGAAGAAAAGACAGGGTAATAATTTTAAAAAACATTCTTCTTGCATTTGTCAAATCCTGACAATATGTTTAATCTCAAGGTGTATAGGCAAGCACCTCCTATAAAATGAAGTTTTGTTATGATTCAGGTTTATTTATAGATAATTTTGAGTCTGGCTTTAATAATAATAACAGTATAAAAATGTTATTAAGTAAAATGGGGGAATAATGGAAGTCAATAACATGCAACATCTGTTTAATATTTTTGTTGTAGATCGCAACGAATGTCTGGAAATTCCTAATGTTTGCAGTCATGGTTTATGTGTGGACATGCAAGGAAGCTACCAGTGTGTGTGTCACAATGGTTTTAAGGCATCCCAAGATCAGACTATGTGCATGGGTATGAAAAAAACAATACTTTTGTGTGTGGTTTTGTTTGCTTGTGGGTTTTTCAAAGGGGAAGAAGATGAGTCATTTTTTTTGGAGATCATAGTGCCATTAAAAGACTGATTCATACATTTCTGAATTTTTTTGTGATTAAAGTGTGTGAAGTTGTCCTTGTTTGAGGAAAAAAACACAGTATTCTCAGAGATAGATCCATGTTACTGAAGAATTTATGAACAGTATTTTCACAAAAATACATCATAGTGGCTTATTTGGCAGAGAGTTTTATAGGATGTATCACAGAGTGATGCAGTGAGATAAAAAGACACATTTTTCAATTATTTAGAAATTTATTGAGCGTGTTTTGTTTAAAAAATAGAATCCCACATTTAATGTAACTTAAAACTCTACTATTTTTGTATGAAAATGATGACATGGTAGAGATGATATAAGAAATAAGATTGAAAAACAGGAGTATTTTTCTTGTTCTTTTAATTTGTAATCAGCTCTACAGGGTCTTAAAAAGAAAAGGTGATGCATGTGTAAATGTGTTTCTTGCTGAGTTAAAATAGCAAAAAATTATTTTTATTTTTGAAATAATTATCATCTAAATGTCAATTCTAACCATAGAGAAGTTCATTATCTTCTGTAGGACAGGTATCTTCCAATTTCAACTCGAAACAGACAAATTAAAACCTATTCACACTGTAGTATATATTCATATATGCCTAGAGTCTTCTCATATTTTAACTAAATCACATTTGTCAAAATATCTGAGAAGGATATTTTGAAAAGTGACTCAACAATGCAAAATTTTGAAGAAGTAGGACAGAATCTCAGTACCTTCTAGACCCTTAATGGAACTCCAGAAATTACTGAAACCTACAGTACGACACAATGAATTTTAGTGCATTTTATAAGTGGATATCCATTTCCAGAAGTTTGTAACTGGTCTTTATAATTCTGGATGTAGGATTTCCATAATATATTTGCATATGTAAATTGAATTATGAAATACATTTTAAACAGCTTTTTGTGGGCTCTCAGGAAAATATGTACATAAAATTTGATCATTTCAGAATGTTTTACTGATTTCTCTTCATACATAGAAGTTCTTAACATACTTGTGTATGTTTAGAAATCTTATTATGGAAAATAAAAAGACAGAATGCCTTCAGACACTGCACATACATATTTATTTTCACATTCAACAGTAGCTTTTATTTTAGAATATATGTAAAAATGCATCATGTAGTGTTTTCCTATTGTACTGAGAAGCTATAAAACTCAGTAGTGTAAATAGATAATGCAAGAGATGAAAGTTTAGGATACTGTAACTGTGTACAGACAACACATTAACACATAATCTGGGAAAATCAGTTCTCACATGCAGTTTGTTTCTCTTTGCAGATGTTGATGAATGTGAACAACATCCATGTGGAAATGGAACCTGTGAAAATATGGTTGGATCATATAACTGCCTGTGTTACCCAGGATTCGAATTAACTCGTAATATTGATTGTGTGGGTAAGAGATGTAATCCATACTTTTGTTCTCATTGCTGCTGGCTTGTATGCCAAGGGGCATGATAGATAGTTAAACAGAAGAGAGGTGTTACAGAAGGAAGACAGAACAAAGCCTACTTATTTCTTCCTGGTTCAGAAGAGAACTACAACATCTTTAAAAAGTATTTTAAATGCTCTCCTTGTCCAGGAAAGAGAAAATTCATGGGTCATGTACAGAGGTTAATGATGGTTGGGGGAACATCACACTGGCGACCTGTCACTAGTGGGATTCCACAGGACTCCATCTTGGGCCCTGTGCTCTTCAACATCTTCATTAATGACTTGGACACAGGACTGGAAGGGACAGTGTAGTGGTTTTGCAGGTGACACAAAACTTGGAGGAGCTATTGCCTCCCTTGAAGGCAGGGAGACCCTTCAGAGAGACCTGGACAGATCAGAGGGCTGGGCAATCACCAACCATAGGAAGTTCAACAAGGGGAAGTGTTGGATTCTACACCTGGGACGGGGCAACCACGGATATACGGACAGACTGGGGAATGAGATGCTGGAAAGCAGTGCTGGAAGTGACCTGAGGGTCCTTGTCAATGGCCAGCTGGACATGAGTCAGCAGTGCCCTGGCAGCCAGGAGGGCCAACCCTGTCCCAGGGGCCATCAGGCAAAGCACTGTTAGCCAGGACAGGGAGGGGATTGTCCTGCTCTGCTCTGACCTGGGACAGCCTCAGCTGGAATACTGGGGCAGTTTGGGGTGACACAATATAAGAAAGATACTAAGCCACTAGAGAGCATCCAATGGAGGACCATGAAGACGGTGAAGGGCCTTGAGGGGAAGCCGTGTGAGGAACAGCTGAGGGCACTTGGTCTGTGAAGAGGAAGCTGAGGGGAGACCTCATTGCAGTTACAACTTCCTTATGAGGGGAGGAGGAGGGGCAAACTCTGCCCCTCAGCAAGATTCTGCTCTGTGGGGACCAGGGACGTGACCTGAGGGAATGGCTGAAATTGTGTCAAGGGAGGTTTAGGTTTGATATTAGAAAACAGTTCATCCCCCAGAGGGTGTTTGGGCACTGAACAGGCTCCAGGGCAGTGGTCACAGCACCAAGGCTGACAGAGCTCAAGGAGAATTTGGTGATACTTGGGGACACAAGGTGTGACTCTGGGAGATGGTCCTGTGCAAGCCCAGGACCTGGACTCAGTGATCCTTGTGGGTCCCTTCCAATTCTGCATATTCTGTGATTTTGTGAACTAAAAAGTTTTTCTGGTAAGGAGAGTCTGCTGCCAAGGAAGGGCATTCTTTGCCAAGGATGTTCTTCCCTTTGGCAGAATAGCTACCAGTTTACTGCCAGGAGCATCCAGCACCTCTGCTTCGGACTCATACTTGGATTTTGTTAGCACTTTTGACAGCTTCAAGGGCCTCAGGGCTTTCTTCCAAACTGTCCTAAAGGCATTTTAGCCCATCTGATGATAATATTTTTGAGGTATTTCTGCTTATAGAACTGTAACACAAAAGAAATGTATGATAGAATAATGTAGTAACACAGATGTGGTTGAAGCAAAAGGTATATCTTCCTCAACAGCTGGTACTTAATGCTTCTGACCAAGACTAAAACCCTTCAGTAAAACTGCCGCTTGTCTTCAGCCAAATTCAAGTATTGCAAAGCAAAAAAGTGTAAGTTCTTCTTACACCATGATGCTTCTCTGATCTCCTTTTCATTTATTCTGACTCTTTCTCATCTGTATTTTTCCTCATGCAGCACTCCTTTAGGTCTGCATCATTGAAGTAACTCTACAAAATAATAAGCATTTTCAAACCTTGTTTTCCAAACTGTTATGAGGAAGGAAATCATTCTGTGAGAGCAAATTACCTAGTCCATAATTACAAGTCCATATTGGTAGGTCAGGTTTTAGGAGGAAATTTGAGTGCATATAAATCCAGAAAAAATTCAGAACCATCCATGAAACATTTTCTCTTCTATTCGTGGACTTGGTATCATACAGTCACTTGGCTGTAATTGAATGTTTCCAGATGCAGTAACTAAGGTAATGCCAGAAGTCTGAAAATTATAATACCCTCTAAAAAGAGGATGTTGTTTAAATAGAGCATACACCTTAATGCACTAATGAATAAGAGTTACTTTCCCCTAGCTGTAAGCTGTTACCTTGTTGCTGCAAAATTTGCCTTTTGCACAAAAATATATTTGCAACTTGAGTATGTTTACAACATACTGGATATACTATGCCAGGACTCAACTGTCACTTCTAGGGTTTATTTTGGTTTTTTTTTTTTCACAGATATTGACGAATGCAGTTCCTTCTTTGGTCAGGTGTGCAGAAACGGACGGTGTTTCAATGAAATTGGTTCCTTCAAATGTTTATGTAATGAAGGGTATGAGCTTACTCTAGATGGCAAGAATTGTTTTGGTATGTATGATACCATATGAAGATGTTAAAGCACTGATGAGTTGAAATAAACTCTTGACTCCCATCTAGAGGGAAGCAAGATGGTCTGAATATCTAAACATAAAAAAAGAAAGACAGTGATTGAAGTGAAAACACAGTAGAAGTAATAGGTTTTTTGAATAATTGTTGGTCTTCAAGCAATTAATTGCCTTAGAAAAAGGTAATTAGTGAAGAATCCTACAGTCTTTTTCATTAATAAGTCTTCTTTATTACCATAAGAATTACAAAGATTGTAAACCTTTTTTGATTCCATCTACTCTCCAAAGATACTAACGAGTGTGTGGCACTGCCTGGTTCGTGCTCTCCTGGTACCTGTCAAAATTTGGAAGGATCATTCAGATGCATATGTCCGCCAGGATATGAAGTAAAAAGTGAAAGTTGTATTGGTAAGGCAAGTTGTAACTGTTGCTTCTGAACAATTTAAATATTAGGAAAAGTATCTGGTTCTAATTTGGTGGAAAGCAGTCATACACCCTAACGTTTGTGAATGTTTCCTGTCTTAAAATCATGGTGTCATGGAATAAGTATGAGAAGTCTTCAGGAAGAGGTTTTAAAAACAAAAGGCAAAATATTTTGTTTGTATTGTACTATGTTTTGAACACTGATTTCTTCATTGCTGCAAACAGAAATACTTTAAAAAAGAAAAAGAATAATTTTATATTTAATTTGCTTTTTAAAAATTACAATTCATAAACAAGTCTGTGCACTGGATTTATAATGTATACAGAAGGTAATTATTGGCAATGAATGCATGAACTGAGCATATAGTTTCAGGGGGTGTGAAGTTCAAAAATCTTGATAAAATTATGGAGCTTATGGGAACAATCAAATAATTTTCTTCTAAAAACTGTTTTCTGATTTTGCATTTTATATAATGCCTATCAAGTGTGAGATTCACAAGAGGAGAAAGAGGATACAGCAGGCCTATCATCAGTTTGAATGTTCTTGTTTGTTCATACAGGTCTCACATAAAGCTTCAAATGTTATTTTAGAGCTGAATGTCACACAGTGAATTAAGATTTGGTGTGACAGAGAAGAAGAAATAAATCCAAGTTCCAACTCCCTTTTCCAACAGAGCAAAGCACAGGACAACTTCATTTATTGGACATTTCAATTAACTATGTGGAGTACCTGGCAACGAAGGTGCACACAACTAGATTTGGGTAGCTAAGGCTGGAAGTTCTAGGTTTGTGCATGATCACAGAATAGAGTAAGCATCTTTCTCTCCACTGTGACTGTATTAAAAAACCTGATTTTTAGCTTAAGTGTCTGAAGTTAGCTGGTGTGAAACACACATTCATCCAAGTAACTCCCAGTAAAAAATGTGCAGCTTGTCCTTGTATGGGCTGAAAGAAAACAAAAACACTGGAAAGGACATAAGTATTTGGCTTGTAGCCACCTAATCTATGTGGCTGCAGGAACGGGAACCATTTTTGAATTTTTGTCTTCAGGAGTAGGATTTATTTTCTAAGTCCCCAGAGTTCTATCCGCCTTTTGTCTCATGCCACCATATTCAGTTTGCCTGCCAAGTTCATGGTTTCTTTTGGCAGCTGCTGATTCCATATTAGCAATTATGTTTGAGTCGAATTCAAATCACCTAGAGTTATAAGGTCATGAATATTAAAAAGAAAAAAAAGAATTAAAAAAAAAAAGCAAGCTTTTGGTTTTCCAGGAATATTACTGTTTATGGCTCTACTATAGTACCCTCTCAGAATCTTTTTGTGTTTTTGAGAGCATCCATGGCTGCCAAATCAGAATAAAAGGGACTTAATTACATCCTTTTTCTTAATTGAACCATATGTCCAGAAAACTTGCACCAACCATTCCTAGAAAATGCCTAGGTGATCGCGTGTGATTGTATAAATACTTAGATTAGTATTATGACAGCTCTTACAATATATGGTCCCCATTACTTTCTATTGATGTTGTATGCAAAGAGCTTTAAAGAATTCATTATTTCTGTCTGTAGTGTGAGGGCTGGCAATGGCTAGATTACCTTTTGAGGTTGGGGTCATTATATGTAGGAGAAACCAAAACAACTGGGGCCACAGAAAAATTCTTAGTTTTCACTTACCTATGTAATGTATTCCTTTCCATTTTATGGGAATAAAGGGGTAAAGACTTGTTTACTTCCAAGCTGACTCATCACCTGTTCGTCATGGCCGCAGAAGGACTTTCAGCCCAAGCCATTCGCTACAGTAAAGTAAGCCATTCATTACAGAGAGCGGTTTTCCCATCCCATGCAGCTGAATTGCTGAGCTTCGTATATTTAGAACTATCACAGTAACTGGGAAATTAATTACCATTTTCTCTGAAATAAGCTGGCTTTAAATGGTTCACAAAGTAAGAACCTGACCATGGGAAGTTACTGCAGAGTTCAGTCAAATGCCAGAATATGCTACAGTGGTTTGTCCATGTGCTGTTCCTAATAGCAATTTCTGAAAATAGGACAAAATGTAATATTTTTCAGAAGTAGTATCACAGAATCTATTCCTACCTGACTTATTCCATCACTCCACTTATATTTTCCAAATAATAAAAACTGTATTTCCAATGTTTTCTTACCTGCTAAATACAGGGTGGTTTTCTAAAATTCAGTATGGCAGAGAATCCAAAAAGTATGAGCACCAAAGATGGCACTTCAGCTTTGTGACTCAACACACATGAAGCTTACTTTCATGCAGACTACCTCTTCCTACCTACAGTTTGATTAAGATCAGGATGGATTTTATTGTAGAATGCTTACACAGCCGTGGCTCTCTGATGGTTCTTTCAATATTCCTTACTGAAAGATTTAGGAGGGATTGTTCTTTGAAGATTTTTAGAATACATTTCAGAATTTATGAAATTATAATTGTTATTATCTTTAAAAATTACCTTAGCAAGCAGGGTCATATATTCAGTCAGTATTTGCAGAATAGAATAAGTTTAAATATAGTTTTAAACAATAGATATGAAAAATTAAATGTCTCCTATTGTATTATTTTCTTAATCTGTCTGTTATATATGTAGATGCAGGATGTACAGCTTGATAACTGTGAGCTCCACAATTTTACAGGCACTTGATGCTTTTATTAAGTCCTCATTTTTTGGTTTAAACTTTTGATAATTATTTAATGTAATATTTAGTAATATGCCTCTATTAAAAAATTAAATCTCAGTGTCTTCAAGTAGTCACAGCATTATATTCTAAATTATGCAATTGAACAGGAACAGATTTTAAATAACACAATGAGAGTGGCAGTGAAAGATTGCTAAAATTAAATCTAGGTATGCCAATACAATTAAAGGTGTCCCTCTACTAATGAGTAGCTATAGTTTCAACTCCATAATCTGTCATTCAGCATGAAAAAAGCATACCTTTAATTAAAAAGAACCCCCTACGTGCCGATTTTTGAAAATTCATATTTGGATGTTTTACGTTTGAAGAAAAGTATTGTTCTTATCAGAAAGAAAAGCATATATTTAATGTTTATATTATAAATATAACAAAGAACAGAGAATGGTATTTGGAATGGTGGTAGATGCGAGTGGAATGCTCTAATTTGAAAGATTCAGTGGAACCTTCAGGCTGCTTTATCTCTTGGGTAGTTTACTGGAAGCTACTGAATTTAAATAACTAAATTAATAAACAAACTTTCCTGACCAAGGAAGTCACAGTCAGTGAGGTTACAGTGAACTTTTTCTCCATTACTTTACAGATATTAATGAGTGTAATGAGGACCCCAACATCTGCCTTTTTGGGTCTTGTAAAAACACCCCAGGAGGTTTCCAGTGCATTTGTCCTACAGGTTTTGTGCTCTCTGATAATGGGCGGAGATGTTTTGGTAAGTTAATGATTAAGGAATATAATAACTTATTCTAAAAGATAATAGAAACTCTGTAGAAGTCCCTTCCAAACTATGACCTTATGAAGCATGCAGAGTGCTTTCAAAACAGTATGAAAAATACAAGCCTGACATTATTCCTTCCAGGGCTAGAGAATCATCATCTAATACTCTCTTTTTTTTAGATACTCGTCAGAGCTTCTGTTTCACTAACTTTGAGAATGGGAAATGTTCAGTGCCAAAGGCTTTCAACACCACAAAGGCAAAGTGTTGCTGCAGTAAAATGCCGGGAGAAGGATGGGGTGATCCTTGCGAGCTCTGTCCAAAGGAAGAAGAAGGTACACATCAAGATTGAAAATTTTTAGATGATACAAAACGAAGAACACGTTGGTGTTGTACCTTTTGATCATTAGAAAGAGAGATTTTTTTGGTATTCATTCGTAATGGCCTTTTCTGGAATAATTTTCAAGTCAACAAAATCAATAAAATTAAATAGAAGAAAACATAAGAAGGGAAACACTGAGTTTTTGGCTTTTCTCTGTAGAGAACTGAACAAGTATCCTCCATCTGTAGATCTAGTCTAGGCAAAAGAGAAGAGCAAAATGGGAGAGTGCCAAGAATCCCTGAAATAACAGTTTTCAGTTCTGGGGTTTCTCCAGATATGGAAAAGGGAAGGCATCAAACACATCCACACAGAAGCTGAACAAGCGATAGTGCTGCTTTACTGACCTAAAGGCAGTGTTGCTTTTGCATCTGGCCAAGACAGTGTCATGACTATGGTTTAAAGGGTTGACAATTCTGAAAAATGTGATATAGAAGATTTTTTGATGGCTTTAACCATGTGTCATAGTTCTTCCACTCTTCTTTTTTAAAAGAAAACGTATCTCTACAGTTGCTTTTCAGGACCTGTGTCCTTATGGTCATGGAACTATTCCTGGAATAGATAATACACGTGAAGGTAGGTATTCTTTTTCCTGTTAATTAAATAAAAAATAAATATTTATACTTAAAACTAGAATACAATAGTATGTGATAGCTTACTCCCCATAGCTGTTGGTGACGAGGCTGACCTGTAAAATGCGGATCATTTGGAATGATAGTTAAAAGAACACTTTTGAAATTGCGTGGCTCAAGATGAAAAGAATTGGGTGCTTAGGGGTTTTTTTAATTTTTTTTTAAGAGTTGAAATGCATCAGCTAAATGATTGATGATATCTTCCTGCTTTTTAGATGTCAATGAATGCCTTGAGAGCCCAGGAATTTGCTCCAATGGTCACTGCATCAATACTGATGGATCATTCCGCTGTGAGTGCCCCATGGGATACAACTTGGATTTCACTGGAGTACATTGCATTGGTGTGTACAATTTGTAGGAAATGGAACACTTGAATTGAAAACATAACTTGAAATGTGTCCCAGTTCTCTTCAATTTGCATTTATTCATTATATACAGATACTGATGAATGTTCAATTGGCAACCCGTGTGGAAACGGTACGTGCACTAATGTCATTGGCAGTTTTGAGTGCAGCTGTCATGAAGGATTTGAGCCAGGCCCAATGATGAATTGTGAAGGTAATCTACCCTCCTTTTTTTTTTTTTTTATTTTTTGTCCAATCCTTAGTATTCAAACTAACTTTGTTAACCAGGTCTTTGGTACCATAATAACCAGGAGGGAAAAAAGTTTCTGGGCTTGAAATACATCATTAAAAAGGAAGTTGTGAATTGATTTAAGCAATGTTTTTAGATTATCGCAAGATTTCCCCAAACTGCATGATGTTGGATGTTCAGTTGCTGATGATGCATCTCTTCTCATTACTTAGGGGAGTATTTTCTTTTGTCTGTTTTAAACTAATCCATTACTAGTTTCATTAAGTACCTCTTATTTTTCATAGTGCGTTAATTGTGTACAACTCTCATCAGATGCTGATCAGGATTCTTCTTACAGATTTTGTATTTTATGATTCATAATTAGTTTGCTTTTTGAAGTAATATGTTTGTTGGGTTTTTTTAGAGTTTGGGAAAAAATCTGACATTTCCTATCACACGGAAATACATTAAAAATTATCATATAAAAATAAATCTGAAATAGGCCTGTTCCAGATTGTCATTCTAAACTCAAGTGATTCTATAGATATTATGCCATTATTCTTGAACAGAGCATTTTTCAGTTTTCTCTAGTCACTCAAAACCAAAAGTCTGTAAGTTTCTGGTTTGAATTATTATATTTCTGATAATTTTAGCTGACAAGGGAAGCATAGGTACAACAAAACCTTCATGATGGTTGTTTTAGAACTTAGTAGAGCATGATTATTTTGTTTCTTTTTGTTCAGATATAAATGAGTGTGCTCAGAACCCCTTGCTGTGTGCTTTTCGTTGTGTCAACACTTACGGTTTCTATGAGTGCACCTGCCCAGTTGGGTACGAACTAAGAGAGGATAGAAAGATGTGCAAAGGTAATGACTGATGTATAAACTCCTCCCTACCTTCCATCACCCTATACTTGCCAAAGCATAATCCAAATATTTCTGTGCATCTTGCATTCATCCTCTCAGCAGAATGTAGCAAGCAGCTCAGCAGATAATAATTTACGCTTTCAGAACTCGCATAAAGAATATTTAGTACTTTTGTCAAGTATCCCCCGTGATGGGAACCATACAGGCAAGGAGGTCACAATGGTGAAGTTCATCTTTAACATACCAAGATAATACAGCTCGCAAAATTAAGACACCTGCCAACAAACATAACTCTTAGATTTCTTTTCTTCAGTGCTTGTTAGTTAGGGAAGCCTATACTTCCTTTTTTCTTTAGAAAATTCTAGTCTTCAGTAACTGAAGCTACTGGAAGGAAGTTCAAACACAAATATGTCGGTTTTCTTACCAGATCTAGATGAGTGTGTTGAAGGTCTCCATGACTGTGAATCAAGAGGCATGATCTGCAAAAATTTGATTGGTACTTTCATGTGCATTTGCCCTCCTGGAATGACCCGGAGATCTGATGGAGAAGGATGCACAGGTAAAGCTTAGAAAGGGAAGAAGGCATCTACTGAAATATGTACAAGCAAAAAAAAGAAAAAAATTTTCTGTATATGTATATAGTAAACTAGAAAATAATAATTCATAAAGAACACTTAAGGTAGCTAATGATGCCAAACATTTTAAACTTTCTTTTTTGTTTCAAGGTTTGAGCCTTATCTGGAAGTAGTTGTACATGACTAATCAGGATTCCAGAAGAAACACTCTATTATTGTATAACAAAATCCTAAAATTTTCAGACAGTTATTGCATTTTAGAAATTAAATTACCAAACAACCAAGACCTCATTTGATGGGTAGGAAGCAAAATTATCATAAACAAAAAATTATGTTTCCTTTAGCATTAATATAAATAATGTGTCAGTTCTTTAAAGAATTAACACTGTAAGATTCTGAAACTGCCTATAAATGCCATGAAGAGCAAAAGATACGGAAACTGCCAGAGTTCAAAATTATTTCCCATCCTGTAAGTAACAAACAGCTTTCCTTCATCATTTACTCAATTAGTTGAGGGGGAAAGATAACTACATTTTAGCAAATTATACTACTGGTATATAAAAAAGACCATTCCGAAGTTCTCTGCCAAAAAAATTGTAAGCATCCATCTTAGTAAATAGTTTAAATTAAAATATTTTAAAATAGTGTTCCTTGTGCAAGAGATGACTCCTGCCCTTTACAGAGCTTTCTGATTTTTTTCAGAGAATATGATCTGTATTAACAAGAATTTTGTCTTTTTTGACATGTAATTTTGCCTTCAACTCACCTCAGTTTTTTCTGAGGTTTCATTTTAAACATCTGTAAAGGTGTGCCATTGCTTACAGTATCTGTGTCATTAGCTATGGAAAAAAATACACTAAAATTGTAAACTTTTTGGGGGAAATACGTGGACTGAAATATGACACTGAAGATCAAATGTATTCAGAGACTATTAGTGATTACGAAGCAAAAATCTGTTACTCAAATCATGCATGTATTCCAGTTTTATTTAAATATTACTTGCCAGACAAGTGTTATGACTAGAAGTTGCTTTGCTGAAAGTGTTTTCTGCTTCTTGCTGTAAGTTGCAGAGCACATAAAAGGATTAAAAAATTAAATTCCTATTTATGATTAAATATTTATGATTAAATATTTTTATTAAAGTCTTGTATTATTATTGTTATAAGTTTTTTGTCATTATTATTGTTGTTGTTGTTATTATTATTATTATTTTTATTTTTATTATTTCTTGGATGCAGTACAGAAGGAATGGAATAGGATATTACTAAGAAAGTCCTTTCCAGTCTTAAACAGTTGTTGCTTTTTCCACTTCTTGCAGATATTTTTCAAATATTACAGAGAATAATTGATGCATTCTAGGAGTCTGATGTATTTTCCTGTAGCAATTGTTTTATTATAATTATTATATTTTTATGAAGATGAAAACGAGTGCCGGACCAAGCCAGGTGTCTGTGAAAATGGTCGTTGTGTGAATGTTGTTGGGAGCTACAGGTGTGAATGTAATGAAGGATTCCTGTCAAGTCCATCAGGCATTGAGTGTCTTGGTAAGTGCCTCTTTTGTACACATTTCCTCTTAAAGTGTAAAGGATGCAGACAGTGAATTAGCACCTAACAGTTCTCATATCTACAGAAATGAAATAATCATCTTTACTTAGCAATGATATAATATGAAATACTGATAGGAATGAAAAGCATCTTGAGAATATCATCTGAGTGTAGGAATCAGGGGCTTCATATTGAGCTGTCTTAATTTTATAGGACATAAATCTAGACAAAAGATACAGGTGTTTTTAAATAAGAAGGAAAATTTAATTACCTTGAGATAAATAAAAAACTGAGATACAGAGTAAAATTGAGAGTTTGCATATTCAGAACGCAACCTTAAGCATCATAATACAGCAACTAAGCACCTGAATTTTCTGTACCTTTAATTCAGACAGTAATTATGAATATAAAATACTATGATTTCATGGAAAATTGCAAGACATAGTAAAAATTTTTATGCAGGCCTGCAGATTAAATGCTGCTGAAGAGTTTTATGTTCATCAGCCTGTATTTCCTTTTCAACACATTCAGATTTGCACTATAAAATCCATCATTCCCATTTTGGAAGTCAAACAGAAATGCAAAACCTTACTTTTCTATGACCAGCATTCAAGTGTAAATACATTACTGAAATGGTATAAGTATTTATTAATATTTTGACATTAAAAAAAGCCTGTATATTATCTTACGTAAGTACTATAAAACCAGCTCCCTGTAAATTGTCATCAGTAGTGTACTGATTTCATGGCAAAGCAATAACATGGTTTCATAGAATTTCATAGAATTTCCTAAGGATTGAGACCAGATGGGAAGAGAATGCTGCATGCTGTTAACCCCAACCAGTCATTAATACCAAGGAAATAGCCCTTTTTGGAGGTCATTGTTGCTTCCTTATATTTAATATGTAATTTTTCTTAGTATTTCCTAAAAACCATGATTTTAGAAGGTTTGCTCATTGCTGCTTTTTCTTCAGGGTTTCTGGGTTAGAAATTACAAGGAAAAATGAGAGGGCAGAAGCACAGTATTTATTCAGAATTAAAGCACAAACATGAAGTCATAGATTACAGTGGTTTAAATACACTGCACAAACCTTTATGTTCTGTCTACATTGAAATTTATTCCACATCTCAAACTGGGGACAAAGCATTTATGTTTTCCTCAGGTTATAATGTCTCTAAAGGTCTGCAATATACCCTGTGTAGGAGAACAGAAATCTGCTTATTCACGTAAGAAATGTACAGGTTCTGCTCTTCACAAAGAGAGGGTCAGCCAAGTGTTGATACATTTACATATTCTGGGTGTTCAGAAGGATTTTAACTCCTAGTTCTAAGATTAAAAAAATAAAATCTTTCTTTTAAAAACTTAAGCCTATTCAGAACATAATTGACGTCTCTATTTTAATTAGCAAATAAGACAGATGACATAGCCTATTTAGAAGATATGATTTCCACAAGATTCGGAGTTTCCATTAGCATTGTAAACTGGGATCTCTGTCTCCTCAGCTGGCTGTTTGAAGGAAACCTGTAGCAGCTCCATGACTTTCAAACTTTACTTCCCTTTCATTATTGAGAGATATTAACCAAAAGGCTTAAAAAATAAAATAGAATTAGACAGGGACAGATCAACAGTAAGACCATAATTCTTCCGCCTCCCCCCAGCAAAAACTAGGATAACCACAGAAAAAGGACTGACTTGCATATACACTTTTTAGTGATGAGGATTTTATTATTTAAACTGCATAAAGGTAATTAGAGATGATCAGACATGTTATTTTGGCCAGTAAAACAAGCAAACAAAACAGTCTTCTAACCCCACTCCAAGTAAAAGCATGGGCAGCTTAAGTGGAAGCTCAGTTTGGCCCACAGCTGTTTTACTTTCAAGCCAGTCTTACTATCACCAGATACGCCTCAGGGCTCAACTTCCCTAGAAGTCAAACTCAGCTCATGCAGGTACTGAACATTAGGAATGTCTTCAATATATTTAGAATTGCAGCATACAAAAACAAATCTGAAAGGTTAAATCAAAACAGTCTTCATGGTAGCCAGTAATCTTGTAGTGCTTGCATGTGTTGATGGACAGCCAGAATAATACATCAGGTGCTTAAATTTCTATTCTTTATTTTAATCTCTCTCCTTCTTCCTCACAGATAATCGCCAAGGGTTTTGCTTTGCTGAAGTTCTGCAGACAATGTGTCAGATGGCTTCCAGCAGCCAGAATCTTGTCACTAAATCTGAGTGCTGCTGTGATGGAGGCCGGGGCTGGGGGAATCAGTGCATACAATGCCCACTGCCCGGAACCACCGCCTACAAGAAACTCTGTCCACACGGACCAGGTTATACCACAGATGGAAGAGGTATTGGCAGGGGTGAAAAGAGGCGAAAAGGGGGAAAAGAATATGCTCACATATTTAAGCAAATGCAGGATTCTCTTTGAAGTTCCTTTGAAGTATTTCCTTATTAACAGAGTTTGATACTTCAGATACTACTAAGCGACCACATATTAAAACCACATTTCAACAGCAGCTGTGACCAGAACAGCTGTGCAGAATATTCAGGATTGGGATCTAAAGCAGGAGCTACCAACCAGTAACTAAAAGCTAGAAATTATCCCAAAACTTTTGTGTGCTGAAAAGTTGCATACGTGGTAAAGGCAACAACCGTTGCTCTAACAACAATCTCACAATGCTTAGCAGGTACTGCTTCCTCAGAGGAAGCAGAAGCTAAAATATATATTTTTTAATTGTGGTAAAAGTTTTTTGGCACGTAAGTGGTCATAAGAAAATTCACTTCTGTGTGTTTTGTATTTTGAGTTAGTAAAACTGGGACCTAAGTACTCAAAGAAATAGCAGGAAGGTTTTGATACAGAGAACAGTAATGAAGGATGTTCGAAGGATGTTGGCTTTGGATTCAGATCCACTTTTAAAAAGGGAGAAGGGGCAAAGATCCTATCAGAAGCACAATGATAAGGAACTCTGGAAAAATGGAAGAGAAGAAAAACGTTGAATTTAAAACTGAGAGGTGATGTGTTTAATATTTTCTGTACAGATATTGATGAATGTAAGGTCATGCGAAATCTGTGCAGAAATGGACAGTGTATTAACACCATGGGCTCTTTCCGATGCTTCTGCAAAGCTGGTCACACCACTGACATCAGTGGCACATCTTGTAATGGTAAGATTCAGTGTCTTAGTTATTAGTGATTTGTTCAGTTTTTACATAGTGATGTATCAATCTCTGTAAATCTTTGTAGCAAACCAATTTTTTTTCTTCTTCTGTTTTATCTCATTTCTGTCCTTCTTTTCCTAATATGCACTTCTGGTTTTGTATTTGATTTGGGGAAATAGAGAAATGAGCTCTGTTGGCAATATTCCTACAGTAGAATGATCACTGAAGTTATACAGATCAGCTGCATATTAACTGACATTAACTGACAAACCAGCTCATTACTTTTGGTCTACATTTTCCCACTTTTTCCTGGTTAACATATATAAATATACTGTAGCGTGCCAAAAAATAAATACTAGTTCCTTACATGAAAAAACTCAGGAGAGTTTTTCATGGTAGAGGCAACCCTGTATAAACTCCACAGCAACATAGAGAAAGGAATAGAAACTCAGAACAAATGTGAATCAGAGGCTTTTTCTATGAACATTTTTCTCTTAAATTTAGTGCTGTTTAGCGGACATCCTTCTGTTGAGGAAATCAGTACAAAAGATACTTAATATTTTCTCTCTTCAGACCTTGATGAGTGCTCCCAGTCTCCTAGACCATGCAATTTTATCTGCAAGAACTCAGAAGGGAGCTACCAGTGCTCATGCCCTCGGGGCTACATCCTTCAGGAAGATGGAAAGACATGTAAAGGTATAAAGAAAGTAACTTTTTAATTTGGTTTCATCTTGGCTTCAAAGCAAACAGTTTTGAAGTGTAATTTTTTATCAAATTAGCCTCTTTTTTTGTTGACTTTTCTTAAGACAACACCATCTCTTCCTTTCAGATCTCGATGAATGTCAAACCAAGCAACACAATTGTCAGTTTCTCTGTGTCAATACCCTTGGAGGCTTCACATGCAAATGTCCACCTGGTTTTACACAACATCACACAGCTTGTATTGGTAAGAAAAACATTGGTTTTTCTATAAGAACAACATTCTCAACATTCTGTTATTTCCTTTGCTCTTTCTACAGAGCAATAGTGTCATGAGTTCAGAAAACAGTTTTTGAAAACTAACGATTATAGCTTAAAAAAAAAAATCCGTCTATCTAATCTATCTACTCTTTAAATTTTCTTGGTTAGTAAACAGTTATCCGTATTTAATACATGTTATTATGTTCTAAGTATCAACACATGGAGAATTATTAAAATCTCTTTTAAAATGTAGTTAATCAAAACCAGACTGCATTTTCTTTCTTAATAGATACAGATGTTTTTAGATCTTAAGCATCTGTATGTGTATGAATCTTGTCAACTGAAACTATTTTAGTTCAGCTAACACAGAAGTGAACCATTTTTCCAGTATCAGCAATTACATGCCTGGTCTTCCACATACATATTGTAATGGAATTACAGCTTGCATTTCTAATTTATTAATTACTCCTAGCTCTGCATGACTTTTCAGGTGATCTGACTTTTAAAAACTAGAACCTACAAAATGTTGCATCTCTGTGGATTTCAGACTCATAAGAACTTGTTATATAAACATGTCTAAAATAATGCCACAGGTTAAACTGACCTTCTTCTCTCTCCTCTGTGTTTTTAAGATAACAATGAATGTGGTTCTCATCCATCACTTTGTGGATCAAAAGGAATTTGCCAAAACACTCCTGGAAGTTTTATCTGTGAGTGTCAAAGGGGATTTTCTCTGGATTCTACTGGATTAAACTGTGAAGGTAACTAGCAATGGTCAGTTTTTTTGTTATGGTGCAAACCCTTACTTCAATGTCTAGTGGATCATTTGATGTCAGAGCGCCATCCATACTGAAAATAATCACCAAAAAATAATTGGAAAGCATCTAAGTAATTTTAAGTGTAGTGTAAACATATGGAAGAACATACTGCCTGAGTAATTTTTACACAAATTAGCATAAAGGCACTTTTTAGCCAAACTCTTGAACAATTGTTTTCAGCCTGCAATTTCAGCTTTACATAGGCTTATGCATCTAAAAGTCTAGTATTTTTTTGTGGGTTTTTTCATTTTTGTCTTCATACTTCTAAATAGAATCTGTCCACAATTTTTCAGCTAATTGTGATTGTCCACCTAAAGGTATCTAAGATTAAATTCTAAATTCTGTAGTCTAGATCTCCTACCACAACAATACACATTCAAAAGGCTAATTCTCTATATTCAGAAGGGTAATCCATTACAGTTAAAATGCAAATTATATTGATGAGCTTCATCACTCTGTAGTGGCCCAAAAGGGAGCCTCAGTCAGGAATTCTCTGGGATCTACAGACTCCTCAGTGGGCCTTACTTATTGAGCAAAGAAGAAAATAAAAGGCAATACTAGGCCATCTGGCTGCTGAGAATCAGAAATGCAGGGGTATACATCAACAATTTTATGAGATCTCAAAATAGCAGCTGCTGTGATACAGCATTTAAAATAGGAATTGATAAAAAGAGATTATTTCTAGAATAGCAGTGTAGGATATATACAGGTAGAATGTTCAGAAAGGTTTATCTCTTGGCAGATTACTTTGTTCTCAGGAAGTACATATACCTTTGTGTGCCTATGAAACACAAAAATTATATATATCAAAGCATTCACAAAATGTGTGTGTAAACAACTAGTACATCAAAACTGCTCTACATGGCCTTGCTGATGAAAATAACATCTTTCAGTTCTTGTCACAATGGTTTTCTGCACCTCAGGCTCTGGGACGTTATAGTTCCATTACATTTGTTTCCAACTGTGGACAGTGGAATGTAATTTACAGTCTGTAATACGACACATTTTTTTTTAATTTTCTACTAGAATTTCATACTGTACCTGGCAAATTTGGTTGCTTACAGTCTACTTATTTCCTATAGTGGACACAATTTCAGATATCTGAACTTTTACATTTTAGGGAAGAGGGACTAAGGCTTTCTTCCTTATTAACACTTACCTCAGAGACTTTTTAGATGGCTTTTTCTTTTTGGTTGGAAAAACATCTAAATTTAGCATTCCAACACCTCAGTATGTTCCAGGAAACTGAAAGGTTGACCCTGTGTAGTTCTCAAATATGATGGGTGAACTGAGGCAAAAAAAAATACTAGTGTTCCAGTAATTATGATCCAAGTGAGTAATGTGTTCGGCAATGTGTGTAATTGTGTGTTCTTTCATGTTCTGCTTCTCTCTTGGTCACACAGATGTGGATGAATGTGATGGAAACCATAGGTGCCAGCATGGGTGTCAAAATATCCTGGGTGGATACAGATGTGGATGCCCACAAGGATATGTTCAGCATTACCAGTGGAATCAGTGTGTTGGTAAGGAAGCAAACAGCACAAAATATATTTGAGCAGAAAAGGTGTCATGGGGGTTATAGTGGCGACACCAGGCAAGGGCAAGAATGGACAGAACAAAGGGTATGCAAACACTGATCTTTTTTATCTCTCTTGCCCTCCTTCCATACATTTACTACTCCCAACATAAATCAATGACAGGAGGTAATAGGAAATTCTGTGAGACAAGAAGCTTTCCTAGTAAGGTCTAAATTATGATTCTCTTCTTCTCAGAAAAGTCCTCATCTTAGAGGGGCGAAAGATATTAGTTAAATTCCTGAAAGCATCAATGTCAATACCTCTGCTGGGGGAAGAAAAAAAATTAAAAATCATACCTTCCGCTATTAAGAATTAGCATTATTAGCAATTTGAGAATACTACAGAATACCGTCTATAGTGAATGGTGAGAAAAAACCCAACAAAACCATTAAGGGTTTTCTACTTTCAAAATTCAGTATTAACGTCAATATTAGTTATTTATGCAGGGAACAGGGACAAATTAAGATGGTCAGGAGTTTTATTATAGATTTATCTCATTTATTTTCTGTGTTTCATGAACTCAGCTAAATGTGATACCAAATGAAATGTGGGAATCTTTTTTTTTAAATAAAAAACAATATATAGTGAAAAAACCCCATCCTGTTCTGTTCACAAAGAACAATACAGCATGTTTACCTTTTCAGGCTTGCTTTCATGGTATTATAATCAGAGGATATATGAACTGCCATACTTTTCATAGAGGCTGATACTACTGTCCTGATCCTTGACATATAAATTAGTTTACCCATTTTACATTAAGTAGCACACAGACAGTTTTTCTGAATCCCAACCAACATTGTCACTCCTCAGTTATTACTGCTTTACAGCAAAGAAAGCAAAGGACTGGGGTGAGAGTGACGGAACGCAAAACCCCAAACCAGCTACAGTTTCTGAATATTATAGTCCTCAAATAATCTCTCTGCTTTTTTTCTGCCTGAAACCAAATCCAGTCACACTGACTGGAGGTGTCACCTCTGTATCTTAAAACCCACACGGTGAAGGTGATAATCCTTTTCTCTTTCATTTGTTTGGTTATTTCGATTGGCTTTCCTACAGAGCCTGAAAGTTTCACTAAAAGTATGTGCAAACTTCTCCCCGTCAGTAGGTGCCCAGGAACACCACCATGGCTGGAATTCCAACTCATTTTCCCTCTGAGGACCTTGTATAGGAAGGCAGTACACTCCTATCTATCCTGACAGGCGAAACAGAACCCCTGAGCAAAACAAACATTGAAGAAAGGGTGAACATTGAGTGACTATAAGGTTAACAGGAACAGTATCCTAAAATACCTCTTCATCGCAGATACACAAATTTGGGGCCTTTGCCAATGCACTTTTCCTTCAGAAGCCAAGTGTCTGTGGGGTAATGAGGTTTGGGATGTAGCAGAGCCCTAGGACTTGCAGATATTCTGATTTCTTAGCTACATCATGCTTGCCTGATGTCTGTGAGATTAGAAAACACCAATATATTTTTGTTTGCTTATCAGATGAAAATGAATGCTCCAATCCTAACACGTGTGGCTCTGCTTCTTGCTACAACACCCTTGGAAGTTACAAGTGCGCCTGCCCATCTGGGTTTTTCTATGACCAGTTCTCCAGTGCCTGCCATGATGTGAATGAGTGCTCTTCCACCAAGAACCCCTGCAATTATGGTTGTTCCAACACTGAAGGGGGTTATCTTTGTGGCTGCCCACCTGGCTATTACAGAGTTGGACAAGGGTGAGTATCTTCACACAGTCATTCACCAGAGACACATTAAGGAGGGCTGGTCTGAGGAGCAGAGGTGCAAATGAAGGACAACTGCTAAGTCCTTTCCACTCATTTCTACTTTTGCATACAATATCCAGAAACTAGGGAAAAAAAAAAAAAAAGACACGTCTGTACATGCAACATGACATTCATTTTAAATCTAGTATATAAAGAACATTAAACAAAGAGTTCTGCTTTCTCCCCCAGTACCAGCACATAAACTCCTTCAGAAACCTACTCAGTGAGGACTGCTACCACCTGTACTGAGATAATCAAGGGTTGTAAATAACACTGCTCAATCCAGAACATTAAACTCAAATCAGCATTGTGCCAGTACATGACAATGGGTAAATTCTGTAGTTCCCAAGTTCAGGACAGGTTGGCCTTTTTCTGTTTCTTCATAAAACTTGTAAATCAGAATTAGAAAAGCCTACAAGCCCTCAGGCAGTGGCTGTATTTTTCAATATGCCATGCTAGTGTGAAGGAAATAAATGCACAGAGCTCCTGCTAAGCGATGCAAAAGGAAGGGGATACAGGCACTGGGGTACAGATTACACACTCACTTTCCATTTAACAGGACAGTTGGTAAAACTGCAAGGAGTAACTAAAACAGATATTTTTATTCAACAGACACTGTGTCTCAGGGATGGGATTTAACAAAGGCCAGTACGTTCCACTGGATGGAGATGCTGATGAAGAAAATGCTTTGTCCCCTCTAGCATGTTATGAGTGCAAAATCAATTCTAAAAAAGACAAAAGGAAGAAGAGAAGTGCTAATGACACTGTATGTATTGGGATAAATAACCACTGTAATGTACTTTCATTTTCAGGTATTTCCAGATACCAAAAGTATCAGTAATAGAGGGAATTCTTAACGGGCCATATTCAGTGGTCAAATCAAATTTTTTTTCCCTTGCCCTGTTGGCAGCAATAATGTGACAATAAAAAACACACCAATAACTATGAATGAAGTTTTTAAAGCTTGTATAGATTCCTTTGCAGTGTGATGTGGTCTAGTTCCTCAGAATACATTCAGGGAAATAATTTTCCTTTGATGATAGAGAGCTAGGAAACTGGTCATCTGTTCTGCCGTCAAAAGGAGATTGCACAGCATTTGTGCTCTGGGACAGCTAAACAGACCTTCTTGCAGATCATTTTAGTCTTGGTGTCTCTTCCATGGTTGCTCACAATTGTGTGGGACTAAAGCCCATGACCTGGCTAATACACTGAAGTCCAATATTTGCAGAATTGCTGAGGTTGTTAGAGAACTATACTTCATACTTTTTTTTTTTCTTACTGCATTTGTTGGGCTTTTGTGATGGTTTGGACTTGGCTCCCTGCCAAATGCCCAAACTCACGGTAATAACCCCTTCCCTCTCCCTTCTTTCCTTAGGGCAAAGGAAAAAAACTATAAAAATTGTAGAACCTGAAATCAATTTAATTATATAAAAACATATATTTTTACATATATTACAGTTATGTACAATTAAAATACTATGTACACAGCAAAGGAGCTCCCAAACACCCCCAAAGGCAAAGGGGAAAAAGGGACAAAATCAGAACAGATATGCACAATCAAACCCAAGAACTAGCAAAATAAAGAACTATCAGAACAAAATCTCCCCACGTCCCTCAGAAAAGCAAGATCACCAGACACGGCCAGCACTCTCCGATCTCCGCATGGCAGACGAGCGGTCGCTGCAGCCTCAGCCTTAGATAAGTGAGACCAATGCAAGGACCCACTGCTCCTGGACCTCAGCGGGAGAGACGAGAGTGAGGTCTCTGATCTCCAACTTATTTATACCCTGGTTTACGTAAAAATCGTATGGAATACTGGGTACATGGCTACTTCTTTGGTTACAAGCTGGTTACCAGGAAGGCCTAGACTAAAACTATCACAGTTTTTAAGGATAAATTATGGGATATTGATGAATGGACAGACCTACTGTTTACACCTTTTAGATCCTTTTTTTCAAATGTTAGAAGAGTGTACCTGTGTATCTGTCAGCTGTATAATCTGTGTGATAGCTCTTATTTTGTAGCTCTAGTCTTGGGATCTGCAGTAATATGAAATTGACTCAGTTTAGAGGTGGGGACACACACAGGTTTTCTTTCAGTAGTAAAAGAGCTGTATAATGCAGGCAGGCAAAATACAAACCCTTAATTAAACTTGCAAGGTGTGCTACCCACACAAACTACACTGAAAAGACAGGGAAACAAGTCTGCTTTCTAAAAGGGATGGGGCATAAAATAATCCGGATGCTCCAGCCTTACTACACACTACTTTGCATGATGCCATCAAAGCCAGTTCTTCTACTGGCAAAGTAGTCCTGTAATTTTTTCTCTAAAGGATATAGTGGCACTTCAGATTTAAATGTTTGATTTCCCCAGACACATTCCAACTTCTTACAAGCACTCCTTGTCCCTCCCTACCACCCACTCCCACTGATCCTGAATTCTATTGTGAATTCTGTGGTCAGGCCACCACTGAAATTCATGTATGTTTTGAAAAACATTTTTTTCTGTTGCACAGTTAATTCCATATTGAGTTCATAATTGTAAAATCTTGTTGTTGCACTTTTTTAATAGCATTAACCTTGTCATTTTCTAGTGTTTGAGTGGTAAAAGTGACAGTTTTTGCATCCATAAAACTAGGTGAAAAAAGAAAAGCTCTAATCACTATTCACATGTATGGGCTTCAGTATTTAAAACACTGCAGTTCTTCCTCCTGTCCAAAAATTTTCCTCATTTTCAGCATGGGTTTTTAACTGCATTGCATATTGGTACACATTTGTACTCCCGTGGGACTTCTGCAAAAGCACTTTCAAAAGCTGTTACTTGTTAAATGGCTTTCCTAGGACTGCACTGTGCTCACAACTAACACCTCTGGGCACATTCACACCTGCAGCATAACTGTACTGAAACTTGAATTAAAAAAGAAATTGTGAATGATTTGTCAGAAAAACAGTGCTGTGTCTTTTTGCACACTCCCTTCAGTGGTCCCAATAGGATGTAACTGCACAATGTGACACACTGGCTCTCTCTGTGGAAGGCTGACAATGCAGCAGTTCTCTCTTTACTTCAGTTTCCTCCATAAATGGTGCTTCCTCATAACCAAATACTGAGCCTGCTTGTTTTTAGAAGGCAGGACTCATTAAACCAATTTCAGGGAATTTTCAGAGAAAGTTTCAAGGAATTCTCTGAATGGTGTTGTGGTATATGTTTCACTAATTTGAGACGGATCATAAAAAAAAAGCTGTGCCTCATTGTACAGACTTTACTGCAGTAGTAAACATAAGTCTCTTCTTTACATGGGCTCTTTGCAAGCATGAAGTTAAACAGGTTCTCAAAAGAATTTGAAATTAGAGCCTCCCGATATTCATCCTGTTAAGCCTGTGTGAAAAGCCTTTAAGGTTTACTGGGTGTGTTGTATAAAATCAAGCCATACTTCCAGGTGGAAAGGATTTACAGTTGCTTCTTTCACGGGTAGATTTTGACAAGTACAGAAACTGCTAATTATCACATAATTATTCCTCTGTCAATACAAGTGAGTATCTGTTTCTCCTGCTCTAAACATTCTTTCTTCCTTTGCTTCAGATGGAGCAGACTAAGTTGGAAAGTCTAGACATGGATAGCCCTGTGAGGATCAGGGTCAACATTTCCAGGCTGGACCACAAGGAGCACATCCTGGAACTCCTACCAGCCATTGAGCCCCTCACCCACCATGTGCGCTACGTCATCTCCCACGGAAATGAGGATAGGATCTTCAGGATCCACCAGAGGAATGGGCTGAGCTACTTGCACACAGCAAAGAGAAAGTCAGTGCCTGGCATTTACACACTGGAAATCACCAGCATTCCTCTATATAAGAAGAAGGAGCTAAAGAAACTGGAAGAGAGCAATGAGGACAACTACCTCCTGGGAGAGCTGGGGGCAGTGCTCAGGATGAGGCTGTGGATAGACCTCTATTAGCCACGTTCCAGACTGAGCACAGTCCTTCAGTCACTTCCGCTCTCCTTTCTACCCACCAGACAATATCTGCTTTTCCAAGGTTTTGAAAAAGCCGCTCAACTCCAGGGGAGGAAGAGCCCTTTCTTCCCACCCTGCCAGGACTACAGAATCACCCTTTCAGGAGGGTAACTCAAAAGGCCACTGCCAAAACTTCTATTACAAGGGCAATCATGGTTACTGTATCTTTTATATAACCTCAGTTTAAAGTATATTAAAGAGCTAAAGTTCAAGAAGTCATCATATGGCACTAAAAGGCACAAAAATGTGAGATTTTTTTTCCCTCTTAGCAGTCTGTAACACTTTGGGTATTTTGCTATAGTTCCTAATTAAAAAAAAAAAAAAACCACAGAAGTTTATTTATTTTTAATGCAGTAATATATGGAGAGAAAATAACAAATTATGGGGGGAAAAAAAAGGAAAAATTGCTTGTTTTTCTTTAGATTTATAAATTTGAGCTATAACACTTTAGAGGTACTTTCTTAAAAAAATAGATTTGAAAGATACTTCCTTTTTGGGCCAGTCATCCAAATAGCACATAAGTGATATTAAAATGTGTCAGAGCTGAAACATCACCATAGTACATCTGGATATTCTAAAATGCTCTTGAAAAACTTTGAGTATTTAAAAAAAAAAAATAAAAAGGAAAAATGGAAGAGAGTCATAGAGGACAAGTATTACAATATACAGTATCAGTCTCTGCAGAGATCATGTTTCACATCAGCCACAGCAAATAGCGGAAGAGGCACAACCCCTGTAGCAAAATACCTTGACTGTTTTTAATGCCATTAGAATTGCAGAACCAAATTGTACAGTACTTCCCTGCAGAGACCTCAAAGAGCCACACATGCAACCACACCTCACTTTCAGAAAGGTTGCTCTAAAAACTGGCATTACTGCAGGAAGCTGAAGAAAATGTCTCTCTGAAGCGAGCACACAATATTTTCATACTGTTTGGTGCTGGCTGGAAATGATGGTGCTACTTGCTAAAACCTCAGAGCTGTTTCAGGAGTGCCATGTGTGCAAACTAATTATGCAGCACAGAGCAGGGAAAAGGTGGTTTTGAAGTTCATTTGTTAAAAATTTCATTAATGCTGTAGTTATACACCATATGCCTCATTTTATCATAGCTTATTTTGTAAGAATGGTGGCTGTACAATCAGTTGAGTTTTAGTTTACTGTAGTAATTTCTGTTTTATGTTTTGTACCATTATGCTTTAAGTGTAGGTCTCAATGGTGCTTTTTTTTTTAACAACTGGTGCCTGTAACTAAGTCATGAAACATAATCTCATATGTGAAAATAGCCAAAGCACATGCTGATTCCAGATTTGTTTCAGTTTCATGTAGGTGCTGACCAAAGATTATATGAAGTTAAACTCAGTGATTTTTCTTTTCTCTTGTTGACTACGGGGATTTTATAAAGAAAAAGAAACTTTGTACATTTTTAAATCAAATGTTGTAAGAAGAAAAGGTATTTCTTGAATGTTTGTATCAGTAAGACAACACATTTATTGCAATAAAGCTTATTTTGGATTAGCTTTTATTCTTTGAAATATCTGCATTCTTTATACAAAATAAGCAATGTAATAGTAAATCTGAAAGATTCAGAGCAGGAAAAAAAGGTGTTAAAATGTAAATATTTCTTCACTTGTATTTAAGGTTATACAGTATTTGCTGACTCAGTTTCCCTCTCATGGCACAGCTGAAACACAGGCGTTAAAATGTCCCTAGAAAGTTAAACTGCCTCTCTAAGAATCTGTCATATATCAGGTTGAGGTGGGCTGGCCTTGCAGAACATTGTGCTTATCCATGAAATGAGTGATGAAGAACCATCACAATTTAAGCTGGATAATTCAGCTCTGAAAAAAAAGTCTGCATACATTTAAGAGTAGGAGTGTAAAATCTCCATCCCTCCTGAACAGCAGAATTCTGTAAAGTCCATCAATAAAGGTAATTTTGCTTGCTGGCAGTTGCTTCAATAGGTATACAGTCAAATAATGCAAAAAATGTTTGGGTTTTTTTCCTAAAGTATGCAAGGTTTCCACAAAGACATAATATAGTGCCCTTTTATTCTATTCAGAGTTATCCTGATGATTGCTTTTAAGTAATAGCCAGTACTGATTATGTGTTTTTGTCACACTGGTAGCAGCCAGGGAAAGGGCAATTGGACATATTGGTTTAACCACCAAACTAAAATGAAAAATGTTTGGTTTAGTTGTACCCTTCAATTTCTGAGTACAATAGAAGACAAAATCAGTCTGGATGAGCAGAATTAGCCCTTCATACTCTGTTGGGGTTCTTTTGTGGGAGTGGCACTTCACGAGTTTATTGCATTGAAAGTCGAGGGTCTAAGGTTCTAGTTATTGGACACAGTAACAATGAGTTTCCCTAGAGTTAGAGATTCTTTTTCAGCATAAAATTCCTCTTTCCGATGCTTGTAAAGGCCCAAGCTAACATACTTCTCCCACTCTGCTGCATCACTCTTCCCTAAATTATTAATAAATTAATAAAGGAAGTACAAGGTTTTAAAGGACTCATACACTTAATTTCACTCAAGAAAGAAAATAGAAATTATGGCATTGTAATTTGTTTCATGATTAATGAAAGTTCCTGAAGGACTGTCTCCTGTGGGAGGAACCCCATGGGGAGCAGGGGAAGGACTCAACTCCTCTCCCTGAGCAGCAGCAGAAACAACCTGTGACAATCTGACTGTGATCCCCATTCCTGTTTCCTTGCACACCTGGAAGGAGAAGGGAAAGCCTGGGAAGGAGGGAGGGATGGGGAGAACATATTTTTAAGATTTATTTTGCTTCTCATTGTCCTCTGATTTTGTTAGTGATAAATTCAATCAATATCCCCAGTTGAGTCTGGTTTGCCTGTGACAGTATTTGGTGAGTGATCTCTCCCTGCCCTTCTCTCAGCTGATGAACATTATGCTGTATTTTGTCTCCCCTGTCCATTCGAGGGAAGTGATGGAGCAGCCCTGGTAGGTGTCTGGCATCCAGCCAAGGTCAAACCACCACAAACCTGCGTATGTGTCCAAATTTATCTGACATTTAGTAGTGCATCAAATTAGACAAAACAATATGAAACTGTCTGTAACCAGACTTACTTGGCATTACCTTCAGATACGATTCAAAGCTCCTTCTGGGTAAAAGAACTGACATCTACAGAAATAAAAAGACCTCTAGAGGTCTGATAACTGACTTTAAGACTTAACAACTCAGCTAGTTTCCAAGAAGGCTACTCTCTATCCAAAATGGGAGTTTTCCAGGAGACATTGAAAGAAAAGTCAACAGACTGAACGCAGTAAAGCATATTATCCTTTGTTGCCAACTCTCAAAAGAGGAAAGAAAATAGTAGCAACACTCAGTAATGACTCAGAACTCTGAGGCTACAAGTTCTGGAGGATTTTATTGGTAAAAAGAGATTATTTACATGTGCTGTGCACACTTCTTAGATTTTTGTAGCCTTTTTTTTTTTAAAACAAGACACTATAATTGGAAAACACTTGTGTTAACTAATCACACACTAAGTATAAAGTACAAAAAAAAAGCCTTATTCCTTTACCATCTTAAAATGCACGAGCCAGTTATGCACAATACCCCAAAAGACGTTACTCTCAGCTTCAATCCATCGGGGAAAATATTGAATTATTTAAAACCCTCACAATTATACAAAACAAAACAAAAAAGCCAAAATAATAATAATAAAGAAGAAAATTTAAAAAATTACCAAAACCAAAAACAAATAAACAAAACCAAAACAAAAAACCAACACATCAAGCCAAAACAGCCACCTCCTTTCAATCCAGCCTATCTTATTATGTATTTCTACACCCTTTTCTCCAAACTCTACCCTTTAACAGCCTCTAGCCTTTTAGTGATAGAAGTTTAGTGAGAAAGCTGACTACACATGCACAGCGAGTGTCCCAGAAAGCTACAAACCCTCCAAGTCTGTTGATAATAAAATGAGAATTGTCTTGCTCTTTAAAAGAGGCTGCTTTATCAATCTCTTGGCAACTTCGAGCAAGATTTTAGTGACTAAAGGCAACATCTAAACTAGACCTAGGCAGCAGGGATTTCACCAGCACACTCTAGCTATTCTAGCAAGTCTGTGATTCTTTTTAACAGCAGGTTGTGTGTGGAGATTCCTCCCCTGAGTAGAGGATACCCCTCAAGGTCATTCCTCGAGGCTGTGAGTGAGAGATTTGCCCACAGTCATTGGTATGGGTGAGTGAACATCAATCTCTACTTAAACAATTTTGTGCCAGCTTTAATATCATTGCTTCAACATTACTTAAAAAAAATAGTGCCCTATTGTTGGGGGTAAACAGGAGGAAGAGGATTTTAGAAGTTGGAAAGAGACAACTTCTGGCAATGTGGGCCAGACTGCATAAAATAAATAGACTCTGTTAGATTGTAAGCTTTCTTTCACAGGAGAGAGCAGGCTTCTTTTGACTGGACAATGTCCAGTCAGAGGCCTTTCCAATTAAGTACTTAAAAGTTATCTGAAGATTCATGTATCCCCCCTCTTTTGTATGTGCCAATCCCTAATCCTGACCAATGCCTTGTCCAAGTTTTCACATACCTTTCCCCTTTTCCAGAATCTTCCTTATCTGCCCTATAAAAACCTTCCATTTTGTAAAATAAAGTTAGATCAGCTCCCACAGATGCAGCTGCTATTCCTGTGCAGTTTGTCTCCTGAGCTCAGCTGGTACTTAATATCTGGATGAGACAAAATACGATCCTGCCAGGCACTCTAATAAGAACTGCAGCTCAGTTACAAGAACCCTGCTGGTCTGGGTAATGACCCTTTACCCAAACCATGTCACTCCATACTAGCAGTTGTGTTGTCCCTGAAAAGTGGGATCTTTCACCCAGTGTGCAAAGCTAATAGACACACAAGGTTGAAGTATGTGATTTATTTATTACCATTCTGCACTTTCAAGTGCACACTCAATTAAAAAAAAACAAACAGTAGCTTTAAGATAAAACTCAACACAGAGATCAACCACAGCACCAAAAGGCACACATCTCAATGTCTGTTCCAGAAAAATCTTCTTACCAAAAACTTACCAATTCAACAGAAATCCTGCCAAGTAGTTCAACCCAAAGGTTAATAGGTATTTGAACTGCTCCCCACTACTCACATAACATTTTTGAGCTATAAATTCTTAAAGATCAGAAATAAAGTCAGTCTTGAGCATGCAAAACATTTGAGAAGAACAGCTCCCACACAACAATGACAGGCACAAATGATTTACGGCTTGAGTTGCCTGTAAACATAAAAATGTAAACATAAAAATGTAAACATTTAACATCAAGGAAGAAAAACTGTTTAGTACAAATATAAGACATCTGGTCTCCTATAATGAGATAGGAAATTTACACCATCGTTTTGTGCACATATTTTTCCCCATGTGCATGCACAATCAACTCATCAAGAAGTGATCAGATTTGGGAATTTTGAGATTAACTCAAAAATCCAACAATTCCTACCTCTTACAAACAGGCTTTTAAAATTGCACATACTTCACATTTTCTGCTTTGTCTAAACAAAGATGGCATCACCAGTCTCCCTCTCAACCTTACTGATTCAGCACTGCCCTACCCTACCCTTGCATCCTCAACATTCAAGCTGTACTTAATTCCAGGACTTAATTATATAGACACCCAAATCTTTAACTTCTGATCTAGAGTAAAGTCTGCAATCCCACACCACCTGGTGTCAGAGTTTTGTTTTTCCCCATCTAAATTACTCATAATTCTGCAAACACTAACTTTACAATTTCTGTGTCATTATTTCACATTTTTATACTGTAAAATGAAGGGCACAGTGCTGCTGAATGCTTTATTTTCATGGCATTGTTTCAAATATACAGATGAGAGACTGAAAAATGATAGTTAACAATCAAGATCCAGCTTGAAATGCCAGTCATCATATTTATCAATTGGTGCCCAGGGCCCAGATGAGGAAAAAAAAAAAAGGCCAACAAACAACAACAACAATAACAACAACAACAAAACCTCAAAACAAACAAAAAAACAAACACCAAAATTCAACCAACCAACCAAAAACTAAATCAAACTCAACTACAGTATTTTTAAGGCCAATACCCACTGATGTATCAGAGATACCTCAGTTCTAGGTCTCTTAATCTTGATCAGGAGGACTAAACACCAGACAATTGTGTTAACAGCAGCCCCACCTCTGGAAAGTACAAAGTGTTTCTCAACAGGTCTCTGAGCTCTGCAGAAAAGCACTTTTCTGAATCATTCACTGAATTCCTGGACACACACAGTATTTTAGGCTTTTTTAATTCAGTATGCCTAAAACTCAGTGAAATCCTTACAATGTGTACTATTTTTACACTGATCAAGCACAGAGCGATGATCTTAAATTACTGCTCTTGAATTAGAGCTGAGCTTCATTAGGATGGCTCCTAATATAGATCATCTATTAATATCACTCCATGGAAAATACCAAGTATACCAGACACACTGGTAACTAAAT